TGACAAACACTGCCCACCAAAGAAACATATTATTAAAGAATCAAACAACCAAAACAAACCGTGGATTACTAAAGGTATAGCTAATGCGTGCAAAAAGAAGAAATATTATTATAAATTATTTCTAAAATCACGATCTAGAGAAGCTGAAGAAAGATATAAAAAATATAAAAATAAATTAACCAACATAATAAGATCAAGCCAAAAAATATATAATAATGAACTACTAGAGAAACAGAAAGATAATACACAAGGTACTTGGAAAGTTCTAAATGGTATACTTAAAAACAAAAACAAAAAAGCTGATTATCCCAAATATTATGTTAAAGATGGAAAAATTATGGATAAAAATACAGAAATTGTAAATGCATTTAATCAATTCTTTGTCAATGTTGGACCCACTCTAGCCCAAGAAATTGTTCCACCACCAGAAACTATGGAAGTGGACATAAGTAATATCGAAAGTAACTTAAATTCATTTTTTATTAGAAGTGTAGATGACAATGAAATTATAAATATTGTGAATACATTTAAGAGTAAGAGGTCCACTGACAGTTTTGATTTTGATATGATGCTGGTAAAGGAGATTATAGCTAGCATTGTTATACCTTTAACACATATCTTTAATCAGTCTTTTCTCACTGGCATCTTTCCAACTGCAATGAAAATTTCAAAAGTAATACCTATTTTCAAAAGTGGAGACAAACACAAATTTACAAACTACAGACCAATTTCTTTACTTTCCCAATTCTCCAAAATCCTAGAAAAGCTGTTTGACACGAGAATGAATGAATTTTTAAATAAGCACAATATCATTTACGACCGGCAGTTTGGCTTTAGGGCAAATAGGTCGACCTCTATGGCAGTCATGGATCTGGTGGAGGAAATTTCAACGGCAACAGACAATGGAGAAAATACAGTCGGTGTCTTTATAGATCTAAGTAAGGCCTTTGACACGATTAATCATCAATTACTTTTATCAAAAATGCAAAGATATGGCTTCAGAGGAGTCGCATATGAATGGTTAAAAAGTTATCTAAGTGGGAGGCAGCAATATGTACAAATTAGTAATGTTAGTTCTGAAAAACACACCATAACTCACGGTGTCCCGCAGGGGTCTGTTCTTGGGCCAAAATTATTCATCATGTACATTAATGACATCTGGCAAGTCCTTAAGAACATGCAGTGCATTCTGTTTGCTGATGACACCAGCCTCTATTGTTCTGGACAAAATATTGAACAGTTAATGCATACAGTTGAAAATGAACTAGAATTACTAAAACAATGGTTTGACTACAATAAATTATCAATGAATGTGAATAAAACAAAATATATTATATTCGGTAATAAGAAAATTGATAATTCAATAAAACTAAACATCGACCAAAGGGAAATCGAGAGGGTGTGTCATACAACATTTTTAGGAGTGCATGTTGATGAAAGACTAAATTGGAAAGTGCATATACATTTTGTGAAATCTAAAGTATCAAAAATAATTGGCATATTGTGTAAAATCAAGGCAGTTGTAAACCAAAAATCACTCCACTTATTATACAATGCTCTCATTCTTCCATATCTAAATTATGGTGTGGAACTTTGGGGGAATAATTATAAAAGTACAATCCAACCTATTTTTATACTGCAAAAAAAAGCGGTCAGAATAGTCAATTATGCAGATTATTATGCCCCAACAAATCCCTTGTTCATAAAATTAAGAATACTAAAACTAAATGATTTAGTTGATCTTAGCACAGCTATTGTTATGTATAAGGTTCATAACCATAAGCTTCCTGAATGTATTCAAGAAAGGTTCAAACCCAGAGAGACTGGCTATAATCTAAGAGGAACTCATATTTATCAGAAAAATATATTTGGAACAAACACCAAAGCCAGATGTGTTTCAGTCAGAGGAGTAAATATATGGAATAGTCTGAATGACACCTTAAAAAACTCAACATCGTTAAACGCTTTCAAAAAAAAAATCAAATCTAACATAATTAGCAGTTACACAGAATTAGAAATAAATCACAGATAAACTCTCCTGTGTACAGTATATTTTGTACTTTGTACTATTTTGCTCTTGTACTTTGCTACTTGTAAAATGTTCCTTTGTACTATTGTGATTTTTTTTTTTTATTGTAATGATTTCGGGGGTGGGCGCTCATAAGCTTTTGCTTCGGCCCACTCCTTTTGAGCAGAACTTGAACTGCTCAAATAAATAAATAAACTAAACTAAACTAAACTATGTCGAAATAAGAAGTCGTTTGATTTAAATGTTGTATATATGTAAATTGAATTTAACATAAATAAATAAAAAGACAGCTCTTCCTGCGTCCTACGAGCGAGGTCTGGGGCTTAAACAGGAAAGTTTTACAGAATCAATCAAACAGCATTATTTCTGGCTACTTCATGGATGCAGTGGTCACTGTAGGCAATATCTTCACATAATCTGCAGGTGAAGGACGTCCAGAGACCGTTCCAGACAACAACACATACGAGTTTTCAACTGCACATGCGCAGTTGAAAACTCGTAATTTTGACTTTTAAAGTCGAAATTTTGAGTTTTAAAGTCAAAATTTTGACTTTTAAAAGTCGTAATTTTGAGTTTTAAACTCAAAATTTTGACTTTCTGTTTGCTTTTTTTTTTTTTACATGGCGGAAACGGGCTTCCATAGGGTCCTCATCATAAAATGTGATTTATTCGAAGTTTGCGTGTTTTCATTAGACAATTTCTGATGCGCGAATTCAAATTTTGAAAGTTGATGCTCAATGGAAATGTAGCTTAGAATTTTTCCGGAGTGGGAATATGAATATTGTTGTCCAAATTTGTGTTGCGTGTATTTTGCGTGTTGTGATGACGGTTTAGATGCTTTAAAACCATTTTCGAGAGGAAAAAAGGTGCTGGTGGTGGTGCACTCAGAATATTCCAAATTGTATAATTCTTTTTCTGAGTAAACCACCACCATCAAGGAGTCAGATTACAAGCATGTCAGCGCACATGCTCATGGACCCTTTTGAGCCGGGACCCGGCCCCAAGGTGGACCACTCACGCTACTGTAGACTATAGTCTCCAGGGCTATCCAGGAAGTGTTGCCAAAGACCTGAATAGTTATAATATTTTCATTATTATTAATGATAATAATGTCTATAATAATAACATTAACACTATTATTATTGTAAAAAGTGAAATAGTGCAGGGGTTAGTTATTGTCTTCACAAAAAAATATCTGAAACAGCAAACTCATTGGAGAATTGTTTGTGCTCATTAATTGGTTGGTTTTGGTGGCCATACCCTATGAAAAGCTATAAAACCTTTCAGCTTGATCTGAAGAGTAGGCAGGGCACAGAGTAGGCAGGGCACAGAGTAGGCAGGGCACCGAGTAGGCAGGGCACAGAGATGGCGTTGGTTATTGTCTGTATCTGTTTATTGACTTTGCTTGTCAGGACCAACTGCGACCAAACTTGTAGACATATAGGCAAAACTGGAGACCTGGAATTCAGTGAAGAAGGGGATTTTATATTAGCAGGTGTATTTAGCATTACCAGCCAACGGAAAACCATATCTGGGGATTATTCAGCTGTACCATATGAAATATGCCAGACGTAATGTTCTATGTCCTACTTGTATAAAGCAAGATAGTTACCAATATGCATGTATGGATTTTTAATGTGTGTGTACTTACAGGTGGAATCACAGAGAGCTGAGATTTGCTCTAACTGTCATCTTTACTATTGAAGAGATCAACAAGGAATCAAAGTTACTTCCAGGAATAACACTAGGTTATCGCTTGTACAATGGCTGTGGTAGTGAAAATTTGATCAGAGGCGCGATCAATGCTCTGAATGAGGAGAACCAAAGCTGCAGTGGACAGATCATAGGCCTGATCGGTCACTCGTCCTCTGGAGTAACCAAAGACATCAACTACATTCTTAGCCCCCTGGCTGTTCCACAAGTGAGAATATAATCAAATAATCAGGTTTCTAAGGGTGCATTTGCATTTGATTGTCTGGTTCCCTTTAACTGGACCAATTCTGGTCCACATGGGTAAAAGGTGAACACATGTCCACTGATCACTTCAGTTTACATCTTTTGAAGCATCTTTGCATTTGACTTGGTCCAGTTAAAGTAAGACTAACACTGTGAAAGCAACCTAAATGTCTTTACACAAGTAATTTTAGTGTACATGGTAGCTCATGTTGTTGTGTACCATGAGATACAAGTAAAGAAACAACTAAACAACTGTTCAAATCTTTGGCACACATTTGTATTGATAGTTTTGATCACTTTCAAATCCTTGTGAAAATTTATGTAATGGGTCTAGAAACACCCATTACATACACTTTGAATATCATGCATATATTTTCAAATAAGTACATTCTGGTATCTTCTTTCTTCTCTTCAGCTGAGCCACCTTTCAACATGTGCCTGCCTAAGCAACAAGAAGATATACCCTACTTTTTTCCGAACTGTGTCAAGTGACTTCTTCCAGATCACTGGTCTATTGCAGCTTTTGAAATACTTCGACTGGCGCTGGGTTGGAATTATATGTTCTCCAGATTTATATGCTCAGGAAGGCGCTGAAACGTTTATAAAGCTCTCCCAACAATATGGCGTTTGTGTTGAATACTATGAAACATACTACATAACAAGACAAAACGATCACCTTATAGAAGAACTGAAAACGTCCAGTTCCAAAGTGGTGCTGCTGTTTATGAGCTTGTCTTATACCAAGTCCATCTTGTCATATTTGGAAAACTACAACATCAGTGAAAAGCAATTTATTGGCAGTGAGTCATGGATCACACAAACAGAACTGTCTTCTATTGAGAGAAAGAGTATTTTAAATGGTGCAATGGGTTTGGCTATTCCTGAGGCTACTGTTCCTGGTCTGGGAGACTTTCTACTCAGATTGAATCCGTTAAAGGAACCACAAAGTGAAGTTGTCAAAGGAGTGTGGCAAGATATCTTTGACTGTACCTTTTCTCCCTCCAACACTTCAGTGATGTGCACAGGCTCTGAGGACTTGTTGGCTGTTCCGAGTCTCTACGCCGACTTTACAAAGATGAGAACAGAGAATAATGTGTACAGCGCCGTCTACTCTTTTGCACATGCCCTGCACTCTCTGCTGCAGTGTGAGAACGGCCTGAACCCCACCACTGGGAAGGCCTGTGTCAGCAAGAGCCAGGTCAAGCCCAAACATGTGAGTCCTAAACACACACACAACACAATCAATCAATCAACCATTTATTGTATGGCACAATTTATGTACAAGGCAATACAAAGTGCTTCACAAGAACAGTAGCATAAAAGTATTAAAGCTGGTGTTAAAATGTGGGTTTAAAAAGGAAGATAAAAGCAAAAAAATAGTACAAAATAGAATCATGACACAAATTAAGAACTATGGATTAGATAAGATACACTTTATTGGTCTCACACCGGAGAAATTTACAATCACTCACTAAGAGCGTGAACATATCAGGTTTAAAAAATGCCAATCGACAGCTCTGCAAAATGATAACAAGTAGAAAATCACTTGTAGAGTGCAGACCTTTGTTAAAACGTGCAAAAAAATATAACTCCTGGATCCAGACGGTGATTCGGATCACCGTCTGCTGTGGAAAAGACCCTGACCAAGACATTCACTGGTCTTACAAATGCACTTCCTTTTCTATAAATGAAATGACCACTGTGCCACCATGAAGGATCAACATTGCTTTTTGATGAATTGCTTTTTTTACTTATATTGGAACACCTAGGTTAAGGAAATATAACATAAAACTGTGGTAGAGATGTTTGTTATTTACATTTGTACATACTCATCTACAGTTAAGTTTGATTGATCATACAACTACTATATTGGTCTTTACTGACACTAATCCTCACTTGTGCAGCTGCTTGAGCACTTATATTATGTCAACTTCACCACACATAGCGGTGACAAGGTGTTCTTTGATAAAAATGGAGACTCTGCATCCCACTACGACTTGGTGAACTGGAAAGTCAGTGAAAATGGCTCTGCTGCGATTGTGAACATAGGTCAATATGACAAATCTTTACTGGAGGACAGTCTTCAAGTGATGGACTCGAAGATAACATGGGGTGGACCAAACGGCAAGGTATAGTAGGACATGAAATTAATGACCAAAATTTTTGAACATGTTATCATTATTATATATTATTATGTGTAGATTGTGAGGTCTGTATGTAGGGAGCCATGTCCTCCTGGGACTCGCAAAGCTATACAGAAAAACAGGCCTGTTTGCTGTTTTGACTGTTTTGAATGCCCCGAAGGAACAATCAGCAACCAAACAGGTGAGATGAAGCATCAACAAACTCTATGAAAATGTATGATTATCAGAACAACCAGATAATACATTTTTAAGGACACAATGAGTTAATATCAAGTTTGCATAAGTCCAAATGTCTTTCTTTCACATTCCTCAAATATTGACAGCAATGAGGTTAAAAGCACAGAAATTGATATCTATAACATAGGTTTACCACATTCATAGGTTTACCACATTCGGAAGGAGAAATAAAACAGTTGAAAACAGAGACATATGTATGGTGTTGTGAAATGTCTGTGGAAACTGACTAATACTATATGGTCTGGATTTGACATTGTTTAATTCAAATATGTTTTTCCTGCTTTTAGATTCTCTAAACTGTAAGACCTGCCCACCTGAGTTCTGGCCAAACGAAATGAAAGACAAGTGCTTACCCAAACCCACTGAATTCCTCTCCTACAAAGAGATTATGGGCACATTGTTAACCATATTCAGTTGTGTGGGTGTATTCCTGTCTCTGCTGGTCTTCGTTATTTTCTTCACGCACAAAGAAACTCCTGTTGTCAAAGCCAATAACTCTGAGCTGAGCTTCCTGCTTCTGTTTTCACTAAAACTGTGCTTCCTGTGCTCTCTCACCTTCATGGGACGTCCCTCTGAGTGGTCCTGCATGCTGCGCCACACTGCGTTCGGCATCACTTTTGTCCTCTGTATCTCCTGTGTTCTGGGGAAGACTATGCTTGTGATGTTGGCCTTCAGATCCACTCTTCCAAGTAGCAACATGGTTAAAAGGTTTGGGCCTCTTCATCAGAGGCTCATTGTGGTTGTCATCACTTCAATTCAAGTGGTTATTTGCGCACTATGGTTATGTACAAACCCACCTTTTCCAAAGAAGAATATGAAGTATTACAAAGAGAAGATTATACTGGAGTGTGCGGTTGGGTCTGCAGTGGGCTTCTGGGCTGTGCTTGGGTACATTGGATGTCTTGCACTACTGTGTTTTGTGCTTGCTTTTCTTGCCAGAAAACTGCCTGATAGTTTTAATGAAGCCAAACTGATTACATTCAGCATGTTAATTTTCTGTGCTGTCTGGATTGCTTTTATCCCAGCTTATGTCAGCTCTCCAGGAAAGTTCACTGTTGCGGTGGAGATATTTGCAATCCTGGCCTCTAGTTTTGGATTATTGATATGTATTTTTCTCCCTAAATGCTTTATCATAATATTTAGACCAGAGAAAAACTCCAAAAAACATATGAAGGTAAAAGTTCCATCAAGGAAAATGTAGTGATGTGTTTGATGTACAGTTGCTAAAAGAACTCTTTAGTATACCAATACATCAAGGTTATGTACAACCAATCAATCTGATTCAAATTATGATAATCAATCATAACATGCACTGGGGAAAAAAAGATCTCATGCTTGGAGGAACTTGGATTTGTGTTGCTCTACATCAGTCCCCTGGCCCGTACTGTCCTCTACACCGCTCCATAGACTACACACAAGGAGATCATCAGAGGCTGCAGACCTGCGCGCACGCCCAGTGTAGATACACCCAAATAATGTTACTCGCACATGCGCGCAGTCAACGCGTACGCTCTGTTAACGCCTACTGTGTAAATTCCTTACAGGCGTTAAAAGGTATATTCCCCGTAGGTGTATAGGTGACATTATGCCACATAATTAAACCTGGCCTCTGTACTGCAGGGGCAGATTAAACATATCAAATAATCAATGTCTCAGCGCTGACCCCTGAGGGACACTAAAAGTGAGCAGTACTATACAATAAACATATATCTGGTTAAATGACAAGACAAGCAAAAACCCAGAGCAGCCTCTGTTGGTCTGTTCAAAATGAAATGAATTAAGAATTGTATTGTTGTTGATTTGAGTAATTTATATTTCCCTTGATCTAATATCTTGTCATAATAGTGTTTGTAACAGAATTTTAAAAAAATATATAATGTAGAGATTGTCAAATAAAATAATATGGAAATCGTCTTCGTATACTTTGGGAAACACATCTCTAGATAATCCTTCACACGGGCAAAGGTTTCATGTACAAACAAAAAAAAAACACAAAACAGACAAGTGAGTCTGTCAGAGTTTAATGGACATTTACCTACAGGTCATAGGTTTGCATTTCCTATGTTCAAATTGTTTAATTTTAAAACTTGTTTTGGTGAATTGACAATGTTGTAAGTCCTCAGAGATGACTGATGTTGTGAATTAGAGCTATAAAAAAATAATGGATTTGTTCCTCTTCTTCGGGTGCTACTTTATGAACAGAACTGTGTATTTATATACACAGTTCTGTTCCTTCTTTATCATTATAATAATTGTTGAACATAAATCTCGGTCTTCCTTATATTTATCTTGGTAGTGAATATTGCAGATGGTCTTCAAATGATTAATATTGTTAACAATTACATTACGTCACATGTTTACTGTGATGGAACAATAGGGTCGCAGTTGTCAGCAGGGGAAAAAAAATGATGTCAGTCCTTCGAGGCTTTCAGACGGTCTATAATAAAACCAGCTCCTTCCTAGACTTTTTCTAGTCGTATTTAGACACTAGAAACATGAAAATGCTGCAGAAATCATTAGTGTTCCCTCTCCTCCAGTGCGTCAATACATTGTCAAGCTGTATATTACTGGGACCGGTGAATTTGCCAAGTCTGTATCAAGAGGGAGAAATAATGATTGGAGGTATTTTTCCTGTTTACAACAAAGAAATCCTTAACACATCTACATTTGATACGCAGCCTTCTGGTGCCAAGTGTGCGGGGTGAGAATATGTAACAATTGTATTCTTGTAACTTTGGATATTTTACTGAATATAATACACCTACAGATTTGACCTGCGAGCTTTCCGGTGGACACAAGTGATGATATTTGCAATTGAGGAAGTGAACAGGAGTGTTTTTCTTCTGCCAAATGTCACATTGGGTTACAGGATTCTGAACTCGTGCGCATCGCCCAGCACCACATTGCGAGCGGCGTTAGCCCTGGCCGGGGGTGTGGAGAGGGCTCAGTCTCCTTCTTGTGCTCCAGCTGTGTCTGCTCTCATCGCTGAGTCAGGGTCCTCTCAGTCTATAGCTGTGGCCAGGACTTTTGGGCCATTTAAAGTACCGGTGGTGAGGATAATAAAAAAATATGTTTATTATCACACAGCCATCATCAACATGTCATACAATAGAATTTTATATGCAGCTTGTTGACACTGACTGACACAATACAAAAATCTCCATGTAAGTAAAAATGTACTTCAGAATATGGAGATTTTAGCTTTGAGTGAGATAACAGAGTAAAGACATTACATTACATAGAGAAACACAGACAGAAACGATCATTCTTTTATGTGTTTATGTTTTGTTTTGTTTTTCCAATATAAAAAAAACTGTTTTTATGTTTTAGCAACATTAAAGAAACACATGGGACTCAATACAATAGATATAGGGACAAGCTGTCTATCTGAAAAAAATACTCCAGCTGCCTCTTCTGTTGTCTCCTGTAGGTGAGTTACTTTTCCACATGCGCTTGCCTCAGTGACAGAGACAAATTCCCAACATTTTTTCGCACAATTCCAAGTGATTACTTTCAGGCAAAAGCTTTGGCTTCTCTCGTAAAACATTTTAACTGGAACTGGATTGGAGCTATACAGTCGGACAATGACTATGGGAGAAATGGAGTGTCAGCATTTATCAAAGAAGTTCAGAACCTGGGTGTCTGTGTCGCCTTCGTTGGCACTGTTCTTCGTACAAATTCTGTCGGAAAAATTCTCAGAGTTGTTGACATGATTAAAAGATCAAGTGTCAAAGTTATACTCGCTTTTGTTCCAGAGGGGGATTTTTACCCTGTTATGAATGAAATAGTGAAACAAAACATCACCGGAATTCAATGGATTGCCAGTGAGGCTTGGATTACAGCTGCCCGGCCCTCGACCCCGGAAATGTACCAGTCATTCGGAGGAGCTTTGGGCTTTGTTGTGCACAAAAGAGAAATACCTAAACTAAAGCCATTTCTCTATCATATCAACCCATATGCTAAACCAGAAGCCGCATTTGTGAAGGAGTTCTGGGAAGCTGTTGTGGGATGTAGTCCAAGGTTAAATGATGCAAATGAGGGATATGAACCCACAAAGGAAATCTGTTCTGGCAAGGAGACATTCAAGTATCTGGACAATGTGTTTTTTGATGTGACACAACTGCGGGTATCCTACAATGTGTACAACGCTGTGTATGCAGTGGCCAATGCTTTGCATCAACTTCTCTTTTGTCAGACTGCCCCCAATGCGACAAACACACAGTGTAAGAAGGTGTCAGAAATCACCCCCGAACAGGTTTGTATCCCTTAAAACGTCATTCCCATTGTTAAGTTGTTCTTATGGTTTTCCAACTGTTTAGGTGACGGAGAACTTAAAAAAAGTGGCATTTCAGAACATGTTCGGAGATTACATATTTTTTGATGAAAATGGAAATCCACCTCCGTCTTATGACCTCATAAACTGGCAGATATCAGATGGTAAAGTTCAACATGTCACAGTGGGCCACTTCACCTCAGCAAAAGGAGGCTACGAGCTTGGAATTAACGAAGATAACATTGTCTGGAGTAAAGGACAAATGGTGGAGGAAAATACCATTTCAAGATGAATTGGAAAGAAAATAATGCAAATCTCCTCATTAAACAGGCACCTATATCTGTGTGTTCTACTCTCTGTAAAGTGGGAACCAGAAAGGCACAAATTAAAGGAAAACCAGTGTGCTGCTTTGACTGCATCCCATGTGCTGAAGGAACAATAGCCAACACAACAGGTAATAGTCTATCTATAAACCCATGTTACCTTTATAGCGCTGATTTCCTGAAATAATGTTCATTGTGCATTCTTCTAATGGGGTTGCATATGTTTGCCAGAGATGACAGTGAAGTCTCTCCTCTCCATAGATATAACTCATAAACTAGTTTAATGCTATGCTGTGGGACATTTTTAGCCTGACTCTCACCAGACCCTTGCAGTTCGCTGAGCTTCACACAAGGGTCTGGGTCTGCTTCATAGCGGATACAAAAAAAAAAATCCTTGTATGTGATAAACCACTGGATAAACCACTTGTCTGTTATCTTGAATGACGTGTTCCTTCAACCACTCACATCACACACAGCACATGATTCAGCACCCGACACCCATGAGTTGCCAAATGCCAGCAAGATTTTCCAGCCCAAAACCCTTGAGAATGGCCAAAAAAAACTACCCAGAATGATTATTTGGCTAAAAACATAATGCAATCAACTTGGGCTATCTTGATTCTGTTTACTGTCTTTCTGTTTGTTTATTACCTATCGCTTGGGAAAAAAAACGATGCGGGAAACCACCCAATGTGGCAACCCTGCTGCATAGTGTTGTAAACAGGAACACTTAAAATTTGGAACATTTGAGTGTTAAAACACACATATAATGACATGGATGGCTCATATTGCATTAAAAGTGACATACGTGTCTTAATTTGTTCGTATTTAAACTTTTTTTTTTTTATTTGTGGACTTTATGTTAGGCATCTTGGATTGCTTTTGCTACCGCCTGAGACGCGCACAAGACGGCGGTGCAAACCCAACGTTACACCGGTGATCCTGATTGGCCGATTATTTTTTGATCTCCTGAAGGAGTTTGCTATACGCTCGATTCCAGACCCTTGTGTTCAGCCAAACGCCTCTGGTGGAGTCAGGCTAGGACATTATAGGCCAAGAAACAAAGTCAGCAAATTGCAGACCCCCCACCGGGACAGTCGTGGAATCCACCTAAATAAAGCAAAGAAAAAAGATGGCCCTTGAACAAAAAATCAGCTGTCTTGCCAGAAAATATCATAACAAAGTCTTACACAGAATTGGACTTCCATCTCTTGAGTTAGAAGCCTGAACACATATAGATCCATGATTTTTGCATTGTTAAATAAATAAAGAAACTAAAGAAGTCCCAACACAAAGAAAGACTCAAATTACATGTTGGACTTTGTGGTTGAGCAAAAGGCAAAACAAATATTGTTACATTTTTTTTCTTCAGATTGGCTTTTGTTTGGTTAGGTCTCGACATATTTGATCTAATGTCCTTTGTATTGAACCCTAAAAAGCATGTCGTGACTTGTATCTGTGAAAGGTAAGTTTTACTTTGTGTAAATTAATGCATATTTATTTTCAACAGGTCAGGTAGAATGCACACAATGTCCTGAAGAATACTGGTCCAACAATCTCAAAGATCAATGTATTGCTAAAACCGTGGAGTACTTGTTTTACCAAGAACCAATGGGGATAGCTCTCACAGTTGTGTGTCTGATCGGAGCTTCTCTGTCTGTGGCCACTATGTTGGTTTTCATTCTCCACAGGCACACTCCAGTCATCAAGGCCAGCAACACCGAGCTCAGCTGCTTCTTGCTTTTCTCATTATTCTTGTGTTTTCTGTGTCCGCTCACATTTATCGGAAAGCCTACCATCTGGACATGCATGCTGCGACACACTGCTTTTGGAGTGACTTTTGCATTTTGTATCTCTTGCATTCTAGGCAGAACTATTGTTGTAGTTGCTGCATTTAAAGCAGCATTTCCTGGGAACTCTACAGCAGTGAAGTTTGGTCATGCCCAGCAAAGAATAATTGTTTGTTCTTGTACCCTGGTCCAAATTCTAATATGTGCTGCCTGGCTAAAGATCAGCCCACCATTTCCAGACAAAGTGCTTGATTATAGCAATACAAAAATGGTTTTAGAGTGTAATACAGGTTCCCAAACAGCCTTCTATGTTGTCCTGGGTTATATCGGGCTATTGGCAATAATATGCTTAGTGTTAGCATTTTTAGCCCGTAAACTACCAGATAATTTCAACGAGGCAAAGTTTATCACCTTCAGCATGTTGATCTTCTGTGCCGTCTGGATCACGTTCATCCCGGCTTATGTCAGCTCTCCAGGAAAATTCACTGTCGCCGTGGAGATTTTTGCTATTTTGTCATCAGCATTTGGTTTATTAATAAGTATCTTTGCCCCAAAATGTTATATAATATTAATCCGACCAGAGAAAAATACAAGAAAACACATGCTGGTAAAACAATGAAAATATTGTATAGACATGAACTGTTTTTATTTTACTCATTGTTATTTGAGGACATGAACACTGTATAGTCATCTGAGTCTATGTTAAACCTAAATCTAAATATTATGTCTATTTCCTTTCAAAGAATCAGAATAAATAGCACGTACAGCAACATTGAATGTGTATTGCGCAATGTGTTACATTTATAAAAACAATAAAACATTTAAAAATAAAAATAGCTGCCATATACAGGTAATTACTCCCACACCACCATAATTGTATTTGCTAAATACAGAAACTCAAAGAAGCAGCTACTGATAACTGAGTAGCTTTATTATTATTTTTTTATGAAGCTTTCAATTTGCCAAAAAAACAAACATCAAGTTTTATAATAGTGTGGTTGTCTATAAGCGTTTTGTTTCTTTCTTTTCTATACTCTTCTGTACTTCTTTAGAGTTATTTCAGCAGTAACGGCAGGGGAAAGCCTCAATGAAAGTCTATTGGTCTAGGACAATATGAGAAAAAAAATCCCAGCAATATGTCTGAGAGTATAAAACCACAGGTCGCCACACGATCTCTCACTCCTGCAGGATGGCATTGTCTGCTCCTCTCTATGTTATCTTATTAACCTTTGTCTGCAACGTCACATTTGCTGTAAAAGATTCTATGACACTTTGTGAGCTTCATAACCATTTTGAGCCAAGTTTTGTGGCTCAAGGTGACTTTTTACTTGGAGGTATTTTTCCCTTTCATTATAACCAAGAGATGCCAGATCTGAACTGCACCTACCGCCCACCACCAGTCAAGTGCAATGGGTAAGTTTAGAATTAAGTAAAAATATTCAACACTAATTCAGTAGTAATTCAACACTACTTATTAATAATATTTTATTTTCACCACATCTATGTTCTCTGCAGCTTTGATCCCAGAGCGTTCCGGTGGGCACTGACTATGATGCTGGCTGTGGACAAGATCAATCAAAACAAAGAATTGTTGCCCAATCACACCCTGGGGTACAAAATATTTGACTCATGTGCATACCCTCTGACTGGGCAAAGAGCAGCTCTCGCGGTTCTTAACGGAGCGTCAGAGAGCCGTGCTACATGTGGCGGTGTGTCCCCACTCCTGGCTGTCATTGGAGAGTCTGGATCTGCTCAATCTATTGTTGTCTCCAGAATACTTAGACCATTTCAGATCCCCATGGTAAACATGTTACAGAAAACAAACATGAAACACACAATGATTTTCCAACTCATGTTTTTGTTCCTACCAGATCAGTTATTTCTCATCATGCGCGTGTTTCAGTGACAGACAAAAATACCCCACATTTTTCAGAGTGATTCCAAATGATGACTATCAGGTAACTGCTTCACAGATAACTTAGTAGCCTAAAAATTTAGATTTGTAGAAAAGGACCACATACTGGTGAAAATAGTATTGTTTTTCATAGCATACTGGAACACTGTGTGTGTTTGTGTGCGTGCGTAGGTGTGTTTGTGTGTGTGTGTCGCTCTAGTCAAGACTTACACTGTTTCATAAATGGTAAAACAATAGCTGTGTCGTTTTCCATTAGGTGAAAGCCATAGCTCAGCTGCTTGTGCGTTTTAACTGGACTTGGGTGGGTCTGATCCGTGGGGATCATGAGTACGGACGGTTTGCAGTGCAGGGTTTATTGAGGGAGCTCCAGGAGACCAAAGTCTGTGTCGCATACACACAAATGATCCCTTTACTCTACAACCAGCATCGAGCTCTTGAAATCATACAGGTAGTAAATTTGTTACCAAACTGCATTCACGTTTTCTTATTTACACTATTCTTTACACTATAATGCAGAATCAATACATTTGTGTAAAACGAAATATAGAATTTGTATTTCTTATTCAAAAAGGAGATGCGCACTTCACGAGCCAAAGTGGTGGTAGTGTTTTCAGCAGAGGGGGAAATGACACCCTTCCTGAAGGACTACATGGAGCAGAACATCACAGGGATCCAGTGGGTGGCCAGCGAGGCCTGGGTCACAGCCTCAGTTTTCTCAGGGAGTGTTTACATCCCTTACCTGGGAGGCACCATCGGCTTTGGCATCAGAAAAGGCTCTATACCAGGACTCAATAATTTCATACAAAGAGTGACTCCGCATGTTTACCCTGGTAATCTACTGGTACAAGAGCTATGGCAGGCGTTGTATGGCTGTGCGCCTGTCACTTCAGCTCAGAGCACAGAGCTGCCTCTCTGCTCAGGAAACGAAACACTGCTGGAGAAGCATGCAGCGTATATGAACACGTTGAGTCCTCGAGTGGCATACAACGTGTACAAAGCTGTTTATGCATTTGCTCATTCTCTACACAACCTGTTTCTCTGTCAGCCAGGAGCGGGACCCTTTGAGAACAGCTCCTGTGCTCAAAGTAACAACATTCTCCCTTGGCAGGTACAGATGCTGCTTACACTACCTTACAATACAATACAATTCTTTTTTTCCCCATTAAAATAAATTACCAAATTTGACATCGCCTAAACATCTTTCTTGAAGCTTCAGCAATATCTTCAAGAGGTAGAATTCACTATTGATGGAGAAAAGGTGAACTTTGACCATAAAGGTGACTCCATACCATACTATGACATCATTAACTGGCAGAGAGGAACCAGTGGGAACATAGAGTTTGTTCCAGTCGGCCTGTTTGACGGTACCAGAGCTGCAGGACAGGAGCTGGTAATCAACGAGGACAGAATTATGTGGGCTGGCCATCAGAGCAAGGCAAGCAGCTGCTCAAACTGTCTTTATACCTTCTACAGATGTCAGCTGTTGAAGTTCTGTAGGTCTTGGTGGAGGTAAGTCATTTGCCTGATGATCCATATGTCGACCGAGATGCATTTACATAGATAATCTGCAATACGCAAATTAGTATGGAACTATTGTTGATGCAGATAGATGCATGTATGTTGATGTTGGTTTGTTTGAAACCTTTTAAGTATTTATTATTTTACAGAATCTGAACATTGTGACCATAAAAAGCCTTCTCATTAGGGGTATATAGCGGCATACAGAAACAACCTTGTCTTTATTATTGGACCAACTCCTGTTGCCTAAACAAGGGGTGCTCACCTCAGATTTATGTATGTGCGCAACAATTCAGTATTCACATTATGTTGGGGGAAAAAAATACTTATAGGCCTACATTATTAGTTTAAAGAAGTACTTGTAAAAGTTGCACATACATTTGACACAAAATGTACAGTATATGATTTGATTTCATGGAGACTGAGACAGTGTTTTCCATATTGTAAATGTCACTGCCTGAAAGACATGTAAATGGTGCCAGGTGAAAGATGATGCATGGTGCTTGATTAGCAGAAGCACAAGTGTGTACTTGTGGGAGGAGGACTGAAGTGAAGGCAGGTGAGACAGTGCCTATGGGAAACACTAAGAATTCCAGTGTGAACTTTCATTATTGCTCAGATTGTGCAATCAGAAGATCAGTGTTGACTTACAATAACTACAACTTGTTTAATGTAGGTGCCAGTGTCCGTGTGCAGTGATAGCTGTGCTCCAGGGTCCCGGAAAGCTGTCCGTCGTGGGGAGCTTGTTTGCTGCTTTGACTGTGTACCATGTGACGGCGGGAAAATTAGCAATGAGACAGGTTAGTCGAGAAATAACCAAAAATTGATGACACATATATTGACACGCAAATTTTGTGGTGCGACCTGCATGGTGCCAGAAAATAAAACCTGTCATATTTCTGAAGCTAAGCATATCAGGCCTTGGTTAGTACTGTGATGGGGGACCTCTGGGAACATCAAGTGCCACAGTGGGGCGGCTGTGCCAAACTGTGGCCAACACACACATTGCCTGGTATGGTGTGTGCATGAATTATTGATGGTGACTGGAGGGGCTAATGGCTAAAAGCGCTATATAAAACCCATGCATTATTATTATTACAGTAAATAACAGAAACAAAACTGGGAAAAACTCACAATGTTCAGCCGCATGAATAGTAATGACTATTCTTTTTAAAACTCACTGTTCATGATTTTTTTTTTCTAGATTCAATTGAATGTATAGTATGCCAAGAAGACTTTTGGTCCAACCCAAACAGAACAGCCTGTATTCCTAAAGAGGTGGATTTTCTGGCCCATGACACCCTGGGCATAGTGCTGACGGTCACTGCTGTGTTGGGTGCTTGTCTCACCATCACCGTCTTGATCGTTTTCTACTACCACCGAAACACAGCCATCGTCCGGATGAACAACTCTGAACTGAGCTTCTTTATACTCCTCTCTCTCACACTTTGTTTTCTCTGTTCTTTGGTCTTCATTGGAGAGCCGACAATCTGGTCCTGCATGTTGCGCCACACAGCTTTTAGCATTGCATTTTCTTTATGTATCTCTTGTATTCTTGGGAAAACCCTCGTAGTGCTAGCTGCCTTTACCGCTACTAGACCAGGCAACAACTTAATGAAATGGTTGGGGTCCAAACAGCAAAGAGCCATTATATTTACCTCCACTTTAGTCCAGGTGGTGATTTGCATAGCTTGGCTCAGTCACGCACCTCCGCATCCATATAAAAACCTAGAATATGAAAGATCAAAAATTATACTAGAATGCAGCAATGGTTCCAGCCTGGCCTTTTGGTGTGTGCTTGGATATATTGGTCTCCAAGCTGGTCTTTGCTTTCTGTTAGCCTTTCTTGCCAGAAAGTTACCTGGAAATTTTAATGAAGCCAAATTCATCACCTTCAGCATGTTGATCTTCTACGCGGTGTGGCTATCCTTCATTCCGGCGTATATCAGCTCACCAGGGAACTACGCAGATGCTGTGGAGTCTTTCGCAATCCTGGCTTCAAGCTTTGGCCTATTATTGTGTTTGTTTGTCCCAAAGTGCTACATTATTTTACTGAAACCAGAAAAAAATACCAAACACCATCTGATTGGGAAGTATAAGACATAGGCATTTATTCACCTAATCCTTCATTTAATTCAGCTTTGCTTACTATTCACCTCCACAAATAGATTAAAGTACAGCTGAAAGTTTATTTAAAACAAAAATATATTAACAATTTTATTTTTGCACGCTTCTTGTTTATCTTATTAAATGGGGGTGTAGACCCTTAAGGGTTAGCCTTGTTAGGTCAGAGCCTCGCATCATCAAACTATCTATGTATGAAATTAATTGTAATAAAATAGATTAATGCATGACAATAAAGTGAAAATGTGTTTATTTGTGATATAGAGCAAAACTTCATCCCCAATGAATGTCTCTAAAGATTTAAGTGGCTCAGAGAATAAACTTTAAAGCAGCACTTTTTGTGTATAATGCCGCTTTTCCATTGTCACGGTACGTCACGGCGTGGCACGGCCAATTTTGGGTGCTTTTCTCCAAGTATTGTCAGACCACGTCATTTACGCGGGACGTGTAACTATGTTGTAACATTGGTCTGATGCACCAATTTTTGTCATATGCCTAAACATTTATTTTGCCCTTGTGTTTTGACCAAAAATAAAACCTTTTTGTATTTAGCAAGTGTCGTTGCTAAATACATGTTCATAAATGTACCAAGATATACGGATTTACTGACAAAAATAATGTATGTAATGTAAATAGAAGTAAAAGTAAATGGTAGGGAATCGTAAATTTTGCTTTTGAACCCCTTTTCTGCATGTGTACAGACAAATTAATGAAACAAAGTCTTGATACGATCACAGAGTTATTCAAAACAAAAGTAAAGAGCAAAATTAACAATTTATAAAGTACGTACAGTCTTTTGAGACTGGGTGAAGGGACGAGTGTTCATTCATTGCTTGTTGGTAATCTCCTCACTTGTGGAAAGGGATTCTCAAACAAGTAAATATACACACGACAACTTAAGTACAAGCACAAAACAGAATGGCAACATGTGAAAGAGCAAGATACAGCACAATAGCATAGGAAGGACATTTTAGCTTAGCTTGCTATCGATAGCTAAAGGTAGCTAGCTCACCGTGTACAACAGAAAATCAAACTTAGTAAATACATTTCAGTGAGAGCTTTGCGCCAAAGGGATACATAGCTAACCAGTTATTTCCAGGATTATCACAGACAAAAGTCACAAATCAAGGGCTGTGCGATCTCCCTAAAGACCTTCTCGTTCTGTGTTGAGCCGTCGAGCTGCCTTTGAATTCTTTCTTCGGCCTAAAGAGAGTTGTGGACTTCGTCGACCGAGTGAGGAGGATGTGTTGTAGCCGAGCAGCCAGTTTTAAAGATGGCGGGTTGAGTTGTTTTTACCTTAGGGTCGGACGTCGCTTCCAGTGAAGACATTCGTTGACCAATCGGTGTAAGGCAGTCGGCTGACGTCACGTTATGGTGTAGCTTTGGCATGCTTGGGACCACTGTCGAGGTGGTACAAAAAAAGTACCCTCTTCATGGCCTTGCACCATCTGTGACATGTTGGTGCTATATGAACCAATTCAGACTCTGAAGAGCACAGGGGCTGGCCTCCTGCCTAGAGTCAGGACTTAATATGACGAGGCAGTGTTTCAGATTTATGCAGCTAAAATCTGGAAAAGTGTTCCTGAAAATGCAAGACAGGCTTCTACTCTGACTTGTTCAAATTCAGATCAAAAACAGTTCTGTGTAGCTGTGCATACAACTGAAAGAATTTGCCTTTACTTGTTTTAATGTTTTTTAATGCCTTGTATGAATGTTTTTATCTTGTAGAAGAACTTTGAGTTGTCTTGTGTATGAACTGTGCTATATAAATAAACTTGCTTTGAGAGTCTTAATTTTAGATATGTACCGTCCATTCTGACAAATATCTTCAACTAACAATGAATAGCAAACACACAATAGACATTTTACTGTTTTATTAACATTGTTGCAGTTCTTTAACCTGACTCTCGCCAGACCCTTGTAGTTCACTGAGCTTCACACTAGGGTCTGGGTTTGCTTTATACCGGATACATTTCAGAATGTGGGGCCTCGTAAAAAGAAATCCTTGTTTGTGAATGGATAAACCACTTGTCTGTTATCTCCAAGCCCCGGTGATCCAAGATGGCGCCCTATTCAAATGAATGGCTTGTGCTCAGTAGCGCATGGGACGCATGGGATCGTCTGGTCCTCCCGGTTCTGCGCAGTGGATAATCCACTGCGCAGAACTGCAGACGTGCGTGTGTGGCTTTCATGCACGCGCAGAGAGGGGCTCGGCCGTGCTCTGACCAATCAGAGCTGTTCATCAGAGCGGGAGTAAGAGCGGGAGCCAGACAGGCAGAATTTGTAGCACTAAAGTGTGGATTGAAAGAAAACCGAAGGATTTAAGAATAAAAATTTAAACACTTAAACTAGTACTTAAAGGAGCTATTCCCGTTTTTGCAAGATTTGAATGTTTAACACCGCCCCCCAACTCACTCACAGGCATCTCATTTACCCTACGCTCTCATCCTACTGCGCCATCTACTTTTATTTGCGATCTGATACGTATGCAAACATTAGAATGAGCGCAACTTCTTGTAAGCTGTACAACAATCACTGATGAAATGGTACAAAAGCAACGCCCAGCACTTTTTACAGCCTGAATTCATACACAAGCTAAATCAATGAGCTCAAGTTTTCAATTAAAGTTGAACTAACTCACTTTATGAAATTTTTGAATGTGAGCGCTGGCCTTGCTCTTCTGCTCGCCCTCCCCGCACTCACGAAGCTATCACCCCCCACTGCCCCCTTCCCACTCAGCCTGTGCCAAGCCCTGGCGATCCAAGATGGCGCCGTATTCAAATGAATGGTTTGTGCTCAGTGGCACATTGTGTCGGCATGGGCGCTGAAAGATTAGCAGAACTCCGCCTGGAACTCTCAAAGATCCATGGGAACTCGCTTGTATTTGGGCATCGTCTGGTCCTCCTGGTTTTGCGCAGTGGATGAACTCCCATGATGCGTTGCGCCAAATACACTTGTGTGGCTGTCATGCACGTGCACAGGGGGCTCGGCCGCGCTTTGACCAATCAGAGCGGGAGTAAGAGCGGGAGCCAGACAGGCAGAGTTTGTAGCACTAAAGTGTGGATTGAAAGAAAACCGAAGGATTTAAGAATAAAAAAAATTCAAGATGACAAGGGACACTAAAACCCCTACAAAATCCGACCTTTATGAAAGCTGTAGGTTCTCTGTCAGCTGAGGTCGAGCTGTTTTAATTTGCATTGAGTTCTATGGGGAACATTTCTGGGTAGCCCACGTGAATTTAGTCAGGTTTAGTCTACAGTACCGCGATAATCCCTGAGCACATGGGTTTTTCAGCTCCAAGCTAGTAATACCTTATCCAGTTATTATAATAGATCTATGGCCTGTGCTTATGTGTTTACGGAACCCGCGTCTCACAATATGGATCGCACATTTGAACGTGGATGGCGTGACCATAGAATGATAGAACCGGGAATCGCGGAGGAACGAGACTTTCTTTTGGATGGCTGTTTTGCTGTGTAAGCAGTAACCGGTCACAGTGACACGGGAAGTTTCAGGTTACCCTCCGCCGCTTGTTTACCTCAGCTGCCTGTGCTAACGAGAGACCTGTAGCTTTTTTCAAGAAAGTGGGGGCCAGTGGTCCGCTGTGATTGGTCACAATCTGGTCCCAAAACAAATTATCTTCCTTGTTGTACGAAAACTCGAGCTGAAATAAAATGACACGCCAGCACAAATCTGCACTACTTTTTCTTCAAAAGGACGTATATCCCAGTGCACTGCATGGATATGGATTGACTCCATTGACTCCTTGCATTGCAAACTTGTGCTCAATTCCAGACCCTTGTGTGTGAAGCGAACGCCTCTGGTGGAGCATGGTGGAACTACAAGGGTCTGGCGAGAGTCAGGCTAGCAGTTCTTCCCCATCCACACATAATGTGTCTTTTATTTAATATGTTTTACTGTCATAGATTTCTTGACATTTTTTTCTGGCCGGAATAAAATTATATAACATTTGGGCATAAAAATACAAACCAACAAACCAAAACTTGAAGCTAAGATTGCAAATATCTCCACAGCCACAGTGAATTTCCCCGGAGAGCTGACATAAGCTGGGATAAAGCAGATCCACACAGCCCAGAAGATGATCATACTGAAGGAGATCAGGTTAGCCTCGTTGAAGGTGTCGGGCAACTTCCGTCCAAGGAATGCCAGCAGGAGACAGAAAAATGCCAAGAGCCCAATGTATCCCATAACCAAGAAGAATCCCGGTGGCCAGGGCTCTCTGCACTCCAAAACAATCTAGAAATTGGGGTTGAGAATCATATAAACCTATTAGTGCCAAGTTAGCAATCCTTGTCCCAGCCCTGTTTTTACACTGGTCCCGACATGAAGTTATGCATGTGATATGAGTTACCTTTCCAGTCGTAGCTTGGTAATCTGGATTTCTAAATGGAAAAGGAGGTGCTGCTAAAAGCCAAACAGCGCAGAGACAAACCTGAAGAACAAAAAACATGAGAGAAGAGATCATTTTATCAAAAGCGCAGAGAACAGATGTTTGGTACCTGTGGCGCAGTGGTGCACAGTATGAGAATTCTTTGCTGGATTGGTCCAAACGCGCGCAGAGTGTTGGAGCGGGGTGTTTTGGTCCTAAAGGCCAACAGCACAACAATAGTTTTAACCAGGAGACAAGAGAGGCAGAGGACAAAGCTGACACCAAACGCTGCCTGTCGGAGTCGGCATGACCACACTGACGGCTGACCCATGAACACCAGAGAACACAGGAAGCACAGTTTGAGTGATGCAAGAAGCAAGAAACTGATCTCGGAGTTGTTGGCCTTGACAATGGGTGTGGTGCGAAAACAGTGGAAGACGGTGGTGATCACAGCAGTAAGGGACACTCCCAGTAACGTCAAAGTGACCAGGATGATGCCCATAGTGTCAGTGTAAGATAAGAACTCTTCAACGCCAGGGACACATTTGACTTTGTTCTCGTCAGACCAGTAGTACTGAGGGCACTTGGTACACTCACTAGATCCTAAAAAACACAAAGACCATCAACAAATCTTTAAATAAAACATTTTCTAGAATTGTGTATTTGTTGACAACATATAACAAATACATCCATTGTATCTTTTGCCAATTGCTCCATAATTCATTTTAATAACAATTAACATTTTTTTTGTAAAGCAGTGTATGCAACCTTTGTCTTTTACATAAATGGACCCCTCCACCTTCCAGAATAGAACCACCTGAACAAATCAGATCACCACAAGTCGTCTACTATATCAAAAATTAAATTCAAGAAACAAGTTATTCTGCACAGCTGTTTGGAACTGCGGGGTGTCGCCGTTGTTCCATGGTGATGGGCCTGACAGCTGTATAGTGCTGCTTCATGTGCACGTGTATGCATGCATGCTTTGGACTCTTTGTTCCAGGTCTCACCAGACGACCGTTGAGACAGAACTGAATCTGCCTTGACTCCTTTATGAAGTCATGTAAAATGTTTATTGTGATTTTAAATAAGAAAATCACGTCATATGGTAGAGTCTACCAAAATGTATGTTGCATTATGCCATCTCGTTAATCCATCATGAAACCCTTTCACCTGATTGATTGCTGATCTCTCCATCGCCGCAGGGCAAACAGTCAAAGCAACATGGAGGCTGTCCCATACGAGTGGCCTTCCTGGTGCCCGGGGAGCAGGGTGCACTACACTGGGACAACGGCACCTGGCACAAATGGATCCAGCAAAGACGAAGTATAGTTATCGTCATCTTTACTTGAAAGGCTTATTTGGGTTTATTTATTGATGTACAGTGGGGAAAATCAGCCCCATTTGTGCAAGTCCTCCTACTTTTCATCAAAGCTGTACCTCAACTATGACAGACAAAATGAGAAAATCTAGAGAATCAAATTTTATCTATCTGCATTCCCCGATGCAGACATCTTCTAGAGCAGTGATGATTTGGAGTGGACTTTCAACTCCCTTGCTGATGAAAGGAGGTTTGAAAATGTCATAAGACATGGCCCCATTCATTTTTTCCTTCACACGGATCAATTGTCCTGGTCCCTTTGCAGCAAAACAGCCCAAAGCATGATGTTTCTACCCAAGGCAAAGCAACCAGGACAACTGATCCGTGTAAATGAAATCATGAATGTATTGTGAGATTTTGAGGGAAAACCTTTTGGAAGATGAAATGTGGCTGGGTCTTTCAGGGATGATCCCAAACCCACTGTCTGGAAGCAAAAGAATGGCTTGGTAAGAAGCTTTTCAAGGTCCTGGTAGTGGCCGAGCCAGTCTCCAGATCTCAACCCCATAGAAATTATTGGAAGGAGAGTCTGTGTTACTCAGCGACATCACTGCTCTAGGAGAATTGCATGGAGGAATGGGCCAAAATACCAGCAACAGGGAAGACTTACGAAAAACGTGTGACCTCTGTCTACTTACTACTTATTTTCCAGGTTAGACAGGGTTACACAATTTGTAAATAGATACTTTAAAAATCACACAATAATGTTCAGGATTTTTTCGCATTTTATTTTATATGTACCAATGGTGATTATTACTGGAATCTCGTATATTGTTAATTGGGAGAACATGCACAATTGGCTGCTGAATATATACTTTTTTTACATGGTCAAAGTGTCTTACCTGCCTCAGTCCCGTGGTCCATGTGATATTGCTCTGGTCTATCTGCATTTGATATCCCGAACGAGCTGAGCCATCGTAGCTTCCCACTTTAATTAATCTGTAAAGCATTAATCCTGGTATAAATGTTTTGTTTTCAGTCTATTCTAAGATTCTCAAAAAATATTTAATTGTGTTTACATGATTTTCTCCTCAGAGGTCTTCTGCCAGTTGATAATGTCATACAGTGGAACTGGTTCGCCGTTGGAATCAAAATATGTTCTTTCCCCAAACTGATCAGTGAAGTTGATTTTTCTAAGATGGTGTAATAACTATTAAAAAAATAAATAAACAGATTGTTCCAGATGTGAGCCATGTCCCTATTTATTTGTGCTTTGACTTACCTCTGTTGGAGTAAATGTTCTAAGTTTGCACATTCCTCTTGATGCATCACATTCTAAGAGTTGGTGCAGTGCGTGACCAATGGCATAAGTGGCTTTGTAAACGTTATAAGAGATTCTGACCTGAGAGACATCTGTGTAGCCACTGTCAGTGCCACTGACATCCTCCAAACCGGAACAATTCCTCTTTACAGAACCATCATTCTCTTCATTAGGGACAATGTTTAGCTTACAGTCAAACAGCTCTTCCCAGAACGTGTTGAGTAATCTCATACTGGGCAGTGAAGATGGCCGCACACTTTGCAGAAACTCTTTTAGTCTGGGTATATACACACCAGGAAAGGAAAAGCCCAATGTCCCCTCCAGGAGACCCTGGAATGTCTCTGATGTGAGCAGAGTGGCTGTTACCCACGCTTCACTTGCCACCCACTGAATCCCTGTCACATTCCTCCGAGACAACTGCAAACCATTAAACTCATTACTTCCATTTACTTTAACTGATTTCTAAAGTCTACTTCAATTTTTTGCAACGATTTACAGTCAATGAACAGAACACGATCAGTTACCTCTGAGAACAGTGCCACCAACTGGCCTTCGGTCGCAAACACCACCACGACTCGTGCTGTGGAGCTTTGCAGAGCGGACGCCATACTCTGGACCTGAGCCATGGAGGGTGTTTTAGGAATAGTGATATGAAATGCTACACACCCTCCACGCTTACGGAACTCCTGTGAAAACGCCTGAATGCCATAATGGCTGTAGTCATCCTAAAAACATTGCACGTAAATATATACTATATTGTTGACAAAAAAGGCACAGAGGATTTCTTACTGTAGTTCCAATGGTGCTGATCCAGTTCCAGCCAAAGAAAGTGACCAGCTGTACCAGACCTCTAACTTGGAAGAGGTCACTTGGCACTGTGCGCAAAAATGATGGAAACACTTTTTTGTTGGTAAGACACGTGCATGTGGCAAAGTAGCTCACCTACACAACAAAGTTAGAGAGAGATATCTGAATTAACTTCATTATTCACAGTTAACATCAAAATCTGAAATGTCTTCTGTAGCCTCTGGTCATTACATGTAAGGATTACATAACATTAATGTTTGCCCCTCCATTTGCATCTGTAGTATTTTTAGTAGTTTTAGTTATTTGTCCACTAAGTAACCATTATTCACTGAAGAAAGTGGAAGTGTACAAAATCTTTTGCTGTAGATAGGTCAGTTATGGGGTTTTCAACGTGCCTACAAGGTATATATTTCTACAAAGTCAGAAGTTCAGTTTAGCTGTATTTTGCTCCCACACCAGAGGAATGTCAAAGGGGCCCACAGTGTGTGCCACAGCTCTGGTGGGAGAAGATGAGGCCAGGCCAATCACCGCAGACACAGGTGAACCAGCCAAGCACGGTGCAGATCCTTCAGACGCTCCACCGCCACCAAAAATACGTTGGCTGACATCCACATTTTCCATAGTTTTTTCATTAGTTTGCGAGAGTAAAGAAAAAACTGCCTGCAGGCTGGTGTGGACGTGGTCGCAGCTGTCCATGATGCGATAGCCCAGTTTGACCCCAGGCAACAAACTCAAGTCTCCGTTGATCTCCTCCACGGCAAACACCATGGTCATCATCCAGCGGAAGGCCCTGAAGTCAAAGCTGAACAAACAAAAGCATCTGTAAGCTGCAAAGAAACACAAATACAAATACAACAGTAAATTGCTAAAGCTTAGAAATTGTGAAAGGAATAGGCTTCACTACATAAATAAATGTTTTAGAGTATAAGGTCAAAAAACAAATATAAATTATTATCATTTGTTTTAGCTCTACATTCATATGGATACAAAACCAAGTGTTAGGAGGGTTTATGAACATTTATAATTATGAAAAGATGTGTTTTTAAACTTTAAACACTGACATTTTCAGGAAAATGTGAAAAGATATATATTATACAGTTGCGCTTGAAAGATTACACCCCAGCAATAGAAATGTCTTTGTTTTGTAAATATTTGTAAGATTATCAATGATTACACATACACAAAAAACTCATTTGTTCCTTCTCACTCATTGTTAGAAGTTGTGTGGACCCATATAGTCAAATTATTGTATTTTCTATTTAAATTAAGCCATTCTGAGGAGATCTTAAAACTTAGTGTTAGACGGTCCAGGAATTAACAGGAACTGGGGGATTTTTGCCAAGAAAAATGGGCTGCTTTACCATTAGAGAGGATAAACAACTACCACAAAAGACTGTCATGTTACAAAGGCAATACACACCATCGAGAACTAGAGGACGTGAAAGCAACACATCAGTAAGAATGAGTGGGGAAGAAAGACAGAATATCTCAAAAATATGGCTAAAAAAATACTACTATCCTGCATGGTTGGGGACACTTTCAAGCTCAACTGCATAGACCTATATCTTTTCTTTTTAATACACTACTGTACATTAGCACATTTCTCCAAAGGGGGATCAATAAAGTATCTATTCATCTATCTATCTATCTATGACATACAAGACATTAGCACATATGTTCTCAGTATCCAAATTCCACAGACCCAGTGCATGCTATGACTGGTGGTTTGTGTCTGTAGTCCTTCTGTGGCTCTGGGGCCAAATAATGCAGAGGGAAAAGTCCTCCGATCATAACGTGTCCCTGAGACTGCAGCACCAGCATTTCACTGTCCTTTATGGACTCACACGACCTGTTAACAGCTTCATGCTCATCGTCACCCGACAGGGAGAAGTTAAAACACAAAGAAAACTGGATTAAAAGAGTGAAATAAAACAATAATCGATGGTCCAGCACTGCCGCCATGTGAGCCGTGTGAGGATGAGGTGTGTCTGTGGTGAAACTGTAGAAATGTACTTGTTACTCAACGCTACTGCTCACAATACGTCAGCCAATCACCATCAAGCAGCATCTGCACTAATGAATATTAAACATAGAGACACACTAATACATATATTGTTGTGTTTATGTAACTCTGTGTGGAGTACTGTTATACCAATAAAATATATAATAATTTTGAGTGGACAGTGAAGAAAGTAAGTAATTAGTAAGTAATCTTTATTTATATACCGCCTTTTCACTGCACATCGGAGTCTCAAAGCGGTTTACAATTGTTATTTTTGGGAGTGGGGGTGCCAGTACAGGAGGCACATGCCAGACCTATTGTACATATTTTTAGTGGTAGGGGAAACCGGAGGACCCGGAGGAAACCTACGCAGACACGGGGAGAACATGCAAACTCCACTCAGAAAGGCCCTGGTCCAACCGGGATTCGAACCCAGGACCTTCTTGCTGAGAGGCGAGAGTGCTATCCACTCAGCCACCGTGCTGAATGAAAGTGAATGAAAAAGAAAATTCTTTCTTTACTTTTTTTCTTCTTTGAAGAAAGTTTGTATTCATGTTCACTGTGTGTTAAAACTATGTGTACCGTAACTGGCCTGTTGCAATTACAGCAGTGGAAAGCAGGAGTCACACACTGTAACCTTGCCTTTATAAAAGTTAAAAGGTAAAAAGTGATCTAAAATTAAATTAATTAATGAATAGTCTTTGTGGGAAGAAAAAGCTATACTCATGCGTCTCAAAACAAAGGTAACTTTTTATTGTAATTATAGATATTTTTAGACAATGTTTTGACTTATGCATATTTTGTCTTAAACATATTTTCAAATTGAATGCAGGTCTGTGAAACTGCTGAGCTCTGTTCAATCAGTGTCTTTATGTAGACACCAAATTAGAAAGCTGGCAATTAGCCAGTACTTACATTTATGTTAAATGTTTTATGTTTCATGAGATGATGTAGGAACGAGAATCTTCATTTGTATCTTAGTGGGGGTAAAAACTTGATGATGACCTAAATTTAGAGTGAAAATTACATTTACAATGTCAAAAGACTATACTTCAAAGTAATGTAAGTAATGTCACTTTCTACCACTGAATATTTTGCATGAAGCTGAGTAAGATTAACAGTTTAGGGTTTTGGCAAATAAGTGAGATGCACACATAGTTTCTGTCTTTCAATCTTTATTGCACAATTATTAAAATATTCCATGTATGCATATTCTTGTTGCTATTTATTCATTAAAGATCTTTTTGTGTTTTTCTCTGGTTTGAAAAGTATAATGAAACATCTTGGAAGAAAAAGACAAAAAAACATTCCAAAACTCGAGGCTAGAATTGCGAATATCTCCACAGCGACGGTGAACTTTCCTGGAGAGCTGACGTAAGCCGGGATAAACGTGATCCAGACGGCACAGAAGATCAACATGCTGAAGGTGATGAACTTGGCCTCGTTGAAATTATCCGGGAGTTTACGAGCCAAGAACGCCAACACAAAACACAGCAAAGCCAACAGGCCTATGTATCCCAGAACTGCCCAGAAGCCAATAGGAGACCCTAATGCACACTCTAAAATAATCCTGTCTTTGAATGTGGTCAGGTTCTTTATGGGAGACGGAGGATTCACAGCCAGCCAAATTATACAAATCAAAACTTGTATCAGCGTGAAGGAAACAACTGTTATTCGTTGCTGCGGTGGCCCGAACCATTTCATGACATTACTGCCTGGGAGTGTGGCTCTAAAGGCCATGAGCACCACTATAGTCTTCCCCAGAACACAGGAGATACAGAGGACAAAGGTGATGCCGAACGCAGTGTGGCGCAGCATGCACGACCACTCAGAGGGACGTCCAATGAAGGTCAGTGAACATAAAAAGCAGAGTGTGAGCGAGAGAAGCAGCCAGAAGCTTAATTCCGAGTTGTTGGCTTTGACTATTGGGGTGTTTCTATGGTGGAAGAAAACCATTGCTGTGAGAATAGCCAAGCAAGCTCCACCCACTGAGAATGCAGCCAGGATAATTCCCAGGTTCTCACTAAAAGTCAAGAATTCTTCAGATTTGGGCAGACAGGAATCCTTCGTAGGGTTTGGCCAGAATCCCTTAGGACAAGCGCGACAATTAGGGGAATCTAAATCAAAAGAAAAATATTTGGTGCTATGTTGTTGATGCTGTTGTTAAATTAATAATAGTGTTACCTGAAATGTTGCTTATTTCACCCTCAGGGCATGCAAGGCAGTCATAGCAACATTTAGGCTTGCCTTTCTGGAGAACTTTACGTGTACCCGGGACACAGCTCTGACTGCACACTGACAATGGCACCTGGAGAGGAGAACATGTTACACGGTTAGTTTGTTAAGGAGACAGAAAGAGGAAAATATACAAATATGTTATTCATTCCTGCAAGCATTTCTCCTGACCTGACTGGCCCCTTGCATCCATTGCATGACTTTATGAATCCTAAACTCATGACCCTTATGTTGAGATGCGTCGAAATGCCCGACTGTGTCCAGCTGGAATGTGCCTCGGTCGGTCGATTGCCAGTTCACTAGCTCATATTTTGCCTCTGGATCCCCATTAGCATCAAATGACACACTGTATCCATTCTGAGAGAAATTTACTGTCTTAAGATGTGAAAGTATCTGAAATGAGGAACACAAAACAGATGTAACTTGGAGGAAATAATAAAGAGGGTAAAATGTAAATGGGACGTACCTGTGCAGTCTGCATTGGTATAAAATGGTGACATCGGCTTGCATTAGTCTGTCCATGGCACATTGCGTTGTGAATGGCGTGTGCTAAAGCATACACTGCCTTATAGACCATATTAGTGATGCGCAGCTGTGATGTGTCTGTGTAGGGGTTCTGAAGATTCACTATGTCTTCCCTTCCATCACACACTGTATCATCTGGAAGAGCATCTGTGAAAATTCAAGCATTTGCTAAATATCCTGTTGCAAATGAATTGAAATTGTTAAAGCTAAATGTTCTCACTTGTTGGCATTCGGCACTTGAACGCCTCTTCCCAGAACTTGCTTAACAGTGGAGAGTCGCTCACTCTCAAAAAGGGCAGATCTGATAAGAACTCCTTTAGCCCAGGGATCTCCGACTGTGGGATGCCCAGTCCAAGAGCCCCCACACAGGAGCTGAAACGGAGCAGGTCGGGGTTTGTTACCCAAGCCTCACTTCCCACCCACTGCCGGAACGGAACAGGCTCCTGGCACAGCTCCTCCAGCAGAATACGCATGTCTCCAGACGCTGCAAAGGCGACAACTATGGTCGCCGTGGACCTACAATATACACACATATCATATACTTGCTATGTGATTTCCGCAGTCCCGTTACATGTATTATACATGAAACAGAATATCAGTACAAATGAGTGGTTGCCTCATACCTGCGTATGACCTGTGCCACCTTCTGGATGCGGCTGTGAGAGTATGTCCTATAAAAAGGTTCTGAGTATTCCACACAGATGCCTTCCCTGTTTGCTGCTGACAGGAAAGACGCCATGCCATTATTCCCATAGTCTGAGTCTGAATAGACAGTTCCGATCCAGGTCCAGCCAAACTGTTTGACCAGTCTGACCAGAGAATCAGCCTGGAACTTATCACTGGGAATTGTTCTGAAGAAGCTGGGATACTGCTGTTTGTCAGACAGGCAGGCACATGTTGCAAAGTGACTGACCTGGGAAATTAATATATCAAAATGAGCTAATTAATGAGCTAACTAATTTATGAAAATGAAATATCCTATAACATACTGTAGACCCACGGGAAAAATTCGGCCCTCAAGACCCTCAATTAGTATGATTCATAAGGCTTAAAGCAAACTGTCTCAAGAAAAAAACATATAGTCCTATAGTCATATTGACCTTGGGTTCAATCCAAACAAACTGTCTACTTTTGTCAAAAAACTGTCAAAATGAGTTTGACACGCCTGTGCTATAATACCAACAACCAGTTTTACTGTAAATAAAATAAAATGTAAAGAACATATTAAATTTGTAGACAAACAAGCTTACAAAAATATTATTGCTTAAAATATACTTTATATGTTTTAGGAGAGAGAAAATAAGCGATGATTTGATGCTTTTTAGCTTGTTATCTGTAGCATTAGTCGGAGCTGCTGCATTAACAAACTTACTTGAGGTATGTTGAACCCTCCTATGACGTGGGACATGCTGATGGAGGGTGTGGAACCAGATTCACCCACAATTCCCATCACCATCCCGGAGTGGGAGCAGCGTCGGTCGGGGTGGTATTCCGGCTCGTGTCCGTTGATGAGCTGGAATGCTGATTGCACCGCGACTGGAACAGAAGCACAGGAGTCGTGGATCTCATACCCCAGAGTGACCCCAGGCAGCAGGACAGAGCTGTTGTTAATCTCCTCCACAGCGTAGATCATGGCCCGGGCAAAACGCAGCTCACGAGTGTCAACACTACACACACACACACGCACACACGCACACACACTTTAGTTTGTTATTTTTTTCAACAAATATAGCAAGCACAAATATAAACATTTTTTAAGGACTGAATTGGTTTAAGCTGAAGTTAAACACATTTTTTGTCACCTAACCCTTGTACAAAATTAGTCGTTCAAGATGGAGCCAATCTGCAAGTTATCAACATGCCAAACTCAAGCTTCATATAAGTAATAAAAGATCACATTGACAAACAAGAATCCATCCATCCATCCATCCATCCATTTTCTACCCTTTAATCCATTTCTGGATCAGGGGGGTGGCAATCAGAAATGCCACCCAAGTCTCATAGCACCAGCCCCTCACTGACCCTCTGCAGGTGGTGAGTCCACACGAGGACGGCTGCTCTCTGAGTGCATAGCCTTGCACATACAAACAAGAATCACAACATATAACTATACAATCCTCTTGTATACACAACATATGACTATTGCCCATAATATACTGTATATATACAGAAACAACATGTATATCATTAATGTAACCTATGTAAACAGTAGTATTATTATCCTATTTGTTACTACTATTATTATTACTAGTGTTTTTTGGAGTGCAGTATATTTATGACTGTGTGAATTTAACTAGAAATATACTCTAGGCTGCAGAAAGTACATAACCATGGCAAGGCGAGTTTATTTTTATAGCACAGTTCATAACCAACATTAAAATCATCCACAGATAAAATAATGATCAAATAATATTATAAAATCATAGTAATTGTGGATACAATGGATACAATCTTTAAGCTGTTTTTGTAACGGATGTGCATGATGAAGTGTGATATCATTCAAAGAGAGAGATATATATACACTTCAGAAATACAGGTGAAATTAAACAAATATCGTTGAAAAGTCAAAATAATGATGTATTTCAACTTACTTGTGAAACTATTATACTATACATTTATAAATAAGCCTTATACTATGGACTCATTACACACAAAGTGATAAATATCAGTGAGTAAAAAATGTTGATAATTGGCTCGCAGCTTGAAAAAATACCGTATAAAACAATATTTTGACAATCAACTGTGAGTAATAATCATCAAAATTATTACAAAAACAAACCATGTATTGGTTTCACATTGTAAGTATAGAAATAAAGGCATGCTTGAACGATATTCACATTTTCTGAGTTTCCCCACTTCAAAAAGTAAACAATTCTGCAACATATTAAGACAAATATATTCAGAATGTACATCCCCCAGTTTCACCTTCCAGTGCACCGCAGTGGTTCAGGCCGGTGTGAATAGTTGTGAATGACAGTGTGCATGTAGTTGTGAAGAGAAAAAACTCCTCCAATGATGTAGTCCCCTTCCATGGAGAATGCTGGGTCCCGTGCCTGACCCTTGGCCTTGCATACAACCGAGGAAGCTTCTGGACTCGTGGTAGTGACATTTATAGAGAGTGGAGAAGGCACATCAAAAAGAAACAGCGTCAAACTCAGGAGAAAAACACTGAAGTACATACTGACTGAAACAGCTGCATATGGGAATACCTCTTTATATAGAGGCTTTACACAAACACATCCCCCTGCACGCTCACCATCTCATTAGCATAACTCAGTCTTTGTGTGTGATGAAAGGAGAAATAAAAGCATTGGTTTTCTGGCTATAATTGTCTTTTGAATATACTATACTGTATGTGTTGTTTATCTTTACTTTTAAAACTTGTTAGCCCCATGAGCCAAACCAAATACCTAGATTGTGACTTCATGTTACTTACAACGGCAATAGAATAATTCTGATTCTGTTTCTGAATTGAAAGTTTAACCAACATTTATCACTGTCAATAGAAATACAGCAGCAGTTAGAGAGTTTGATACAAGATAATCAAACACAAGCTTAAAAACAAAAGGTATGTGGAATGTCAATCATAAGAGCATGAGATTAAAATACCATGTTCAAATTGAAGACTTATCGGCAAAAAACAGTATAAGGCAATATGCAAGATCTGAATCTTTGTACTAAATTGTTTTTCTGATGATGTTAATAAACATTTTTGAATTCTGTATACTTTTAAAGTCAAGGTTATCATTCTATGTCCAAAATAATTCCTGATTTCCTATGCATTACAGAGAGAGAAGTTGTTCTGTTATGGGGATATTATTATCCCCATAACATATGGCGGATATTATTAATATCCCCATTCGACCTCTTTTCTAAGGTCACTAGATACAGATACTGCTCTTCAAAACAATGTACACTTTATGAAAACATAGGTCGGCCTTCGCTGTCCGTTTGACGAGAGCAACGATGTAGTCCGTTTATCTATAAAGGACTTTCTTCTTTAAATACTATTTGCTTTTAAAAACTGTTATACTAAAAAGAATTTAGGGCCAAAGGTGAGTGGACAATTTATATATATATATATATATATATATATATATATATATATATATATATATATATATATATATATATATATATATATATATATATATATGAAGGAGGCCGAGGACTAGTGAGTGTGAGAGCCACTGTCCAGGACGAAACATCCAAACTCCATAACTACATCATGGAGAAGGCCAAAACGGATGACGTACTCAGTGAATGTCTCAGGCAGTGGCGAGATGAGGAGGTGCTGGAGGAGAGCCCATCATGGGAGAACAAGCCCCTACACGGCATGTACCACCGGAGCATAACAGAAGTGGCTGATCTCAAGAAGTCCTACCAATGGCTAGAAAGGGCTGGCCTACAGGACAGCACAGAGGCACTCATCATGGCTGCACAGGAACAGGCACTGAGCACCAGAGCGATAGAGGCCCAGATATACCACACCAGACAAGACCCAAGGTGTCGGTTGTGCAAAGAGGCACCTGAGACGATCCAACACATAACTGCAGGGTGCAAGATGCTGGCAGGGAAGGCCTACATGGAACGCCATAACCAAGTGGCTGGCATAGTGTACAGAAACATCTGTGGAGAGTATGGGCTGGAAACCCCAAGGTCTAAGTGGGAAACTCCTCCAAAGGTGGTGGAGAATGAGCGTGCAAAGATCCTGTGGGACTTCCAGATACAGACCGACCGAATGGTAATGGCAAACCAACCTGACATCGTGGTGGTAGACAAAGGGCAGAGGACAGCCGTGGTGGTGGACGTGGCAATTCCAAGCGATGGTAACATCCGGAAAAAAGAACATGAAAAGCTTGAGAAATACCAAGGTCTCAGAGAGGAGCTGGAGAGGGCCTGGAGGGTAAAGGTGACAGTAGTGCCCGTGGTGATCGGTGCACTCGGGGCAGTAACCCCGAAGCTAGATGAGTGGTTACAGCGGATCCCCGGAACAACCTCGGACATCTCGGTCCAGAAATGTGCAGTGCTAGGAACAGCAAAGATACTGCGCAGAACCCTCAAGCTCCCTGGCCTCTGGTAGAGGACCCGAGCTTAGAGAGGGATAACCGCCCGCGGAGGGCCAAAGGTGAGTGGACAATTTTTTTTATATATATATATATATATATATATTGTGCTTATGTATGTGCGTTCTTGTTGTAGGGGAGGGGAGGGGACCTATTTATAAAGAAACCTGTGGGGACCAATGTTTTCAGAGTGCCTGTAAAATGAAATGTTGTTGAAATAGGAACAGATAAACTAAATCTTGTATTGTATTTACATTGCTTTCACCTTTTGATAATTTATAATAGAAACTTTCTTCGCAGGTTTGAGTGTTTCCAAAAAGTTCTCCGAAATCCAGTTTCATCATATGGCCCTGCCCACAAGTTGTGACTCAGTCGTGACATCAATATTAGAGTTGGAGTACGAAATAATATAAATGTCAAAGAGACTCAAAGACTTCAAAAGTTTCTGTAGGAGGAGTAATGTGGGTACTTTGTTGGTCCATTAAACTGTTTTTTATGCTCACTTGCATTTGTTTCACTTCTAACTGTTCCCCCACATGTAAGCTGAGGAGGCAGTTTGATCTGAATGGTGTGCACAAGTCTGGGGATGTGATACTCGGTGGACTGTTCGAAGTCCACTATACTTCATCCTCTCCTGAGCTAACATTCATCTCAAAGCCACAACCTCTCAACTGCCAAGGGTAAGTCTATCACTTTTACCTCCAGCATGATGCGAGAAACTAACCGCTGAAATGTTCTCTTTAGTTTTGATCTTCCAGGATTTCGACATCTGATGACAATGGCTTTTGCGATCGAAGAAATCAACCATAGTTTAGATCTGCTGCCCAATGTAACGCTCGGCTACAGTTTGTATGATAACTGCGCCACACTTATTATTGGATTCAGCGCAGCCTTTTCGATGGCCAGTGGGGAGGAGGAAAAGTTTCTCCTCAAAGACAACTGCACAGGCACAAAATCTGTTCTTGGCATTGTGGGCGATTCCTTCTCAACATTTTCTATTGCCACGTCAGATGTCACAGGATTATTCAGGTTACCTCTTGTGAGTATTGAACGGGTATCGATGGGTTTATAAATTCAATTCAATCCCATTTATTCTTGTATAGCCCTAAATCACAGCAGCAGTTATCTCAGAGGACTTTATAAAACCGTTGAATTCGCCAACACAGATCAGAGAATCAGTGTTGGCGAATCAGTTGCTCAGTATCCCCCAGGGCAGCTGTGGCTACAGTAGTAGTTTATCACCAAAGTGTATGCAGTGAGGGAATAATGACATGTGAAGCGTCTTTGAGTGTCCTGAAAAGCACCTTATAAAACCAATGGATTATTATCATTAGTAGTAGTGGTATTATTATCAATCAAACCGTTCAAACTCAAAGAATCGTTGACCAATATCCATAAGTGTTGATAAATGTCCAAATGTTTATCAGTGCACTTACACTTCATATTTGGTTTGTGCAGGTAAGCTATTTTGCCACTTGCTCTTGTCTAAGCAACCGTCAAAAATTCCCTTCATTTTTTCGAACAATTCCCAGTGATGCATTTCAGGTTAGTAAAAACATACATTTGGGAGCATAATCTTGTTAACTAGCAGGTCTTCAAACTGGGTGTATTTTCATGATTTCTCCAGGTCCGAGCCATGATTCAGATACTGAAGCGTTTTGGATGGCGTTGGGCAGGACTACTGGTCAGTGATGACGACTATGGACTTCATGTTGCACGGTCGTTTTCCTCAGACTTGGCTCTGGCTGAAGGAGGCTGCCTCGCGTACACAGAAGTCTTACCGTGGGGGAGAAACCAGGCCGAGCTGAGTCGGATTGTAAACGTTATGAAGAAATCCACTGCTCGTGTGGTTATTGTATTTGCTCATCAGATCCATATGATCCAACTCATGAAGGAGGTGTGTAATGCTTTTTAACATGTTACAGGAGAGGAACAAAATGTATTGATTTCCATTCATACAGTTTTGAATCAACCTATGTGAAAGAAAATGCTATTTTCTGTGATGTGTGAATGTTTCCTCTTCAGGTTGTGGTGCAGGATGTGACTGGTCTGCAGTGGATTGCAAGTGAAGCCTGGACAACAGCGACTGTGCTACAAACGCCACAGCTCATGCCGTATTTAGCAGGAACCCTGGGAATTGCCATACGCAGAGGAGAGATTCCAGGACTATGGGATTTTTTGGCAAAACTAAAGCCAAGCATGTTTGATAATCCTGAAAGAAATAACATGGTAAATTGTCTTAAAAGAAAAACATACATATATCAGGTATATCAATGTCTATATAATGTAAATGTATCACCTTTGGTCTTTCAAACGTTTTTATGACAGATGATGCAATTTTGGGAGCACACATTTGGGTGTAGATTTACCCCAGCTCCTGCAGAGTGGACAGAGGCTGGAGGAGCTTTGTGCACTGGACATGAAGATCTGCAGAGCATAGACACAGAGTTCCTGGATGTGTCCAACCTCAGACCAGAGTATAATATTTACAAAGCTGTGTATGCTTTGGCTCATGCCCTTGATGTTCTGCTGCACTGTGAACCAGGGAGAGGGCCTTTCCCTGGGAACAGCTGTGCCACTTTGGAAACTCTGGAGACCTGGCAGGTGTGAGATACAGATTCAGAAATGTAATTGTTGGTTACAGTTTATAAATGTTTGATGTTTACAGCTCATGCATTATTTGGAAAAAATTAATTTTACAACATCTTTTGGAGACCATGTATCTTTTGATGAGAATGGCGATGCTTTGCCTTTGTATGACATCATGAATTGGGTGGTGCTCCCAGATGGACAAATAACAGTTCAAAATGTAGGTGTGGTAAAAAGAACCGCCTTCAAGGGAGACGAATTGACTCTTGATGAGGGCAATATCTTCTGGAACTTTCAGTCCAACAAGGTATGAAAGAGTAAAGTTAAAGGTTTAATAGAAAACATTAATTTACACATATGGTTTTCACAGCCACCAGTGTCTGTGTGCAGTGTGAGCTGTCCTCTCGGTGCTCGCAAGGCACAAAGGAAAGGAGAGCCAGTCTGCTGTTTTGACTGCATTCCATGTTCGGATGGCGCAATAAGCAATACAACAGGTGAGAGACACTGTGTCTCTCTGCTATGGGCTGGTAAAACAACACATACATTTACAGGCGATAAGTATGGTGAGTGCATGAATGTTTGATGGTGGTCGGAGGGGCGGATGGCACTTACTGGTTGCCTCTCTTCTGTCAGTGTGCCCCAGGGCAGCTGTGGCTACAGTAGCAGTTTATCTCCACTGTGAATGCAGTAAATGAATAATGACATGTGAAGCGTCTTTGAGTGTCCAAAAAAGCAATATATATAGAACCAAAACTCCATTATTATTATAATTAAAAGCAAAAGGTTTATGATTATGACATTGTGAGAATACATGTCGAGTCTGGACTTTTTTACAGAAATATGTTTTTTGGGGTTTTTTTCTATTGGAGCTCTGGCTTTATGTTTAGGGTCATTTTTTATCTGGAAGGTAAATGTCCAGCCTCAAGGGTTAAAATCTTCCTCGTCCCTGTTAAACAAAAACAGACCCATAGTTAGAAGTTAGTTATGTACCATACACTACCTTTTGCTATTCAGGCCAAAAACATATTTTAATTGCTGTGTACTATGTATGAATGATTGAAAACCGCAGACATATTTTAACGATGGCTTTCTTCTAGACAACTCATCCATAAAAGCCAGAGTTGCCAGCATTCTAGGAAAATTACTTTGATGCCATGAATAAATGACACTAACATAGTAAGATTCTGATCAACATCTGAACTCTGAACATTGACAAGCACTTTGGGTGACCTTGGTCTGTAAAATGAGCAATATGAATAAAGCTTACTTACTTACTAATCACCAAGAAGACACAACCAGTTAATTCACCATGTTGCTAGAAAATAGTATTGTTTACTTTTATTGAGGTGTTTCCCGATTGGATAGGCAGCCAATATGGGAGACATTTCATTGGAAATATTATAGTCCAAAAATAATCTGCCTCTTATCTACCTTCCTTTAGACTCCATGGAGTGCAGCGTGTGTCCAGAGGACTTCTGGTCCAGTCCTGCTCGTGACCAGTGTGTTCCTAAGAAAACTGAGTTCCTGTCCTACCACGAGCCTCTGGGCATCTGTCTGACCACAGCCTCTCTGATCGGAGTATTTATTTGTGCTGTCGTATTTGGTATTTTCATTTATCACCGCAGCACGCCACTCGTCAGAGCCAATAATTCAGAAATGAGCTTCTTGCTCCTGGTGTCACTCAAACTGTGTTTCTTATGCTCGCTGCTGTTCATTGGACGCCCCAGACTGTGGACATGCCAGCTGAGACATGCAGCGTTTGGGATCAGCTTTGTGCTGTGTGTCTCTTGTATTCTGGTGAAAACCATGGTGGTGCTGGCTGTGTTCAAGGCCTCCAAACCAGGAGGTGGAGCCACCTTAAAGTGGTTTGGTGCTTTACAGCAGAGAGGAACCGTATTTGTTCTAACGTCAGTCCAAGCTGTTATATGTGTTGCATGGCTGCTATCGGCCTCACCAACACCTCACAAAAACTTTAAGTATCATAATGACAAAATCATTTATGAATGTGTTGTTGGCTCGACTATAGGGTTTTCTGTCCTTCTCGGCTACATAGGTTTATTGGCTTTGTTGAGTTTTCTGTTAGCTTTTCTAGCCAGGAATCTCCCTGATAATTTCAATGAGGCCAAGTTCATCACTTTCAGCATGCTGATCTTCTGTGCTGTGTGGGTGGCTTTTGTCCCAGCTTATGTCAACTCTCCAGGTAAATATGCAGATGCAGTGGAGGTGTTTGCCATCCTAGCCTCCAGCTTTGGCCTCTTGGTGGCACTGTTCGGACCCAAATGTTACATAATATTACTGAAACCAGAGAAGAACACTAAGAAAGCAGTCATGAGTCGCTGAGTCAATATGTGATAAAAGAGAAAAATATAATAATATATGTCGAATGTAAAATATGTCTCTTATAGACATTGATTTTCTTATATCACTTTATTTAAAATAACGTTTACCAAAGTACAATGCATCTTTTGAGTGTGTTTACACAAAGGTTTGGAAAACTGTAGGTGTTTCTCATCACTTAATAACCTCCTGCCTCCCTGTGTCTCCCTTTGATCTTTCAGTTAAACTATCCTGGTTGAATAAAGCTCAATAATAAAAATCAAAAATATGCTTTACATTCATTTTAACCTCCATATAAATGTATTGAAACATTTTGTCTGAAGTGTATCACCACGTGTCCTTTTACTGCTTCCACGACCCCCTGGTGGGAGGGAACTTAATTTCATCCGCACTATTAAAAGAAGGCTGTTTTCGCTAAAAGGGGCGGGGAGGTGTTGAGAATCAGGATGGTTTCTTGGGTATATTTGGTAGTACACGTTGCAGGCCTTGTGATAACTTTTACAGTTAATTCATCAGAGACAACTAACTCCTCACATCTTTGTAAATTATGGAAGAAATTTGATGTTAACAGCTTACACAAAGAGGGCGATGTCATTTTGGGGGGTCTGTTTGAAGTTCATTATAGTTCCTCATTTCCTGAGTGGATTTTCACTTCAGAGCCACAAGAGCCGAGCTGCAGTGGGTAAGAGTAGCATAGAGTTTTTTCATGTGAAGATCAAACTAACAACTAAGTGTTGTTGCTCTAAACTTGCTCTAAAATTGTGTTTATCTCTGCGACAGTGAAAAAATACATTCATTATACTTGACAATATTTTTTACAGGTTTGACTCTTTAGGGTTCCGACATGCAATGACCATGGCTTTTTCTGTTGAAGAGATAAACAACAACAGTCAGCTTCTCCAGAACGTGACGCTGGGTTACAGTCTGTATGATAACTGTGCCACTCTCAGCGTCGGCTTCAGTGCAGCTCTGGCTATGGCCGCTGCTCAGACAGAGAGCTCTGTGCTGGAGGAAAACTGCACAGGGATTCCTCCTGTGATTGGTATTGTGGGTGATCCCTTTTCCACGTTTTCTATTGCAATATCAAATGTTCTGGGTTTATTCCGACTGCCAATAGTAAGAGTAATGATTCATATATTGTATGGCTCTTTAGATTTTCTGTGTACATTGAATATGTGTTTTCTGCTTTAGGTGAGTTACTTTGCCACATGCTCTTGTTTGAGCAATCGGGAGCGATTTCCTTCCTTTTTCCGGACTATTCCAAGTGATGTTTTTCAGGTACAATTATGTGCCACCTATAAGTGAAGAATCCATTGGAAAAAACGAAAGTTATCAAGAAGTAAAATATTGGTGTCAAAGTCAAGGCCCGGGGTCCAGATCTGGCCCATGACTGAATTATCTTGACCCCCGGGATGATTTTTGATTAGTATTAGAACCAGCCATAAGAAAATATTGTATTATTCATTTAATGTTCAGGACGTGTTGTGTGATGTGTTTTCTCTTTGTCTGAGCCTGTTGAAAAGATTTTTCTCTTGAAATCACTGAAAGAGCCATGCAAAAATATTGGATAATTCATTAAATAATTAATTAAAACATGGTCCATTGTGTTAGGTCTTGGTTCAATAGGTTTTATGCAATCATTTTAATGTTTTACCAGTCCAGCCCTCACCTTGTAGCCAGTTTTTTTTTTTTGGCCCACTGATGTATTTGACTTTGACATCCCTGGTTTAAAAACAAGTTTTGTTAATGATGGTAAATTAAAAAAAGATTTACTCAAGAAAGTGTGAAATTCGATTACATTAAAATATATATGACGTTTTGAAAAACTGCTTTTTTTAGATTGTCGCTTTACCAAGCAGTTTTTCTAATCGTTAGATATACTGTATATCTAACAACATATAGATAAAGTCTTTCACATATTTCTCTCATGGCACTTATCTGTTTTCTCAAATGAACTCTTTAAGTATGTCTGTTCAGCCAAAATAATGAGAGTACATGGAAATTGAATAATTGTTTGTTTGTACAGTTGTTATATGCTTTGTATACATAAAAATTGGTAAAAGGTTGTGTACATACTTGTATACATGTGATGTGCATTATCTTTTTCCCTGATCTATGAAGATTGAGTTTGGAGTATTTCTGACTTGCAGATTTGGTAGATCTTGTGTTTTTGTAATAGGGTTGGGCAAAAAACTGTTTAACTTCAAATGATTTAAAATTAGAATAATGAAAACATAAATTAGACATTTCTTCTTGCTATTTTTTGCACATGTGTATATTTTCTTTACGAAGAGTTTCAGTAACAAAAACAGATAAACGCCATGTGGGAAAGTTAAATTTAAGATTTAAATGAATTTTTCCAGCATTGTCTCATAAGAAAATGTTATACAACAAAATACAATTCCAGCCGTTTCTTTATCAAATCTTGTTCGCTAGTCTGTTACCAAGACTGTCCAGTTTTGAAGATGTTGTACAAAAAACAGCCACTATTTGAAACAAGTTAAGTGAATATCTGTTTTTGCAAACGAACATTTTATAAGTATTTTTGATTCTTGTAGGTCCATGCAGTGATCCAAATTCTAAAACATTTTTCTTGGACGTGGGTGGGACTTCTGGTCAGTGATGATGACTATGGCCTCTATGTTGCCAGATCTTTCCAGACAGACTTTGCTCAGGCTGGTGAAGGATGCCTAGCTTACACAGAGATTCTACCCTGGGGCAAAAACCCAGACTTTTACAGTAAAATAGTCAGCATGATCAAAGACTCATCTGCCAAAGTCGTCATTGTATTTGCCCATCAGATGCATATGATTCAACTCATGACAGAGGTGTGTAACAGCATGAATTATTCCTCTGTGGCTTCTGTCCAATAATACCTTGACTTTTGCATTGTGGAGGTGGTTCGGCAGAATGTAAGAGGTTTACAGTGGATTTCCAGTGAAGCGTGGACATGTGTTGAAGGACTTCACACTCCTGAATTCATGCCATTTTTGTCTGGTACACTGGGAATTGCCATCCGTCGGGGCGAGTTGCCAGGATTCCAAAGATTTCTGTTCAACATAAATCCACTACAAAATGCAAAAGAGATGGACATGGTAAACATTCATAATACCATTACCATTGCTATTTCTAACACTTTTGTCTTGCTTTTCAGATTCATCAATTCTGGGAGCACACATTTGGGTGTAGATTTACCCCAGCTCCTGCAGAGTGGACAGAAGCTGGAGGAGCTTTGTGCACTGGACATGAAGATCTGCAGAGCATAGACACAGAGTTCCTGGATGTGTCCAACCTCAGACCAGAGTATAATATTTACAAAGCTGTGTCTGCTTTGGCTCATGCCCTTGATGATCTGCTGCACTGTGAACCAGGGAGAGGGCCTTTCCCTGGGAACAGCTGTGCCACTTTGGACACGCTGGAGCCAGTGCAGGTAGGCACTGGGTGTGTGTTAGAAATGATCATCTCACTGGATATCTAAGCAGAGCAAAAAAAAAGAATTACATAGGATGGGCTTTTGAGGGTGACTGAAAAGGATCCTTTGCAATAGTTTGAAATCATTCACATTTGCGGCTCATAATTACTTCTCTGTTACAGTAGTTTCTGCACATTTTCTTTCCAATTGTTTAACAAGCCCTTGTTTACTCAACAGCAACAATGAATATTTTCAACCTATGTTTTACAGCTCTTGCACTATCTGAAAAATGTAAGATATACAACAACGTTTGGGGATGAGGTATCCTTTGATGAGACGGGAGATGCTCTACCTATTTATGACATCATGAACTGGCAGTGGCTTCCAAATGGACAAACAAAAGTTGAAAATGTTGGTTTTTTCAAGAAATCAGCTTTTCAACAAGAAAACATTTTACTTTATGAGCATAAGATTGTGTGGAACAAGCAATTCCCAGAGGTTGGTTGCTCATGTACAGTTAATGGACAAATGTACCTAAAATAATCCATATTTTCTTCAGCCCCCTCAGTCAGTGTGCAGTGACAGTTGTCCCAGTGGAAGTCGCATGGCCAGAAAGAAAGGTCAGCCTGCGTGTTGCTTTGACTGTATCCTCTGCTCTGACGGCACCATCACCAACACTACAGGTCAAAAAGCATTCACTATTACAAGCACTAAGATACAGCATTTTTAAATGGCAATAAGAGTAGATAAACTGACAATACATTGTGATGTTTTTGACAGACTCCATGGAGTGCAGCGTGTGTCCAGAGGACTTCTGGTCCAGTCCTGCTCGTGACCAGTGTGTTCCTAAGAAAACTGAGCCTACCACGAGCCTCTGGGCATCTGTCTGACCACAGCCTCTCTGATCGGAGTATTTATTTGTGCTGTCGTATTTGGTATTTTCATTTATCACCGCAGCACGCCACTCGTCAGAGCCAATAATTCAGAAATGAGCTTCTTGCTCCTGGTGTCACTCAAACTGTGTTTCTTATGCTCGCTGCTGTTCATTGGACGCCCCAGACTGTGGACATGCCAGCTGAGACATGCAGCGTTTGGGATCAGCTTTGTGCTGTGTGTCTCTTGTATTCTGGTGAAAACCATGGTGGTGCTGGCTGTGTTCAAGGCCTCCAAACCAGGAGGTGGAGCCACCTTAAAGTGGTTTGGTGCTTTACAGCAGAGAGGAACCGTATTTGTTCTAACGTCAGTCCAAGCTGTTATATGTGTTGCATGGCTGCTATCGGCCTCACCAACACCTCACAAAAACTTTAAGTATCATAATGACAAAATCATTTATGAATGTGTTGTTGGCTCGACTATAGGGTTTTCTGTCCTTCTCGGCTACATAGGTTTATTGGCTTTGTTGAGTTTTCTGTTAGCTTTTCTGGCCAGGAATCTCCCTGATAATTTCAATGAGGCCAAGTTCATCACTTTCAGCATGCTGATCTTCTGTGCTGTGTGGGTGGCTTTTGTCCCAGCTTATGTCAACTCTCCAGGTAAATATGCAGATGCAGTGGAGGTGTTTGCCATCCTAGCCTCCAGCTTTGGCCTCTTGGTGGCACTGTTCGGACCCAAATGTTACATAATATTACTGAAACCAGAGAAGAACACTAAGAAAGGAATAATGAACCGATCTAAAATTAAAATATAACTATTTGAAAATTTGTATCGTAATCAATATGATTCACTTACTTAGATCTATTTAACAACCCCATATATATAATTTAATTTAGAAATAAACAGCTATGATATTACATCTGTGCTAATGTGTGTATTTTATAGGATAATCTACTGAAAGATGTACATCCTTGAGGGTCTTTGTTTTCATAATCAGGTTAAGAATTACTTGTTGTTATTACTCTTGTATGTTTACTTCTTACAGACAAAACTTCCCAATTGCGACATTCCAAACTCCCTTATGCCCCTTTCCCGCTTTCCCCTGCACTTCTCGTCTCTAAATGCTAGGATGCAGAGGACCTTTGCTATGCTGCCACTGACAGTCAAATTAGAGGAGAGATCCAGCTGGGGCTCTGTCATAAAGCCCCATGCAGGAATTAGACAGTCCTATCAGGCAAACTTAATTCTTGTTTTGTGCCGAAATGAATTGGCCACACCCGCCGACACAACAATCAATATATAAAATCTTTATGTAACAAGTAATTTTGTATTAATTCATTTTAATGACCAAATAATAGGAAATGCAAAACAACACTGCCCAATTTGAAATTTGAATCTCAGAAAACAAAAGGGAGAAGTATGTCTCCATGAAAACAATCACCTTTAATACTCTTTATTGTACTGTACAAGCTGCTACAGTCATGTGGTGACGAATGAGAAGGACTCCCAAAGGACTCCATATAAAAAACAAAAAAATGTTTTCCACTAATTGCAAAAACACCATGTGTGTCTGTTGATCATAACTTGGTGACCAGATGCTTGTTGCTTGAAGCAGTGTCGGCAAACTTGGAGTTGTAAGGTAAGTTGACAAACATGGAAGAATCCAAACCGCATAACTTTGTGTCTGGTTGAAGTTGTCTATCAAGTGTGTTTCTCAACCCAGAGTCAGCCCAGGTTCCAACCATTACTTCCTAATGACGCTGCATGTGTGCGCACAAAAGTGCTGAACAACCGCAATCAGATAAAACACAGTGATCGAAGAACAAGAATTAATAAAAAAAAGTAAAAAGAAAAATTAGCAAAGTACAGAACTGTTGTAGCAGCCAAAGCACGGTCAGAAAGGTCGCCAAAGATCAGAGATTGTGTGAATGTAAAATTCTGCAGAAGATCTGAGATTGTGTCATGCACGATGGGGTGTTCATGTCCAACATTTCAACTGCACCCACACGGAAAGAACATGAGAACATGTTATGTGTACATAAAGGTCTACATATATGTAAAAATATACAGTATGTATACAAATATGTGCGTATATATGTATACAAATATGTGCGTATATATGTACATACATGTATGCATATATGTACATATATATGTGCACATATATGCATACATATATGTACAGTGGGGCAAAAAAGTATTTAGTCAGCCACCGATTGTGCAAGTTCTCCCACTTAGAAGGACAGAAGAGCTTCTTAAAGAAGAAGTTACAGGTCTGTGAGAGCCAGAGATCTTTCTTGTTTGAAGTGACCAAATACTTATTTTCCACCATAATTTACAAATAAATTCTTAAAAAATCCTACAATGTGAATTCCTGGATTCTTTTTTCACATTCTGTCTCTCACAGTTGAAGTGTACCTATGATGAAAATTACAGACCTCTGTCATTCTTTTAAGTGGGAGAACTTGCACAATCTGTGGCTGACTAAATACTTTTTTGCCCCACTGTATGTTTAAATTATGTTCTTTCCACCAGTGGATAGCACTCTCGCTTCTCAGCAAGAAGGTTCAAGGTTCGAACAGGGCCTTTCTGAGTGGAGTTTGCATGTTCTCCCCATGTCTGTGTAGGTTTCCTCTGGGTGCTCCGGTTTCCCCTTCCACTAAAAATAGGTATGAATGTAATGAGTGAGGTGGTGTTATTTGTAGGCTTTGATGTGCCGGTGTGTGGTGTGCCGTCACTGTGTGGAGAGAATGGAACAATATCTGAACTCTGATATTTTTCAAGCGCTTTGGGTCCCCTTGGCTGTAAAAATGTGCTATATAAATAAAAATGACTTACTTACTTACGTTCCATGTGGCTAATGAAAACACAAAAAGAACCTGCAACAAAAATGAATGAAGTAAAAAAAAAAAAAATACATGAATGACACTGTCTTCCAAAATGCCATGAGTAGGTGAAACCCCAGACACGCTGCAGTAATCAGGAGACCCCAGATGAGGTGGTGTGGCCACCGAGCCTGAAGCTTCATCCATCATAATCATGGAAATAAATCTATACTAAATATATAAATACCCTAGTAATTTAAGTACTCCCAAATCAATAGTGGATTGAATTTTTTTAATTGGTATATTATCAACAGCAATCCTGACTATACTGTTACAATTGCAAAAAATCCCCCTGACAATGTAATATAATTACAATTATAGTTTTTTGTTAATTTCTGCATTTACAGTGAACAAAGGTTGCCCCATCACTTTAGGCTCAGCCCATTGTCTGAGCCGCCCCCTGGCAGTGAACACACAACATTTGGAAGAAACTGTATAAATACACGAGAGTCTGGTCTAGGTCCTGTGGCATTAAGTAATCCATGCAAAGCTACCAGCATGTGGTTCCTAGTGTGTTTTTTAAATTCTATTGCTGTTGTTTTAGGTACTCTTTCCACGTGCCAATTACAAGGACTGTTTCACCTTAACACAATGCAAAAAGAGGGAGATTTGCTTCTTGGTGGGCTGTTTGAAATACACTTTTTCTCTGACTTTCCTGACTTGACATTCACATCACAGTCACAACAGCCTGTTTGCTATGGGTGAGTAAGAGATATTGGGACAATGTGTGGCTTTCCTAAAATGGTCTGGATCTATCCGTAGAACACTGATTTGTCTGCTCTAACTGTTGTTACTCATTACTGGTATCTGTCAGTGTTGATATTCTAGGTTTTAGACAGGCCCTAACTATGGCTTTTGCTGTGGAGGAAATCAATGAGAACACCAATCTACTTCCTAACGTGACTCTCGGATACAGCTTGTTTGATAACTGTGTTGAACTGGGAATTGGATTTCGTGCAGCGCTGTCCTTAGCTGCTGGACAGGAAAAGCATGTTACACTAAATGATTCATGTGTTGGAGCACCTCCAATTCTGGGTGTTGTTGGCGATTCCTCTTCTACACGAACTATTGCAATATCAAATGTCTTGGGATTGTACAGAGTGCCTATGGTAAGACTATGGGTAATGTGAACAATACATGAAGATATACAAATATGTTCTAATTTCTTCTCTAGGTGAGTTATTTTGCAACATGTTCCTGTTTAAGTGATCGTCAAAAATATCCTGCTTTCTTTAGAACCATTCCAAGTGACGCTTTCCAGGTGAAAACTTAAACATTCTTGAATATTCATTGAAAATCCTCCCTTTTCATTATCATGTTGCATTTTAGGTGCATGCAATTATTCAGATTTTAAAACACTTTGCTTGGTCATGGGTTGGATTATTAGTCAGCGATGACGACTATGGTCTTCATGCTGCCCAGTCTTTCCAGTCTGATCTATCACAGTCGGGTGAGACATGTCTGGCATACGTGGAGATTTTGCCCTGGGGCAAGAACAAGTATGAGTTTGAGAGAATTGTGAACGTCATAAAGAAATCTACTGCACAAGTAGTTATTGCATTTGCTCATGAGAGCAACGTGATCCAGCTTATGGAAGAGGTAAATCTATGTGTGCGTGTGCATGTATACATCTATATATATATATATATATATATATATATATATATATATATATATATATATATATATATATATATATATATATATATAAAAAAAAATTGTCCACTCACCTTTGGCCCTCCGCGGGCGGTTATCCCTCTCTAAGCTCGGGTCCTCTACCAGAGGCCAGGGAGCTTGAGGGTTCTGCGCAGTATCTTTGCTGTTCCTAGCACTGCACATTTCTGGACCGAGATGTCCGAGGTTGTTCCGGGGATCCGCTGTAACCACTCATCTAGCTTCGGGGTCACTGCCCCGAGTGCACCGATCACCACGGGCACTACTGTCACCTTTACCCTCCAGGCCCTCTCCAGCTCCTCTCTGAGACCTTGGTATTTCTCAAGCTTTTCATGTTCTTTTTTCCGGATGTTACCATCGCTTGGAATTGCCACGTCCACCACCACGGCTGTCCTCTGCCCTTTGTCTACCACCACGATGTCAGGTTGGTTTGCCATTACCATTCGGTCGGTCTGTATCTGGAAGTCCCACAGGATCTTCGCACGCTCATTTTCCACCACCTTTGGAGGAGTTTCCCACTTAGACCTTGGGGTTTCCAGCCCATACTCTCCACAGATGTTTCTGTACACTATGCCAGCCACTTGGTTATGGCGTTCCATGTAGGCCTTCCCTAATGAAATTATATATATATATATATATATATATATATATATAGATGGATATATTTATTTCTTTCCTTTTATTCTCTTTTTAGACATATCAAATGACAATGTAATTTTCCAGATAGTGAGGCAGAATGTGTCAGGCCTGCAGTGGATTGCTAGTGAAGCATGGACAACAGCCGTAGTTTTGCAGACTTCACAACTCATTCCATATCTGCGAGGAACACTGGGTATAGCCATCCGCAGAGGAGAAATACCTGGGCTAAAAGAGTTCCTATTGCAAATACAACCCACATGGTCCAATAAAAGTGATGACAGTAATGACATTAGAAATGACATCGTAAGTAGCCATTGTTGTTGACGTGTGTAGATATAATTTACTTTAATTTTCATTCTGTTATTTTTAGGTCAATCAGTTTTGGGAGCACACATTTGGGTGTAGATTTGCCCCAGCTCCTGCAGAGTGGACAGAAGCTGGAGGAGCTTTGTGCACTGGACATGAAGATCTGCAGAGCATAGACACAGAGTTCCTGGATGTGTCCAACCTCAGACCAGAGTATAATATTTACAAAGCTGTGTATGCTTTGGCTCATGCTCTTGATGATCTGCTGCACTGTGAACCAGGGAGAGGGCCTTTCCCTGGGAACAGCTGTGCCACTTTACAAACTCTGGAGCCATGGCAGGTGTGAGGTCTGAACATGTAACAATTTGCTTGTTACATGTTCAAAGTGCTTTTTTAAACCTGGTTTTGTGATTTATACTTTGAGTTTTGAAGATGTCTTCTTTTCACATTTTGCAGTTTCTATATTATTTGCAAAAGGTGAACTTCACCACATCATTTGGTGATGAAGTATCTTTTGATGAGAATGGTGATGCCATACGTATATATGATGTGATGAACTGGTTGTGGTTTCCGGATGGACACATTCAAGTGCAAAATGTTGGCGTGGTTAAGAAGTCAGCGTTGACAGGCAGTCAGCTCCATCTCGATGAGGACAAAATCTTCTGGAATTTTGAACCTATGATGGTCAGTTTTGCTCATAATCTTGCTGTTTGTGTAATGAGGTTAATAGTATGGCTTGTTTTAGCCCCCCTTGTCAATGTGCAGTGAAACATGCCAACTGGGAACACGCAAGGCAAGAAGAAAAGGACAGCCTGACTGTTGCTTTGACTGCATAAGATGTTCTGAAGGGAAGATCAGCAATACAACAGGTGACATTTTTAGCAAGTCACCTCTTGTAAATAAAGTTGTTTAATTATAATTATTTTTGGCAGACTCCACAGAATGCCTCACTTGTCCAGAGGACTTCTGGTCCAGTCCCGCTCATGACCAGTGTGTTGCTAAGAAAACTGAGTTCCTGTCCTACCATGAGCCTCTGGGCATCTGTCTGACCACAGCCTCTCTGATGGGAGCATGTTCATGTGCATTTGTCCTGCTGGTTTTTCTTCACAATCGAAAAACACCTTTAGTCAGGGCAAATAACTCAGAACTTAGTTTTCAAGTTTTGCTATCCCTTAAACTGTGTTTCTTGTGCTCGCTGCTGTTCATTGGACGCCCCAGACTGTGGACATGCCAGCTGAGACATGCAGCGTTTGGGATCAGCTTTGTGCTGTGTGTCTCTTGTATTCTGGTGAAAACCATGGTGGTGCTGGCTGTGTTCAAGGCCTCCAAACCAGGAGGTGGAACACTTCTTAAATGGTTTGGTGCTTTACAGCAGAGAGGGACCGTTTTAACTCTAACTTTCATCCAAGCTATTATCTGCATAATTTGGCTGGTGACTGCTTCACCTACTCCTCACAAAAACACTGAATATCATAACAACATCATTGTTTATGAATGTGTTGTTGGCTCGACTATAGGGTTTTCTGTCCTTCTCGGCTACATAGGTTTATTGGCTTTGTTGAGTTTTCTGTTAGCTTTTCTAGCCAGGAATCTCCCTGATAATTTCAATGAGGCCAAGTTCATCACTTTCAGCATGCTGATCTTCTGTGCTGTGTGGGTGGCTTTTGTCCCAGCTTATGTCAACTCTCCAGGTAAATATGCAGATGCAGTGGAGGTGTTTGCCATCCTAGCCTCCAGCTTTGGCCTCTTGGTGGCACTGTTCGGACCCAAATGTTACATAATATTACTGAAACCAGAGAAGAACACTAAGAAAGCAGTCATGGGCAGGCTATGAGAAGGTGGAGAGTGAATTGTATTTGTTGACATTTCTTTTAGTGGGAAGGTTTAGTCTATTTTTCTACAGATCCAAGCTTAAATGTCCCATATTTCACACATTTTCTATGCTTTAAACATCATTAAAGTGCTACTTGACCACAGAGTGATATTTCTCTTTCATTCTCGAGAGTGGCATCAAGCTGGAGAAGCCCACATCCAGGAGGCGCTCAGCAGTGATTGACAAGTGGAAGAATCAAAATAGACACCCCTACAAACGTGCCTGAATCAGTGTGGGCCATCTGTACTGAGTCCCGCGTCTACCACAATCTGTTTGCGTCACATCTAGCTGTTTTTTCCCTGCTTCACATCATGTGATATGAAGCAATACAGTGAATGTGGTTTGACTTTATTCATGTGCATCTGATTCCAGAACTACGGTTACCATGGAACTGGACTTACTAAAAAGCTGACCTTGAAACTTGTTGTTATTCCCACAATAAAAGATACTACTCAGGCATTACGTCACATATCGCCAGAATGATTGACAATTAGGAGGACCAATAGTCTTTATGATCCACCTGGAGAAAGACCATCTTCCTCCGATTCTGGATTCTGGGCTCTTAATGACAGATTGCCATTGTTAGAAAAAAGTTTATTCTCATGTCTGTTGTGCAGCAACATACCCAGACTCCCACATTGTGTGTGTACAACCAAGTCAGGGTGAGGCTACGTCACTGAGTGGGAAGGAGGAAGCAGGCTGTGATCTAGGCTACATTGCTGCGCGGGTGAGAGGAGGTGGGCTCACAGGCAGAGGAGCAGAGAACCACATCTTTCAATTGAGGTGATGTCACCTCTATGGAGATGGCTTTCATTTTTTAGGATTTACTGTGACACATGAACAAGAGAGAAATATGGGACTTTTAATCATTTAGATGCCAAAGTAGTAAAATTGCTTCAATTAGCGAATGACTTCTTTCTTTGCAGTGGTCCGGATTGCCACATTCTTACATGTTCTTAAATGTGTTTATGTATATATATATATATATATATATATATATATATATATATATATATCTCTTAGTGCATTTATTTATGACTCAAAAGCCCTTAATATAGAGTAACTGTTGCTCTCCATCTTTGTACGAATGTGACACCAAAGTGACAGATGTAACAACAACATTGGATGTAGGGAGATGTTTACACAGAGACGCTGTGACAGTTAGAAATACAGCCTCCAAAGTGGAGTTTCTGCATACTTTTCTGGCTTTCCAGTGGCCTGAGGAGGATGTTGTCGAGGAAGTGGTGGGTGTCGTGTTGCATTGTAAAGTATCACTGCCCACTTCTGGCCACGTTAGAACTACATTGTTTTCAATCGCCATTTAGACGCTTTGCACTCCGGAGTGGGTTCCTTTTTGAATTAAATGTGTAATCATGTGAATTATTTTGAATATAATGAAATTATAATAGTAGTTAATGATATTAATATAATTAATTTGTATTTGTTAATAATAATTTGGGGAAATTCATACAATCACTGCGACGTATTAATCACGCTAAATTGAATTATTCTTTGGGTCAATTGTAATCATGCTTTTATGGTTTGGGTTTCTGATATTGGGTATTGTCTGTGTTTTTCAAAAGGGCTTTTACCTGCTCTGCTTCTGCATCTGCTTCTGAATTATTATTTTTTTGAATACTTTATTTTGAGCCACACAAAAACATTCTGCGCCATACAGTAAGCACTGTGCCCACTTACATGAGCAACAAATGAAGAACAAAATCAAACAAAAAGGTACAGGAAGGTACCTGATACCTTCTGCATCTTCTTCTTGCTGCTTATTCTTGTACTGATGCGTGCTACTGCTGTTTACAAAATAAACTGCATATCCTCCAATCACCAAAAAAAGAAACACGCTTGACAGTATAAAAGACTTGTTTTGTTTAGTCTGAAAATATAACAAATTAGAAGGGGTTTGGGGTAACTGGGTGCACCCTGGAAAATGTATCATTATGGACATTCTTCTTGTGCATGTCAACTTGGGTCAGTTAGTTTAAATGTGATAGCTTTTACAATTTTACACTTTTACACACATATATGTCTATCAAAATCACTAAATCAAAAAAGATGACTTAAGTCCTAACTAGATTACATTTCATTTTTCCTTAATGGCATTTGGATTGAAATCTTGATGGTGAGGTCTGTGTTTGAATGCTCAATATAAGTGTGTATTATAAGAGTCAAGTCTGTGTAAACTGGACTTGGTAACATGCATGTAGACACTTGGACCGACATTATATGTTTTTAATTACATATTTATTGCATCTGGATGCTTTAAAGGACATTCAGGACTAATGAAATAAAAATTGGTTGAAAATAACAAACAATCACTTCCTCATCACATATTTCTTTGTGTTTTTCTGAGGTTTCAATAATATAATGAAGCATTTGGGAGCAAAAATGCAAAACAATACGCCATAAGCTGAGGCCAAAATAGCAAAGATTTCCACAGCAACTGAGTATTTTCCTGGAGAGCTGACATATGCAGGCACAAAGGCCACCCAAACAGCACAGAAAATCAACATGCTGAAAGTGATTAGTTTAGCTTCATTAAAGTTATCCGGAAGTTTACGAGCCAAAAAGGCCAAGAGGAGGCATGTGCAGGCCAGCAGTCCGATGTATCCCAGGACCAGAGAGAAGCCCAGCACAGACGTCATGGCACACTCCAGAGTCACCTTCTGCCCCGGGACATTCAGATTCATGTGAGGTTCTGGAGGACTTACGCACAGCCACACAACACAGATGATGATCTAGAACAAAGAAACAAACTTGGAATCTCTGAGCTCAAACTATAATTCATCAAGTTCTAAAAATAGCATACACAACAATTGCATATACACTACCTGTATCCAGGTGAGCAGCCACACACTCATCCTCTGTTTTCTCGGACCAAACCATTTAACAAACATTTCACCACCAGGTCGTGCGGAGCGAAAAGCTCCCAGAACAACCATAGTTTTGACTTGGAGACAAGAAACAGACAGCACAAAGCTGATGCCAAAGGCGGCCTGCTGGAAACGACAAGACCAGACCGATGGTCGCCCAATGAAGACCAGCGAGCACAAGAAGCACAGTTTCAGGGATACAAGAAGTAAGAAGCTTAACTCAGAGTTGTTGGCTCGAACCTGAAACAAGACAAGATATTTTAATCAGCCCAAAGCTAAAGTCTGGATAAATATATAGTACCATAGGTGTTTGTCTGTGGTAAAGAAACACTACGAAGACTGCAGTTGTTACTACAGCTCCAGATACAGCCACTGTCGTCAGAGTGATGCCCAGAGTTTCATTAAAGGCCAGGAAGTCCAGCTGTCGAGGGACACAGGACGTTCGGCCGGGATTGGACCAAAACTCAAGCGGACAACGATCACACTGGAGAGAGTCTGTGAACACAGAATAAATGCTTATGAGGCTGAGGTCAGTCATATAATGAACACGTGAACACAGGTCACAGTAAAACAGTCACCTGTTTTGTTGCTGACTTCCCCATCCCCACAGGGAATACAGTCAAAACAGCAGACAGGTTCACCTTTACGTATGGCCTTTCGGGTCCCAGGCTGACAGCTCATTGTGCACACAGATATAGGCACCTATAGAAAGAAGGTCATGTTTTGTCAGACTTTTGTCAGAGCCATATTTATTTCCTTTACATTGCAGAAGAATTTACCTGACTCGTGCCTGTGCTCCACTGAATCATTGTTTCATTGAGATCTATGTCAAAGCCATCAACTTTCCCAATTAGCACTAGTTTGAGTGACCCTTCTGGAGTCTTCTGCCAGTTGATCAGATCATACTTTGCTGGGATATCCCCTCCTTGGAAATAAAACCGTTCGCCCTGAGGTGTGGTGAAGTTTACTGTACTCAAGTGCTCAAGAAGCTGCAAACAAAAACAATCATGTTCAGACTGCCGAATATTGTGTTTGCTCCTTTTCCTTCACCTGCGCAGGTGTGATGTTTTGAGGAGAGGAGCAGTTGGACGTGGCCACAGAGGCCTCCGTGTCAGGGCAGGACAGAAGGCTGTGAATGGCATGAGCTGCTGCATAAACTGCCAGATACACATTATATGTGACTCTTAGCTGGGACATGTCAGTAAAGTGACGCTGTACCCCAAACAGAGACTCTGTCCCATTGCAGGGAGGGAGAGGAGAGGATGATGATGGCAGAGGAGCACAGCCAAACACCTTTTCCCAGAATTCTCTTAAGAATTCATCATCCGGACGCTGTGAAGGCTGTAAACTTTTAACATAATGTTCAAATCCCTTTATATTTGAGCTTCGAATGGCCACACCAAAGACGCCGCGTGCCACTTTTGAAGTAGCAGAATGTTGGAGGAGGTCACCACTTGTGCTCCAGGCCTCACTAGCCAGAAACTGCCTGTCAGTCACCTAGTGCGGGAAATACAATTTAATTTGTTTTATTATTTTTATTATTATTTTTTTTATGTAATTTTGTTCTTACGTTTATTTGTTGTAGTTGCACAAACAGCTCTCCAACGTCTAGGTCACGAGAAAAAATCAAGATGACTTTAGCATTTGAAGCCTTGATAGTAAGAGCAGCTTCTCTGAGATCAGCGATGATGCTTTCTCTTTTAAAAGTTTTCACAAAAGCCAAACACACAGACTGTGCTGTCTCCTCGAAGATCTAAAATTATGTTTTCATATTTATATATTTATACATATATCTATGTATAGTAATTACTTATTCTAATATATTTTGAGATACCTTTATTGCCTCTCGCCCATAGTCTGAATTAAACACTACTGCTCCAATCCAGGTCCATTGGAATCGCATGACGAGTTGTGCCAATGCCCGAGCTTGATAGGCATCACTCGGGATTGTCCTAAAGAAGTTTGGATACTGCTGTCTGTTACTGAGGCAGGGGCAAGTTGCAAAGTAGCTGATCTGAATAAATCATTAGAAGACATATTCTTAAACATATGAATAGTTTGTATCCCAATGTAACAGGGGAGTTTCACCTACCAAGGGCACTGAAAACGGCATCAAGACTCTTGACAGTACTATGCTTGTTGATGATGATGGACCTCCAATTATAACAGGAACAAATCCTTTCAATGTCACAAATATCAAGTTTGCATCATCCACTTTTTCACAACATAGAGGAAATTGATAATGTAATAGAAAACATCTGTTTTTTACCTTGTTTGCAAGGTTTATCCTCGGATATAAAGCTTTTAGCATCACCCCCAATTAAAGACAAAACAGCTTCAAGAGCCCATGGTGGTCTTCCACAGCTATCCAAAATACGGTAACCCATTTTTACACCTGGCATCAGTCTTTTACTACGGTTAATTTCTTCCACGGCATAGATCATTGCGTAAACAAATTGTATTGCAGTATCGTCTAAACTTAACCACAAGAAAGAAAGGAAAGCCGTTACAAATGTGAATCTTTGTGATAAAATGTGGCAGTATTTACCCATTGCATGGCTTATATAATGGTGCCTGTGTGTAGTCATTAGTAATAGTTGGAATTTGGTAATGGACATTAAAGGTACCGCCAATGACCACATCTCCATGCTCAGACAAAGGCAAATTTGTGTATGTGTCCCATCTCAGGCAGTTTTCTCCTCCCCTGTCCTCCAAAGCACCGAGCCCCTGTTGTGTCTCCCACAACAGCAAAAACATACACCAAAACCAGATCATGGGTACAATACAATACATCATGATAGATAAACATTCCAATCAACTTGCTCAATCAAATGTTTAAAATGTAAGCAGCTAAAGCACCTCAGCACAACTGACACAGACGGTGTCACTTGGTGTGCAACCCTCCACCCACAGCGCAGGTGTTGGCTGTTCCAAGAATTTATGGTTGCGCTTTCATGAATATGCAAATCATATGACTCCACAAGTGACATAACTGTTATCATTGAGGATGTGTTTGAAGGTGAATTCTTTTGAAATTAAATCATATGGTTACATGATGTTGGTTTGTTAGACATTGTGTAATGTGTAAGAGAACCTTGATTTATCCCACAGTTGAGACAGGTCAGTATTAAAACACACATTACAGAACAATAAAGGAATACAATTACTCAAAACAAGATCTATAAGATAAACAGCTATGAATTTTAGGGACTATTCCTTATACATAAAATATTTTTTTCCCAACCAGTATTAGGCTTCTTAACTCAATATGACTTTATTAGGCAATAGGGAATTTATTGTGCGTTAAGCTTTTATTGTTGTGTTACTGTGTTCATATGTTTGTATGATTTCCATGGCTACACTTGACTGCTTTTGGTATTTTTTTTATGTGTTTCTAAATAAAGTAGTCTGATTCTCATATCATAAAAATCTTAGCTAAATCCAAAAATTATACATGTGTATGATGCTTAATATAAACTAATGAATAGTGGGCTGTTTACAGCAGTTAAAACCTTGACTCTCACCGGTTCACACGTTAACTACCGACAATATACATAGTAACATACACTCGCGCTCAGTTCTGAATCCAAATTGTATGTGAAGCAAGAGGCTCATCGCAGAGTGTCGCACAGACCCTCTAAAGATGATTTGTGATCCAGACATGCCGTGGAGCTGCACTTGTTGAATACATTTATGGAAAAGCAAAGGAAGGTTTCTCACCCATCATCTGTACTTCTTATCAGGTTTTCCCGACGTTTCGTCCTTAATCCAAAGAACTTTTTCAAGGGAATGAAATCTCAGACCGCACATGGGAGATTTAAATCCTATGGGTGTGGTTAGCCACACCCTAATCCTGAGGCTAACTCACAAACACATCTAACGACCCTGCTAGGGCTAACAATCCTAACTCAGTCACATGTCACAGACTTATTGTCTCCTGAGAATGCTCGAGTGGAGAGTAGGTCTAACCACTCCCAACTCCTTAGCACGCCACAGACCTTATCTATAGTTAGGGCATTGTTTTTAGGATGCCGTCATAGGTGCGAGGCAAAACAAATCTTAACCCGCCTCCTCTGTTAAGAGAAGGTTTGTGTTTCCTCACAAAAATGGCTTCTTTCACCCCTCTCTCAAACCAATTTTTGTCTCGAGCCAGAATTTTTCAGGGTTGTTAGACCTGCTCCCTACCAAATCTTAACACACCATAGATGTGTTTATGAGTTAGCCTCAGGATTATTGAGGCGTGGGCGGCAGTAGCTCAGTTGGTAGAGCGTTGGCCTTTGAGCCAGAAGGTCGTGGGTTCAAGCCCCGCTCAAGACTTTCACCATCGACTCCCACTGACTACTGTCGTTGTGTCCTTGGCAAGACACTTAACCTCTGGGAACACCAGCCACAGTGGGGCGGCTGCGGCTGTAAAGTGCCAAACTGCCGTTGTGTCCTTAGGCAAGACACTTCACCCCCATTGCCTAGAATGAGTCTGGTGTGTGTGTGAATGGTTGGTGGTGGTTGGAGGGGCCGATGGCGCATACTGGTTGCCTCGCTTCTGTCAGTGTGCCCCAGGGCAGCTGTGGCTACATTAGTAGTTTATCACCACCGTGTATGGCGTGAATGAATAATGACACATGTGAAGCGTCTTTGAGTGTCCAAAAAAGCGCTATATAAAACCGATGCATTATTATTATTATTATAGGTTATAAATCTCCAAAGTGCGGTCTAAGATTTAATTCCCTTGTAAAAGTTCTTTGGATTAATACGAAACGTTGGGGAAACTTGCTAAGAAGTACAGATGATGGGTGAAGTACAGATGATACGACTGAGAGCTTACAAAAACCTACATTTATGTAAGTACACAAAAAGCTAACATTGATCAGCTTTCAAAGCCCACCCGCTGCATCCTCTGTGCTTTATCCGTGATAGCCTCAGCCTCGCTGTCAGCGCGCTGGTTTTAATAAACTCAGACATTAGATTTGAGATAAACAGTTTCAAAAACAGCTCTCCCAATGGACTGCCACCTTAAAGGAATAGTTCACCGTTTTTACATACTGACATATGTTCTTACCTTACCTTAGACTAGTTAATACGTACCTGTCTGGTCTTAGTCCGTGCGCTCTGTCATGCAAACGGAGCAAAAACGGGAGCACAAACGCAGCCTCCTCTGTATACTGTGTAGGACCAAAAGGTAGCTCCCGCTAGAAGCTACCAAACTCTTCCAAGTGTTCCCTATTAAATGTATATAGTTACGTGACGTGTTACACTGCAAAGTATAGTAACACAGAAATGTAACAGTCGATTTTCTCAGCGGATAAAACGGGTACTATATTGTGAGGCGTAGTAATCTGAGGAGCGCTACGTCCGCGCACTAACTTCTCTCCGTACTACAAGTCACGCTGCTTCTATTGACGGAAGTGAGCGAGAGAAAAGTCTCCGGAGAGAAGTTAGTGCGCGGACGTAGCGCTCCTCAGATTACTACGCCTCACAATATAGTACCCGTTTTATCCGCTGAGAAAATCGACTGTTACATTTCTGTGTTACTATACTTTGCAGTGTAACACGTCACGTAACTATATACATTTAATAGGGAACACTTGGAAGAGTTTGGTAGCTTCTAGCGGGAGCTACCTTTTGGTCCTACACAGTATACAGAGGAGGCTGCGTTTGTGCTCCCGTTTTTGCTCCGTTTGCATGACAGAGCGCACGGACTAAGACCAGACAGGTACGTATTAACCCTCTAGGCGCCACGGTCGACTTAAGTCGACAAGCTGCGGTACTGTTAAAAACGGCCGAGTGTGACCAACTGAGTGTCAAAATTCATTCATACTCCCTGCCACTAGTTGGCAGACATGTCAGACTACCTCCCTGGCCCCAAAAAACGTCATGCTCCTATACAAAATATTCGAGCAAGACCGCGTTGAACCAGTGCGGAAATCATAGCGAAGCGAATGCAGCTGCGGGGCAGCCTGCGAGTGTTGTACCGCACCAAACACTAACTTTAGACACTTTGTACAGGGTCCGCAGTGGGAACAGTGTTTCTTAGAGTAAGGCAAAGTCATTGGAAGGTTCGGAGACAGGTTAGATTTGCGGAAAACAAGCCTGGAACTCGGGTCGGGGCGCCGCGCCGCGACCTCCAGCCTCCGCTGAAGTTTCCGCCAAAGTCTCCGCTAAAAGTGCTTCCCACATATTTATTTTCAAGCCTCACGTAATCACCGGGACAGTAATGTGTTGGAGAAGCCTTGTCTTGTGTGTGTTAGACGAGAGAGAGCAGGGGAGACAGCTGCAGCAGCAGGGTCGCGGTGACGCGCATCACCTGGAGGCGCGCGTCTGGGCAGACTGCTCACAGCAGCACCATGATTTATATTTTTTTACTATTTTCATGAACATTTACAATGTTACAGTGTGTGCTCTGTGTGTGTTCATGTTCTAGTGATAAATATATGTCTGTCAGTTAGAAAAATACAAATATTGTATGAAAATTCTAAAATCCACTATTTCTAACGCCAAATGACGTCATAATATGCAAATTAGATGGGGGGATTTATTCTCTACATAAACTTTGGACCATCCTTTATATTTTTCTAATATGCAGAAAGCCTTTATCTCTTATCACTTTTAAGTTATAGCCTTTTGAAATTAAGATGTCAAAATTGAGCGTTTTGGAAAAAAACCTCTGGCACTTAAAGGGTTAACTAGTCTAAGGTAAGGTAAGAACATATGTCAGTATGTAAAAACGGTGAACTATTCCTTTAAAGGCACACCGCGGACTTTGTGACCTAAAGAGTTGACACATATGAGTTATTTTATATGAATACTTGGGCCAATATACAGCGCTTGACACTTGCAATGCTCCGAGCGGGGCTGCCCTCTTGAAATACCGCCCATGTAACTTTCGAGCAGACGGACCGTCTGCCACCAGGTCACGTGACTTGGAAGAAAGACTTGCTTTACGGCTACAGGCGCTGATATACTCATGGAGCTAAGGCTTTTGCTACTCATTTTTCACCTGCTCGACTCCTGGTCATGGCTGAGGCAAGGAAAAATTTTAAACCTTTGGAGGAGGCTAAAAAGAGGAAACGCGAAAGGGATCGTGCTGTAAGCTGCATGTCTGTATGAGCGCTGCTGTTCACCTGGTTCCTGGATGTCATCGACCGCAACGATGTCATTCCACGCAGCACGAGCTAGACGCAGAACTCCCTCATCCAGGATATAGAAGTCCATGTGTGGTAGATTACTAATGCAGCGGTCTGGAGGCTGACCACAGCAGAGTCTCTCAATATCTGTAGGCATGTCTCTACAGTTTGAACACACACACCAGTGCATGCTGTCTGAATACACACTCAAAAGACACCGGCTGACTGTTTGACTTTTGCGACAGTGCTGAGTTGCTTGTGGCCACTAGGGGCGCTAAACGTGAAAGTTGCAGGTCTAGCGCCCCTAGTGGCCAAGAGTTACACGGTGTGCCTTTAAGGTGGAGCCAGGCCTGGGGTTGGGGCTCGTATACGAGCACCTGGTGGCCAGGCCTTTGCCCACAGGGCTCGGCCAGCTAAGCCCGAAAGGACGACGTGCATGTGGGCTCACCACAACGCAGAGGGATCCATGGGGGCAGGTGCAGAGAGGACTGGGGGCAGTCAAAGGCAGAGAAACTCCACCTTTCTAGCATTTCTTGCAGGGAGAGGCGGCGAGCGGGGTGGCCATAGTCAGTGCCCTTCATCTCAACAGCCTCATGTTGGAGTTTTCCTCGGTGAATGAGAGGGGCCCGTCCCTTCGCCTCCGGGTGGGGGTCAAGACTCTCACTGTTGCCAGCCTACGGGCCAAACAGCAGCGCAGAGTATCTGGCCTTCTTGGAGTCATGCGAGGGGTACTGGATGGTGCACCAACCAGGCACTTTGTTATTCTCCTGGAGGGCAATGTGGGAAATTGATAGTGGAATTGTATGGGTTATCATTAAAATGAATGTGAACAGTCTAGACAACTTTGGGTTTGACCTACATTGGCGTGTGGAAATCTACCATTGAGGTGTTGAAACCAAGCTAATAATTATCCACATTGTCCACAATGGGGTTTTTTGTGAAACTATGTTGCAAGACGTTGTCCAACAAGTGGTTCATGTGTAACTTCACCTATTTTGGGCTTTTCCATGTGTGAGGGTGTGGGTTTTCAGTTCTGAAATAAATAAGGTGCCTGCAGAGTATCAGGCAGGACTTGGCTTTTGGCTGCATTAGGAGGCGCAGGCCTCCTTCGCAGCTGAAAGGCATCTCCTCCTTGTTACATGCAAGTAAAAAACAAATCCCTTGTCTGTTATGTGCTTCTGTCCAGATACTGTAGTAGAACCCATTTTTAACAGAAATGCCGGGGACAGTCGTGATCCGGGAGAACAGCCCCCCGATCTGAATCCAAGTGCCGTTCACTTGTTGGGCTTCTGTGCTAGTCACATTTTGTCCATCACAAACACCATGTTCAAACACAAGGGTGTCCACCAGTGCACGTGGCACCAGGACACACGAGACCAGAGGTCGAGAATCGGTTCTGTTGTTGTGTCATCTGATCTTTGGCTTTGGTCAGACCTAGCAGACTTAAACATATTGTGAGGTTCTGCTGGGAACATCTATATGAGCCCCCTGTCAGGTAGACTTTCAACCCTAAACTTCCGAGATAGCTTCTTCCAGGTCCGGGGGGGGGGGGGACGTGGTAGTTGCAAGAACTCTGGTGCTGGACCTGGTGTTAACCCCCTAACACGGGGGTGTACACCGTTAGTTAGGGATACCATCAGGCCGAAGAAGGAGTCCTATTGAGCCATATTGGATCATGGGACTCCTGAGGAAGTTGTCCAGTACCGGCAGGCCAAGGGTGCCGCTGCCCAGGCTGTTGCAGAGACAAAAACCCAGGACTCGATAGAGTTCGGAGAGTCTATTAAGCATGACTATCGGTCGTACCTCAAAGAGATTCTGGCAAACCGGCCAATGCCTCAAGACTGTGAAGACTGTCTTGGCTGACACGTCTCTGCAACATTGTGTGGCGATCTAGGACAGTGCCTACAGAACACCAGAGAGTGTTCCAATTATCGTGGGATCACACTCCTCAGCAAGGTCTACTCCAAGGAAGTGGAGGAGACTTCAACCAATAATGGTGTGGATATGGTAGTCTGGACGTCTCTGCTTAGACTGCTACCCTTCGCGAGAAAAGCGGAAATAAAAGGGATGGATGGTGGACAGAACGGTGGCTAAGTGGATAGAACTCTCGCTTCTCAGCAAGAAGCTCTTGGGTTTGAATCCTGGTTGGAATAGGATCTTTCTGAATGGAGTTTGTATGTTCTCCCCATGTCGGCTTAGGTTTCCTCCAGGTGCTCCGGTTTCCCCTATAACTAAAAAAATGTACGATAGGTAAAATCCTCCAGCTGCGGTAGTCCTGACCAAACCGAGTATCAATATCTGGAGATGTGTTCTCAGGCACTGGATAAAAAAAGTACACCTTTATCTTTAAAACTGTGTGTTTTTGGCGTGAACACAACTAACGCTGTAAAATGTATGGAAATAATTTTCCTGGATTTGAGGTGATATACATTCATCACTAATTCAAGACCAAGATGCAACCATCAAAAGGCGAGTGAGAATAATTGTCCAGATAAAATGTTCACTTTTTCATTTCATTTTTAAAAAAATCACATAATTGGAAGTGAACGCATAGGGTAAGGTTCTTCAGTTTATTCAATCCCGGTAAAATTCAGATACATCAGAAAATATATATACGTTTTAGGCAAACAGAAACAGCTCTCGGCTATTTAGGCCAGTGTTATTTCGTATCTAGTTTATCGTTTTTAGTTTCATTTGCATAACATTTGAAATAAGATTCTTACTACTACTGCTACAAAAATTGCATATTTTAATGCTTCAAAATATGCAGAAATGTGGTACATTCAATGTGATGCGGTCCATGTGTATTGTGTGCATGAACTGCACCTATGCGTTTTCTCCACTCAGGAACCAAGACGTCAAGGAAGGAAGCTCGCTCTTAGGAAGCTTATACTGTATCTCTCTATAATGTACACGTAAAGTGCACTAAAATGGTATATGGATTTCACAAATATTATGACACAATAAAATGTATACAGTACATGTTGTACTAATGCAATACTGATTCAAATTACTGCCTCAGTCCTCGTTCTACAGCCTGAGCACTGGATCTATAGCCCGTCCATCTGTGGAAGTGGATCCCTCTCTAATTGTGGTCCTCACTTCCCACTGGGTTTTTTTTTTATTCTTCCTTGCCGGTGCAGGACATACCACAACAACTTTATTGTCTCTGAGATGAGATTGTGGCCAAAACATCTTCATAATAATTAATTTACACCGGCAACTTGAGAGTGCCTTACTTTCTTTGGGCAGTAAGAGTGTTTTGGTGTGGTTACGTTCTTCTACAAAGAATACAGAGCCATACTATCTTTATTTTAACTTACCATTATATTGAGTATACAACACATAATCCCATATCGCAACTGCAGCACATGGCACAATGGTTAGCACTTGTGCTTCACAGTAAGAAGGTACTGGGTTAGATTCCACCTCCAGATGGGCTGTCTGGAGTTTGCATGTTCTCCCTGTGTCTGAATAGGTTTCCTCTTCCACTAAATATATGTACAATAGTTCAGCAATTAATGTTTTTAGAGCGACTGGGACAACAGATGGACAGATGCTCATGGTAAGAATCCGGTTTATTTTGTTTGATATGATGTGGGTTGTGAGGCGCTTTGAGTTGCCTTGGAAAGGCGCTATACAATTAAAAGTTGATTGATTGATTGATTATTTACAGCACCTGCTGTTCATTAAACACTATACCTGCCAAATAGACAAATTATTATTATTATAATTATTATCTTCACTCTTGAAGAAAAATATTAAATGGGTAAATGACTGATTGTAAAAAGGGCATGTTGTATGCCAAAAAACACATTCAGAGCCTAGTCACAAGCGCTCTAGCCACCAAACTTGGATTTTGATAAATAATAGTGACGACATAAGAAAATTAAGAAATCCTAATGATTAATAGAGATTTATTATTGCCAACAAAGACTCTACAGAGAATATGGATAACAATTACAACACACTCCAAAGGATTACAAATTCAGCTATATATACTGTATATAACTATATCCCCAAGAATATCATAAAATACATACATACACAATAATTTTATAATACATAAAAAATTCAGATTCATGGACCTTTCATCATTACCTGGCCATGAGGTGTTTCTTGGTGTTTTTCTCAGGCCTTAACAATATAATGAAGCATTTGGGAGCAAAAATGCAAAACAATAAGCCATAAGTTGAGGCCAAAATAGCAAAGATTTCCACAGCAACTGAGTATTTTCCTGGAGAGCTGACATATGCAGGCACAAAGGCCACCCAAACAGCACAGAAGATCAACATGCTAAAAGTGATGAGTTTAGCTTCATTAAAGTTATCCGGAAGTTTACGAGCCAAAAAGGCCAAGAGGAGGCATGTGCAGGCCAGCAGTCCGATGTATCCCAGGACCAGAGAGAAGCCCAGCACAGACGTCATGGCACACTCCAGAGTCACCTTCACTCCAGTCATTTCCCAGTCAGGCTGAGGCAGGGGAGGTTTGAGTGACAGCCAAACTGCACAAATAAGTACCTGGATAAAATTGAGAAGAAACCTTTATCACTGTTAACACACTGTGTGACGATACGCTATTACCTGTATACTTGTGAAAATGCCAACACTCCCTCTCTGTTGATTAGGACCAAACCACTTCATTAAAGACTCTGAACCAGGTCGTGCGGAGCGAAAAGCTGCTAGCACAACCATAGTTTTGACTTGGAGACAAGAAACAGACAGCACAAAGCTGATGCCAAAGGCGGCCTGCTGGAAACGACAAGACCAGACCGATGGTCGCCCAATGAAGACCAGCGAGCACAAGAAGCACAGTTTCAGGGATACAAGAAGTAAGAAGCTTAACTCAGAGTTGTTGGCTCGAACCTGAAACAAGACAAGATATTTTAATCAGCCCAAAGCTAAAGTCTGGATAAATATATAGTACCATAGGTGTTTGTCTGTGGTAAAGAAACACTACGAAGACTGCAGTTGTTACTACAGCTCCAGATACAGCCACTGTCGTCAGAGTGATGCCCAGAGTTTCATTAAAGGCCAGGAAGTCCAGCTGTCGAGGGACACAGGACGTTCGGCCGGGATTGGACCAAAACTCAAGCGGACAACGATCACACTGGAGAGAGTCTGTGAACACAGAATAAATGCTTATGAGGCTGAGGTCAGTCATATAATGAACACGTGAACACAGGTCACAGTAAAACAGTCACCTGTTTTGTTGCTGACTTCCCCATCCCCACAGGGAATACAGTCAAAACAGCAGACAGGTTCACCTTTACGTATGGCCTTTCGGGTCCCAGGCTGACAGCTCATTGTGCACACAGATATAGGCACCTATAGAAAGAAGGTCATGTTTTGTCAGACTTTTGTCAGAGCCATATTTATTTCCTTTACATTGCAGAAGAATTTACCTGACTCGTGCCTGTGCTCCACTGAATCATTGTTTCATTGAGATCTATGTCAAAGCCATCAACTTTCCCAATTAGCACTAGTTTGAGTGACCCTTCTGGAGTCTTCTGCCAGTTGATCAGATCATACTTTGCTGGGATATCCCCTCCTTGGAAATAAAACCGTTCGCCCTGAGGTGTGGTGAAGTTTACTGTACTCAAGTGCTCAAGAAGCTGCAAACAAAAACAATCATGTTCAGACTGCCTAATATTGTGTTTGCTCCTTTTCCTTCACCTGCGCAGGTGTGATGTTTTGAGGAGAGGAGCAGTTGGACGTGGCCACAGAGGCCTCCGTGTCAGGGCAGGACAGAAGGCTGTGAATGGCATGAGCTGCTGCATAAACTGCCAGATACACATTATATGTGACTCTTAGCTGGGACATGTCAGTAAAGTGACGCTGTACCCCAAACAGAGACTCTGTCCCATTGCAGGGAGGGAGAGGAGAGGATGATGATGGCAGAGGAGCACAGCCAAACACCTTTTCCCAGAATTCTCTTAAGAATTCATCATCCGGACGCTGTGAAGGCTGTAAACTTTTAATATAATTATCAAATCCCTCTATATTTGAGCTTCGAATGGCCACACCAAAGACACCACGAGCCATTCTTGAGGTAGAAGAATGTTCAAGAAGGTCACCACTTGTGCTCCAGGCCTCAGTAGCCAGAAACTGTCTGTCAGTCACCTGACGCCAAAGAACAAAAAAGATATTGACATAATAACAGTAATATACACATTTTACGTCTTACATTAATTAGATCCAATTGTACAAACAGCTCTCGAACATCTGTGTACCAGGAAACAACCAGTATTACTTTAGCAGATGAGGCCTGAATGGTAATAGCAGCTTCTCTGGCATCAGCCACTATGTTCTGTCTTCTCAGAGTTCTGACAAAAGCCATGCACAGCCCTGACCTCTCAATCTCCTGTTGGAAAACCTGAAAGTAAAATACAATCAATACAAATGTAAAAACACATTAACATTTGTAGTCTGTACCTTTACTGCCACAAGACCATAATCATTTTCTGCTACAACTGCTCCAATCCACTTCCACTGGAAGTGTATGGCCAGTTGTGCTAGGGCCCGGGCCTGATAGATATCACTTGGGATTGTCCTGAAGAAGTTAGGATACTGCTGTCTGTCACTAAGGCAAGGGCAACTGGACTGGTAGCTCATCTAGATGATTAATATCATATAAAAGAGTAATATTTCAAAATGTGGTAACTGTAATGCTGTTATGATCAATGGGATTGTGTGTTAAAGGGTAATTTTCATGTATCTTACAAGAGGCACAGAAAGGGGTCCAAGGACTTGTGTTAGTATAATTGCTGTTTTTGAAGAGGCACCACCAATAATCAGCGGAACTGTTTTCATACCTGTAAAAACAAAATAATGCTAGTGCCTTCATCCATTTCAGTTGTACAGCTATAATACATGATAGATTACTGCTCATTTGTCTGATCTCTCCAACCAGGCCAGTGGTATTCTCCTGTGTAAAAGCACAGAATGTGCTGTCTCCTCCAACCAGAGACAGCACAGACTCCATCGCCCAAGGGTGCAACGCACAGCTGTCAAGTATACGGTAGCCAAGCCTCACTCCCGGCAGCAGACTTCCACTGCGATTGATCTCATCCACAGCAAACATCATGGCGTAGATGTACTGCATTGGAAGATCCTCTATACTGTCACATTAAAATGAATTAGTGCCACCAAAGAATATAAGAAGATACAATCAAAATATCTGTAAACAACACATGCATTATTGTCTTCCTTTGCTCATAAGCATTTAAAGACCCTCTCTTAACCTGAACTAATTTGTTGATCAGAAACACATTCTTAATGCAATCATGAGGAAATTGAAAATATAAGTTAATGCATTACCCTGAACAAGTGCTGAATAGTGGTGGAAGAGTAAAATCGCTGTCAATATTGGGAGGCAAATAGTGCAGACTATAAAGCCCTCCGATGACGACATCTCCGTCCTGGTATAGACCCTGGTTAGAGACAGACTTCCAGCGATTGCACAAGAGCGACTGCACGACCAGGACCTCCAACAGCCCCATCAGCAGAAGGATTGGAGCAGCCCACAGACATAGTGACAATGAACAAGCAAAAGAGAAAGTACACATTGATGAAAACCTGAAATAGATTAAATAAATCACTCGCCAGTCAATTCAGAACCTCCTATATGATGTTATTGGAAATTATAGCAGACCATATGATTGGCAATGAGTCTGTGAAACAGCCCCACCTCCAATGAATGTTCAGCTTGTGTCCTTAGTATTTATAGCATTGCGGTACGAAACTAAACTTGAACGTGACAACAAAAAAAGAAAAAAAACTGCTCTGGGGTTGTTACTGAAATGCCTGGATCAAATCCGTTCCTGTCTTCATAATTTAAGGGGCAAAAGGTAGAGGGCCTGATACGTCCCATCTTGTTTCAATGAATACTGTTGCATGAAATGGTATTCATTGAAACAAGTAGATTACTCCAATAACTAGGATTTTATCAGGACAATTTCAACAAGTAAATTGATGAGCATAAAAGCCGATAATATTCATACTTCAGATCAATGAAAGAAAATGAGGACACATATAAATAAATGAAATACATATATTTTTCTTATCACTATAGAAACGGTTTATTCATAATCAACTCATGGAAAACACTAGAAATGCTAAGCAAAAGACAACTATGGTAGAGTTTTCAAATATTCATTGAAGAACTTAGTTAACCAATGGTACGATAAGAAAACTAGAATTGTATGCATTACACATATTACTTCTATTTACATAGGCTTAATGGGTGACTTCTTCATGAAACAAAAAATACTATAATAAGTTCAGTTAATGGCATATTCAAAATTTACTAAATCATTAGTATGATAAAACATTTCGAAAAACCATACAGGCCAACATAGTTTCAAAATTTCTATAGCTTCTGAGTATTTTCCTGGAGAGCTGACATATGCAGGCACAAAGGCCACCCAAACAGCACAGAAGCTCAACATGCTGAAAGTGATGAGTTTAGCTTCATTAAAGTTATCCGAAAGTTTCCGGGCCAGAAAGGCCAAGAGGAGGCATGTGCAGGCCAGCAGTCCGATGTATCCCAGGACCAGAGAGAAGCCCAGCACAGACGTCATGGCACACTCCAGAGTCACCTTGTGCCCCGTGACATTCAGATTTACGTGAGGTTCTGGAGGACTGACTTGTTCTTGACTGGAACAAGTCAGACAAGTCAGTCTCAAACATTTCTTTTTCACTAAAAGAAAAATGAATGAACAGATAGGATAATGGCTTATTTATAAAGTTAAGTGGGAAAGGAAAAAGGAAAATAGATTTTATTTGGAGAAATTCAAGGAGGTTTTGGCTCAAAATCTCACGATACATGGCCCCATTCATTCTTTCCTTAACACGGATCAGTCGTCCTGTCCCCTTAGCAGAAAAAGAGCCCCAAAGCATGACGTTTCCACCCCCAGGCTTCACAGTAGGTATGTTGTTCTTGGGATGCAACTCAGTATTCTTCTTCCTCCAAACACGACGAGTTGAGTTTATACCAAACAGTTCTACTTTGGTTTCATCTGACCACATGACATTCTCCCAATCCTCTGCTGTATCATCCATGTGCTCTCTGGCAAACTTCAGACGGGCCTGGACATGCACTGGCTTCAGCAGGGGGACACGTCTGGCACTGCAGGATTTGATTCCCTGTCGTCGTAGTGTGTTACTGATGGTAACCTTTGTTACTTTGGTCCCAGCTCTCTGCAGGTCATTCACCAGGTCCCCCGTGTGGTTCTGGGATTATTGATCACCATTCTAATGATCATTTTGACCCCACGGCATGATGAATGTGAATTCCTGGATTTTTTTCTCACATTCTGTCTCTCACAGTTGAAGTGTACCTATGATGAAAACTACAGACCTATGTCATTATTTTAAGTGGGAGAACTTGTACAATCGCTGGCTGACTAAATACTTTTTTGCCCCACTGTATACATATATATATATATAATTTATACTCCCACCCTTGTAGGCTATACAGGTGTGGGAGGGCTATACAGGGATATAATATTATATATAATTTTAGGGCACGTATTCAGTATTCTGTGACATAATACGAACAATCAAGGTATTCTACCCAACACTTGGCCTGGGACATGGAGAAGCGGGCCGTGAGGAGATGAAGCAGAGGGCACCAGGGAAGCGCGTTTGGAAAGCCTGTCCATCAATGAAGATGTAAGGACGTGGGGGCGCAGACATGGTCGCCTAGAGGCAGGGGTCGCCTAGAGGCAGGGGTCGCCTAGAGGCAGGTCTCAGGAACTGTCTGCCTGTTTTTTTATCCAATGTTATTACATTTTTCAACTCAGCACGTTTTAACTCTTCAACGTGTTATACCTTGTTTTATTCGGTTTCATTGTGTCTTGGGGGCTATTACTTTTGGTGTATATATCTTCTGTAGTACTGTATATGAAATATATGTACTTTTGAAAAAGTTGAATTTTTTTACTTTATCCCTTAATTTATCATTGGGGCTTGGGGTAAAAGGGACGTAACAGTGTAATGGGGTAATGGAGGGTAACAGATGGGGGTAACATTGTAATGGGGGGGGGGGGCATAACAGTGTAATGAGAGTCATGAGAGTAACAGTGTAGTGGGGTAATTGGGAGTGTAACAGTGTTATGAGGGTCATGGGGGGCAACAGTGTAATGGAGGGGTAATGGGGGAGTAACACAAGGGGTTACCAGAAGTATACAACTCACCCATCACACACAGAAGATGGGCCAGGCTCGAGTTGGTCCAGTTTAGCATGCTTCAGTCCTTCAGCTTCAGAGAGGTGAAGAAACTATCCATCCAGCCTTACCTCTGCAAAGACTCCAGTGAAAGCAACACACATTTCATTTTCTTTATATCTTTACACATTTCCTTGTTCTCCAGTGCTCACAAACCAATCAGAGTTCAGCTCCGCACCTGAATCTCTGCTCTGCATCGTCTTTTTAGCCGGTCAGAGAAACAGGGTTAGATTATGTGGAAAAGGGGATTTTGATCTCTCGCCAAAATGTATCAGCAAGCATAACTGTGGAGTTCCATGTGTCTTGATGCCACAGTCAAGATGGAGCAGGTTTAAAAAAACAAAAAAACTTGACCTAAAATTGAACCCTGGGGCACACCACATGCGATTCTGTGACACTTCTAGCTCAAACTCTGACACATGTGTGTTTTATTATCTGATAGGAGGTAAGAGAGGTGGTCTGGACAGCTGTGGCGGCAGTAGTTTACCAGTGATTTTGATTGGCTGAGAAAAATAAATGCTTATCAAAAACCGTGATGTGAGAGACCCAAACACAAAGTACTAAAAAACAACAACTTGAACTTTTGAAACATTATAGTCTAATTATTATCTTCCTGAAGATGTGAGACAGGCCTCTTCTCTGACAATATTGAAATCCAGGTTTTAAAAAAAGTTCTGTTTAGCTGTGCATACAACTGAGGGATTTTATAGTATGAATTATAGTATGAATTGTGCTATTTAAAAAACATGCCTTGCCTTGCCCTATAGGACACACATACTTGCTGCCAGAGTAGCATAGACAGCAGGTGGGATTTATGCCATTGTTCAGACAACTCAATTGTAGAGTTGTTTTTATAGCTGCTGATACTTATACAGACAGCTGTAGAATAATTCATGTCAGTAGATGGAAAGTTTGATGCTATACAACATTTAGACCCTTCATGGATCTCCACCAAGAGAGTTGTGCAAAGAGCTATGAATAATTCTTGAAATACAGTCAAATCCAGTTAAAATGTTGTAGTCATGAACTCCTTAGGGGGATAGGTAATTGGTGTCTCACATACCCTCACCCAACATAAACTAGATGCATATTGCTTATTTGTCCAACATTTCAATCAAAATTGTATTTTTCTAGAGTCCTCATCCAGCTGAAATCTATTTGGCTGCGGAAATCTGGACCTCATCCATGGTTTGATGTTGCCATCTAGTGGATGATCAGGGCGATGAGTTTGTTAGTGCAACTGTGGGGCCACTGCATGGATCAACCGATGCAAATTAGCAAATGTTGTTTTGTTGCTGACTTCCTCATCCCTACAGGGAATACCATCAAACCAGCAGACAGGTTTATCTTTTTCTTTTCTTTTAAATCGGTAATAAATGTACAACTCATTTAACAAGAAAACCTTGCAAAAAAAATCTATTATAAAAAACTCATTTCATTTCCATGGTCACATGACCGTTGGAATTAAATGCCCCCTCCCACTCCAGATTCTAGTTCCAGCTTATTGTGCATACAGGCATCTTAGGAAGAAGAGCATAAGCCATATACACTTTAAGTCACCATAAACCACAGCTTCTGTTTAATCTATGTCACCATTGCTCCAGTTTTTTTTTCCTATGTACTGAGAAAACAGAAACATAAGTCCTGGACATAAGCTGTTTTAGTAGATTTTATTTAAAATATTTTTGCCATTTGTAGAAACACTACCTGCACCGGTATACCAGCAAAATCACTGGGTAATTTGATTAAATTAATGCTGATTTTTAGTATAATTTTTCATAGATTTTCCTCCAATCCCTTTCTCCTTCACTGAAGAGCAAGAATCAGCTGCACAATCATTATTAGTGCTTTGGCCCAGGACCAGTTATTAGCAAGAAGCACCCAGCGCAAGATAAGTGAACAATAATTAATTAATAATAATGAATTAAATAATTTAAAATATCCAACTTGTGTATATTAAAGAAGCATGTGTACAATATCTAACTTTAGCACAATAAAGTGGCAAGTAAAAATACTTATACAGTAGTTGTATGTATACATCTGTACATGTTAGCGGCACAAGGGTATGGGCTAAAGTGACATACATACATAAGTAAAGAGACCACACGTGGTTCTATATTGGCATTCTAAGATTATATCAAAATATTGCACAGATGCACAGGACACAAAAACATCCGTTAGCATTCAGACATGACTTTTATTACTTTATTTCAGAGAGGGAAATATGATAAATAGCTAATCTGTTAAAAGACGTATAATGTAAAAAAAATAAAAAAAATAAAAAGTTATACAATTATTATGTATAACTTACCTGTGGTATGGACTGTGGAAAGGCTGTGCTGTAAAATTCAGAAATGAAAAATTAGGCAGCCCTCCAAGAAGAACATCTCTTGAATGAAAAAACCCGGCTTGGTTATGGTTGTCATTTGAATTGAAAATAGCTTATTAAAGGGATTCAAAATATTAGCATTGCCTGTTCTTGATATCAGGTTATCCAACACGGAATACTCAAATGTGCCATGTTCACTGTATCATAGATTCACTAAATGCTAACACAGGCATTGGGTTTGAGGAAATACACTAAAATTGCTGATCCCCATAGTTGATGTTTGTTAATAAGGTTGTCCGTTTTTTATTAACGTATAACTTAATCTCAGTCAACTTGGTAAAATAACAAAATCATTTAATTTGTAGCTAATCAATGCTGTGAATACTGTAACAGTAAAAACAATGTTCAACATAAAGTCTATTTGTGATTGAGGTAAAGTGGGAATCTATGCCCCAAACTGCGTGTGTGTCATGTGGTCTTACTATTAAAATAATTTTATCAGCAATTATATCTCATCATCTGATTCCTGAGACTGCGCTGCAATGTGCTCCTTACAACTTACAATGAGCTCTAGAACTGAAAATGATCCAATCCAGAGATCTTTCTAGAATTCAGTGATTGATTGTGTGTCTGTGATAAGAAAACTAAGGTCTAAAGGCAAGTTCAGAGCAAAATAATCACAGAAAATCGTAAGGAAATCAAATAATCAAGTTTTATTGCATTGGTAGGAAATGGCTCACACTCTGAGGATGAGCAGCAATACAAAGAATAAATTATGGAGGAACACTGAAAACAATAGAAAACATAGTTTAACTTCAGCTCTTACATTTACTTTTAGAAAAGCAAATGACCATAACAAACAGGAAACCATTTTGCAGTCTGTATCAAAGGAATTAGAAAAATAAAAAAACCTTTAAACTTCACATCTTTACATTTGTGTATACGGTATTAGACCAAAGTCCTTTTCATTAACCCACATAAATGTCTTTGTGCAAATGTCATTCAGAATGCAACGTCTACTGTAAAAAGTGGTGCATAGTCATGCTTGACATGTTTACACGTAACATGCACAAACATACATGTAAATATTCAGCTCCACAAAACTAAAGGCATTTGGATTGAAACAATGACAGAAACACCCCGACAGCACAGGAACAGAAGGAAGACAGAAGTCATTTGTTGCCTTATACTGTATCTATGCACTTTCATTTGACAGGGGTCTAACACTTCTTTGTTTAGTTTGTTCAGAACATGATTTTCATAATGTTAACGTTAGCTCTCATGATAGTGGAACTAAACAAAAAATAAAACGTTTTTTTTATACTACACATTCACGTGACACAAAGAATTATTTCTCTGTTTCAAGCAAACAATTCATCTTTTTCATCATCATCAGTATACATGTTAGACTGTAAACCACAAAGACAGATTGTTACAATCAGTTTGGGAGTGCCAAGCATATTTATACATATAGCAGAAATATTAACAATACTTTTTCAGACTTAAGTAAATTGACCATTTTGACTAAACAGACAAACAGCTCGAATCTCAAACAGTCAAACTTGGAGATGCTTGCTTTATACTGAATGCCTCTGGAATACTTCTTTTTATACTTTACATCTTCTGGGTTGGCCACGAAGAACAGTATCAGTGATTGAAGAAATGTACTGCATGCAACCTATAATCGAAGGAGAAAGTACACCTCCGGCTCAGACTGTGCAGTGTTGGGTGGAACCAGAGTATCGTCTGTGTGGTAGCGATCACGAAAGTGATCATTCCCATAACGCAAAGATGTACAAGCTCCTTCAGGAAGCCCTCTGTCCTCCATCTGACTGAGATAACCCGCTATGTATGAGCCAGTGGAGTGTCGGCTGGCTGGTGGGTTCAACGTGGACCCTTTATTTCTTAAAACAACACCATCTATACCAGTGATAGAGCTGTTCTGAAGTTCACACCCCTGCGCTCTCGAAGCCTCCTGTTGTCTTTCACGGGCACGATTATTGATGTTACGCACACGGCTTTGGCTACGAGACGACAGGCGGCGGGTCAGCAATGGCGGAGAATCATCAACATTCATAGGACTGGTCTCACGATGAAACAATGGAGAATGTATTTGCTGATATTGTGGTGATTCTGGTCCTTTCCTACAGCAGTCATCTCCGTCAAGAGTGACCAGTTTGCGAAGTTGTTCCGTTAGTGGGTCACACAACTGCGTTTGATAATGGTCGACATTTGTGACACCAGTTCTTTGTTGTTTTGGAGAAACAAAACTACGGCTGATGATGTGATACTTCCCCTTGAAGTTGCAAGAAATGTCCTCAGAAGTCAAGTCACCTAAAGATTTTGACTTGGCTTGCCCTGGGGAAGTGGGCTCATTGGGGATAGTTTGAGTCATAGGAGTTTCCAAGCTTGTTTGAAGGGACAATCTACAGTCCGGAAATTGCTTGTTACCCCAAAGTGATCTTTGATTGGTCCTGCTTAAGGGAAGATAGGGGTTGTGAACGGGAGGTGACTGCGGAGGAGGCGAAATACAATTATACCGCAGGTGGTTATGAGACGTATTGACAAGACTTGGAGATGATAGGCTATCCCTGCAGTTATTTGAGGATCCTGGCAACTGCCTGCTAGTATTTTCAGATGAGCAATTTCCATAGTGAAAGTATGAGCTCTTCTCTTTGTCTTTTTGCAATGCATCTTCATGATTAGTCATATTTTGGATTGCATTTGAATTGCAGTTAATTTCCCTAATATGTGTGTGATTTCTGTTTCTGTTTCTACAGTAGCTATTGGAATTGATTTGATAGCCATTTTGCTGTAATGGACTAGATGCATTAAGCCGAGAGGTGTTTTGAATGTAGTTGTGCGTGAGTTCTCTATTGAGTAATTTATTAACTGGTGATGGACATTGGGAGGATGATAAATGTGGTTTATTCATCTGCGATTGCTGACGATCTCTGCATGATGTAACAGGATCGTAGCTCTGACTGGGAGATTCATTGTTTTGGTAAATGGCATGCCGTTTGGTGGGGCTAGTGCGGTCTTTCCATGGGCTGCCATAGTGTGGCGTTGTCATGATTCTATCCAACGGGTCCTCATCCACATTTATCTCTACTTCATCATAGCCATTTTGAGTTGGGAAATTATAACAGTCCTGCGCAGATGGGCACAATGGGGACCTGACTGTGTCCACTTGTGGTATTCTTTCTGGAAGGTCAACAACTTCCTCATAGATGCTTTCCTCTGTCTCCTCAGTGTACTTGTTATTGTTAAGAGTTTTGGTTGGTGAGGGGCCCAAGCTGAGTGTTGTGTTATTTACACAGGGATTCTGTTGATTAAGGTTGTATGAAGAAACAGGTAGCAGGACTTCCTCATCCAGAATAGTGTATACTTCTTCCAGATCTGCAGTTTCTGGGCTGGAGAGATCCTTCTGGTGAAGTGTGCTAGCATTGTTGGATGGTAAAGGAGTAGAATAGCTCAAATGATTTGGCCTGTAGGTATTATTAGGAGTTGACGTCGTCTTGAAAGGGGATTTTATAGAGGATGGGGTCTGTAGGTGAATGGAGAAAGTGCCGTTAGGTGAAAGTGTGAGATTCTTTTGCTCTGCCATGATGTCAAACTGGTCAATCAGAGCGGAGATAGAGCCACACGTGTCATCGTCAAGAGAAACAGCATCAATGAGTCTGGAGATTGTGCTGTCCTGCAGAGATTTTTGGCCTTTTGCACCAATGTTGGCTGTTGGGACAGGCGAAACGACTGAAGATGATGAGACTGAAGGAATGGTGAATGCTGAGTTGTGTAGCACTGATTCGGGTTTAGACAAATATCTGTACTCCACATTTCTTGTTGTTGCAAACCCAGATCTGTCATTGGCTTGATAATTAGCATAGTCTGCTTCTTTCAGTCCCTCCTCCTGACCAATATAGAGATATGAAGTTTCCACTGGTTGATCCTTTTGGTGGACAGTTGCTTTAGTTGGGAGTTTGGTGATTGGTGGAATTGGAACGTCCAATGAAGAAGACCTTGTTCGCCTGAAAAGGGCTCCTCCTGTGGACAAAACATAGAATAAACTATTAAAAACTGAATGATCATATTAGACATTACAAACAAATGCCACAAATGAGAGGTCAGCAATACAAAGACGGATGGATCGGCATGTGCTGTGAAAGGGAAGCTGATAAATGGCCAATCTCATTTTTGCAAAAATCAATTAAGGAAATGAATGGGATCAAATGATCTCTTCCAATGACAGCGACACAAAATACACTGACTGGACAAAATATCGACATGGTCTTTACAGCAAAGCAGTTTCGAAATTACCTGCAGGACAATCCTAATCAGTGCTCTACTAAGGAGAGAATAAAGATGGGAAGAAAAAGTTTTCATGAAGATCAGATTAGTTTATGTCATATGTGTTTCAGAAAGAGAAGTGTGGAAAATGGAGGCACTTTTAAGACAACACATACTACATTGATTCATATTTTCATTTACTGTGAATATTCTCAGAATAAACACATGATGCTTGTAAATTATTGTAAGTTATGAGGAATCCTTACCAATTCCAGAGTCTGAGCCTGTCTCTTGCTTCTCTGTATCTGGTGAGCCCAAAGACAACTGTCCTTGTAAGAGTCTGTCCAGTGGCATGGACATAGGTCTGTGGATAAGGGGAGATCGGGGCTGGAAGCGTCTCTCAGTGCCTGAGAACTGTCCCGAGGTGCTCTGCTCTCCTCCTGCAGCAGCTGCTGTTGCCCCTGTCCCGCTCCTCTGATCAGATATGGAGGCGACAGACTCAGATGGGGGCATCTTTCTTTTCTTCCGCCCTTTGGCTGGAGCGCTGGCTGTGCGGCGCAGGAGATGATCACTGATAGAGCGCTTTCTAAGGCCACCGGTGTTTGTGTCCACGGACGATTTGGAAGAACGATTGAACAGACCCCGAATGCCACGCAGTTGATTTCCCTTATAGAGTTGAAATAACAATATTAGTATCAAGGCAAAGTGAATAATTATTTATATTAGAATATATTTACAACAAAATATTTTCAAAGCATTTACAGCAGGAACATTGACAGCTAGAAGTAGCTGAAAACATATTTCAGTAGTTCCAAATGAAATATGTATTTATTTATTACTATGCAGTGCACTATGCTTCATTAACTTGCTGGACATATTAGAATTTGTATTACTGAACTGCTAAAATAATGACTTGTTGGCATGCATGAAATATTTGTTAACGTTGTCAAGGGGAGAAAATGTGATTGCATGCTTTAACATGAATCAACAGTAGATGGCACTATTGCATCTTTAGAGGGCAAAACAAATATACAGATGCACAAAAAACCCAAACAAATGATAACAACCAACAATATACATAGTTATCATACACATATTTGCATCATTAAGACATCCGCATGCGTGGCACGCGTCACATGCATAGTGCTTCATGCAGCAGCAGACCCTTGTGGATACCTTATGTGTTCCTAGAAAGTGCATTATGGTAAAGCTTGGATTCAGGATAAGGGGACTCCACTATAAAGACAAAGGGTGTCTTCATTATCAGACTGGTGAGTTATTATTTCAGTCCAAAACGTACACTTTTAAATAAAGTAATATAATGAATAAAGTAGGCTACTGGCTTACATCTGCACTAAGAGCTCTTACCTTGCCATAAACATCATGGACCGTCACATGCACAAAGATGGAAGCCTCTGTCATACCCTCTAAATAAACGTGACGGTAGCCTGTTGAGGACAGAAGACAAAGTGTGAGCAGGAGAAGATCTTTAGTTTATGCCTGAGGAGAGGGCATCAGGAGTTCATGGCCAACTGTGAAGGATGAAGACAACAGAAATAACCTGCAAAGCCACAGGTCATTTAGGCTAACATATGTAAATCCAACACATCCAACACACACCATGTATTAAGTGGACTGCACATGTCTATTACAGCACTATCACATACATCATGTAAACAAAATAGTTGCACCTCATTTTATCACTAATTGATGTGAAACAGGGAGAGTCCTTATAAAATGTGTTTTGCTTCAGCCTACTCCTTTTGATCTCTTTGTGTTTTTTGTAAACTTGTCAATCAAATGATCCAAATAATAATGATGAATGAATATAATGATTCAAATCATTTTGTGTACAACATACAAATGTTCAAACCTGGCATTAAGCTGCTAAAAGCCACAGTCCGTTGTCCGATGAAGTCTCGACCGATGGGGTCGTGATCCCAGACCAGGAAACGCACAAGAACCATCTCAGGCATGTGGAGCGTGAAAGACAGCGTCTCCTCCCAAACCGGGTTAAAACCTGGTGCAGACAGAAAATTAGGTTTCCGTCCAGATAAAAAGACATCAGGTCTATAAATAGAAGCCTAAATGAAATGGCACGTGATTTATTTTTCTAATTACGCTGCCCATTTCTTTCCAATAATAACATGGAGCTTTGAGGGCGCAATAACCTTTCAGGGTAAGACACCCTGCCACGTCTTTCCCACCACTCACCAAAAACATTTTTCATTCCCACTATTATTTGTTTTTACTAGAATAATAAAGGAATTTCAACTTTCATTCCATGTTTAACTAAATCAGCAAGTGAAAGTGAATCTTACCATTATCATCCACAACACGCGTTTGTTCCTTACAGCAATCTACTGGAAGACCAATAATTTCCACTTCAACAAACGGATCAATAATCTAGTGGAAATAATTACATTTGAGTGAAATGTTGTAAGCTGCAGATACAATGCACACATATCCATACTAAATGTTTATTTTACCTCTCCTCTGTCCCCCAACATGGAGTCAGGGGGTTTGGGCAACTGCTGACCACTTATGACCTTCAGTATGAGCTGCTTTTTGGGACACGCAGGCAGAGGATCCTCACTGAACGGGTTAAAAGAGCCTGGAATAGAAAAAAAAAATAGTGTTTAATTAAGCACAGCTACTGTACAAAGTCAGAGAAAGCTGTTGGGCAAAATATACCTTTGCACATAGGGGGCGGTTTAAGAACGTAACCACTGCCTCCATTGACCATAAATTTGGCTCGATTGAGCTGCATCATCCTGCCTTCCGTCTGGTAGTTTAGAGCAACTGCAAATGAGAATTTTTGAAAGATATTTGAATGATACAGGAAAGAAATGTTTCACTACAGAAAAACTTCATTTAAGGAATACAGACAAAATGAAGAATTATTCCTCAAGTATAAAAAGAAAGGTGTGTGATTATAAAGGAGGGCCATGTGTTACCCAGCTGACAGCCGACGTTCCAATAGAACTGAGGGTTGAAGTTGGACGAGTCGATCCGATAGGCCGATGGATAAATCCTGGACAGCTGCCTTTGGTTAAAGGCCAGAAACTGTTCTGCTTTGTGGTTCACAAGAGACTGAGCTCTGGTCTCACTGAAGGAAAGCACGTCCCCTGGCGTACCTGGGATGACATTTTTTGTATTCAAATTCGTTCCATAGAAAATATATTTAAAATGATAACACACTTGAGCCACACCTTCATTTAGACACTCTTGAGATGCTACAGAGTTGGTAAACACCACAAGATTAGAGAGATCCCTGCTGAGTTTCATGGTCTTCCTCTTTCTTCCATACCTAAATCCCAGAGGCAACAAAGATCATGTAAAACTATGGAAGGAAAGATGGATGTACACAGACGCACATATCCCTTAAGTACTTAGAGCTGCAGCAGGCGATGCGGGACTCTGTCCATCAACAAGACAGCTTGAAAAACCACAGGAACGAGCATCAAAGCAAAAAGCTTAACAGGCGCCTGTGCATGCAGAGGAGTGGCGCTCACATATAAACTGAACATGCAGTCATCAAGTCACATAGACATGGAGATGCTCCATGCATTGGAAACAAATGCTTTAGACATGCATACATGAATGATGTATCAGGGACCAGAAAGAGACAGACAACAAATGCATGTTTAAATAGGATGTGTACAGAATTAATTCAATACAATAAATTAGTTCAAATGTCATGTTTACATTTTTCTTAAAATTTTAAAAACAAAATGTTATACAGATTATAGTAAGCTGATTATAATAAACTGAATACTAAAAGCGTCAGTGTAAGGGTGTATGTTCACCTGTTGATCTGTCCCGAGGTGTCCCTCCCAGGCCTCTCCTCACACTCGTCCTCCTTGTCCACAGTCTGGCAGGTCAGCCTGGATTTGGAGTGCCTCTGAGTAGAGTATAGAAATACATGTCAAAAATGCCTGATCAATAACTGAAAGATAGATAACTGATAGATGAAACATAGTGTACACTTTTAAATCAAATGAATTCCCTGGGATTATCCTGCTGTATTTTACTTATGTTACACTCCTTGTGAATTCATGTATTGACCATTTCTATTCTATTATGCAGAGTAGTAGATGAAGCAGAGGAATGACAATTACAAGTACAAAATATAAACTGTATTGTAAAGTGTGGTTTAAAACAATGAAAGCAACCGTTGCAGTAGAACCTCTTGAGATTTGAAATATACAACAATGTGTAGCTACAGGTTACAGAAATAGGAAGAGTCCACGAGTTGCAATAATTAGATGGTTTAGGCTACTTCCCACACGTTACATGCATTCATGCATGTTCACATTTACACACGTGGGAGGGGGTTGTATAACATAAAAATATGGTGCAATATCGAAAACACTATTTGGCCACAATTTAAAATGATCAAGCCAAATGTTGGGGTGTTCCCTCACGATATCAGGAAACAGTGTATTCAATTATTGAGTTAAAGCGCTGGTTTTAAAGTATGGGCTGCATATTTTGTAAAACTGAAGACAAGTACAGGTAGTTGAAGAGACAAATGTTTAACAGATTTGAAGATGATGTCCCCGTGAGGCCGATGCTATTAAGCTCATGCCTCAGAGGAGCTGGATAAAGACCTCACATCGACACATCTGCATGTGTAAGTGTGAGATAAGCCCATCGCTACAGCGGCTGCACTGATCGACCGGGTGGCCCTGGGAGATAAAAAAAATCCTTTTTTAATTATGGCTCTACTACAAGCTGTAACTAGGAATACATGTGGGCTGTTTTATATTGTTTTTAATATAATGATCATGACGTCTTTACATAATTGATATGACCATAATAATAAAACTTACCTTTGTTTCTCAAATAAAAATATGAAAACACAAATGGTCTGCAACTACAGCAACTGATGTTTTTATGTTTTTTTGCATTAGTTCAACACCAAATACACATCAAATACAAGTATATATATCAATACTGACATTCATACATATGAATTATACATCAGTATAATGTCATACATATAATCCCTGCATAGATTCTTGTCATAAGATATTCCTCCACATCCCCACCCAACCCCCAAAAGTGAATAGGTGCTGGCCAGCTTAATAAAAAGGTGAAAATTCATGCTTCATAGAAAAGCAGGTAAATAAAATAAAAGAGAAATGTCATGTCCAGTATGCATAATTATTCCATTATTTGGCAGTTTTTAAACATTCTGTATTTGCAAAGAACACATCCCAAAGTTTCTTTAAAATATCTGATTTACCTTAAACTGTATATTCAATTATTCAGTTGGATAGAAACTTCCACCAGTGTTGCTTAGTTGGAGTACAGCAATAGTTGTTAACACAAAATGCATATTTCTGACCTACCTTTTGTTTGAGTGTCGTGATGAGAGACCTGCTCTGAGATTTCTTTAAAACGCCCTTGGATCCCTGGAGAAAGAGAAATGTAATGTGTGTGTCAAGGGCTCGACACACGGGAGGCGACAAATGAGAGCGATCAGCGAAACTCAACGCTGTCGCTCAGATAACATGACAGACGGGGCGCGATGCGGCTTGACGACAGCGTCGAAAAGTTGAGCCGATTTCAACTTTCTGGGATCGCGTCGCTGACCTGCGCGTGCACGATACATGCACGAGCAGGAGGATTTCACACGCACGTTTTTCGCCCGTCGCTGAGCAGGAGGCTCGCTAGCGATTGACGCTATGTCGCGCACGTCCCATTGAAATGAATGGAGGCGATGCGATGTCGCCTCCCGTGTGTCTAGCCCATTATATGTAATTGTTTGACTCCATTGATGATTTTGCATAAAACCTCTGCACATTTAAAGATCACTACCAAATATAAAAGTGTTGAGCCGGTGGCAGGAGGGACTAAATAAAGGTGCGAGAAATGCAGCAGAAATACAGGACTACATGAAAACGTGTGTGAGTAGGACCGGCTCAGACAGAATGAGGCAAAGGGAACCACTATGAAGGCGAGCGACAAAAAAACAGAATAGGAAACCCCAATACACAAATCTCAAGGCTTGAAACTGGCTGTCAGGATGTCGCTATAAATAGATCAAGAAGGAAACGGGCCAATTAAATATTAAGTAGCACTGCACATTTTTGCGCTTACATCTTGTATTATAACATGGTTCAATGGGATAACACACTCAGTAAGCCTCTTCCCGTCCAAATAATGCAGGTTACTTTTAGATTGCAGAGTAGATACTAAACATTGAAGCAATGAATGGTCAATAATGGTTAAGTTTGGACCTGCTGCAGATTCTTTTGAAGTCCCTGGTGCGTAGCCCTCAGCAACGCTCTGATGCTGAAGCTGTCGGAATCTTCCTTATCTCCGATTCTAGACTCTTTGAGCAGAGAGTCCAGCTTCTTCCTGATGTGAGACTCCACTTGGTGATGACCATTGCCCTTTAAGAAGAAGGAAAAAAGTAATAACATAAATTAAGCAGCAAGATGTCACTAAAGTCATTAAAAACAAAGTGGGTGGACCATTTCACAAACGAGAGATTATGGAGCAGTTCGTCCTCAGGGTCCAAAGAGTTGTTAAAAATGGGTTGATGAGTTGAACAAAGTTATTACGTTTTTTAAGTGTTGCTTCCTAACACACTGTGATGGAACTGGAGCAGATGGTGGCAGTAAATGCACTTCATAAAATCTGAAAGTAAAATATCAGGTGTTGTTCAGCTTCTCTTAGATGACAATAAAATGTTGCTTCTTGTCTTATCTATTATTTAATACACATACAGTATATACATGTTTGTCATTTCAATAGAATTAAGTCAATTGGAACTTCCAAAATTGACACAATTCGAGTTAATCATTTCTTGAATTAAGCAGTAGTTTTATTATTTTATTTTGGTATCTTCTTGACTGATATTAATATTTCAGATTATCCAGTCTGAGATCATAATGAGTTTCTTATCTAGGTTCCCAGTTTGTTTGTGAAATGTAAATGGTTTTAGCTCTTACATTTCAACACCCCAGTAGGTGGCTATACTCAGGCTCACATGCAGTGAGATCTTGGCAACAATATGTTGTTATAATGACTTAAATAAACTAACTGTGCATATTACAGACAGTCCCTCTAAAAAAATATTTGCCAATAGAACCACCCATATTGTAGCGTTGTCAGAGCAGCAGTTATCTCTAAATACATAAGTTTCCATAATAAGTCACAATAAAAAATATACAGATTTGCCGCATGGCTCTATAAGCCGCAAGGTTCAAAGAACGAGAAAAAAGTAGCAGCTTATAGTCTGGAAAATACAGAAAACTGAATTTTTAACTTTTGAACAAGCTTTTATTTGTTTATTTGGATGGGACAGTGTGTATTCATGAACAGCAAGAGTTGTAAATACACCAGACTGTATCTATGTAGCTCATTTGCATCTGCAGTCCCACAGTCACAAACACACACTGATTCAACCTTCACCTATTCTACCAGCGAGGACCTTCTCGCTGTGAAGCACAAGTGGTATCCACGTGCATGTTGTGTGATGATTGATTATGTTATTGTATGATTGTAATTCTTCCTCACTTCTGTAGATCACCATGAGTTGCTCTGTGTTTGAATTGTGCTATACATACAGTATAAACTTGCCTTGCCTGGATCCAGCCCTATATCCTGCTATATGAATGACATTAGGCATGATACATATGCACACATATTTCCTTCCACATTAAACCACAAACACCCACATAACCAGCCATAGCTCCTGCTGTATTGTGCTCTGCCTCTGTGCGCGTGGACTGCTGTGAAAGCCTTTGCGCACAGGGCCGACGCTGTGACTGATTCAATAGACCGCGACAACCTCGGAGGAACCCTGCCATTCAGCTGTTTAAAGGGCTCTGATTAGGCCAAACAGCATCTGCAGTCCCACGCCCTCCACCAAATATTCAAGAACGAAACTGCGCTGTGTACCATCTGGGAACAAACCGCTGTGTTGTCTCACAGTGAACCCTCCAGCAAAAAGAAAAGGAGATATCAGAGGCGGGTTGTGATCATTCCAATGCCACAATTGCTTTTCATTTCTGAAATCAACCTGGGTGTTTTCCTTGCATCGTTGCTATTATAACATTTAGCCCATATTTAAGTGGAACAAGGAAAACAGCAAGATGTCAGTACGGGTGTTTTCATTTGGTTTTCCCCTGCGAGAAGTTCTTTCTGGTATAATATAGCTTAAAGGTTGGTGTTTTCTTTTCAATTCAAGATCATAGACATTTTTCCATTTAAAAAAAATAATAAACAATACGGTGACTATTTATCTCTATAAAGAAAAATGATACATAATGAATTATATTAAAACCAGATTCCAATGCCATAATGACATAATTACATTTATGTAAACTAGGGCGAGGGTACAGTCATAGGTCTGTTTAATGAAAAAAGCCACTACATTCAGATTTCAAATCAATGTACTTTTTATATTCCCAAATTAGCTAGCATCTGAACTATAATCAATGTTGTGCCTTTTCTGAAAACACCGGGACTGTCCTGTCTAATGCACTTGCCCACTACACTGCAAAACATTATCCCGACCTCGATTTCACGATTTGGACATATCTCAAATCTTATATAATCTAAGACAGTTTGATTTTTCCCATATCTAATGTAAACCTAAATGTTGCTTTTGTGAATGACCCATGCTGTATTTATACTGTATTGCTTCACACCGCAGATCAGCGAAGACTTATTACATCTGTCTATGTGTTAGCTCAATTGTGGGCCATTTTCACTGTTTTCACGAGATAAACGTGCCATCTAAGATTAACGTTCGAACAGTCTGGGGTGCCACTTTCTCTCACATTTGCGCTCTTGAGCTTGAAGTCGTCCTCAATTTCATCCGCGCTGTCGTCGTCGGACACTTCCCCCTCTTCTACGTCTGCAGACAAATAGGCAGGGAGTCTCTTCCCCTGTGAGGAAGAGCCAGGACAAACACTTTAATGTTGTTTCTTTAAACCAGTAAAGGATTCACATTAAACATAGGCATTAAGAACGCATTACTCATTTTCCATCCTGCTGCTTTTTATTATCTAATAAGATACACACACACCCATCTCGGGGACTCCTTCTGCTGCTGTGTGGGAGAGCGGAAGCACAGATATTCTTAGTTATAGTTTTTCCAAAAAAATAATTTGGCACTGGCAGAGCTGGCCTTATCCTCTGTCTGTCGCCAAGCTTCACAAAGCTTTATGCGCTTTGCTTTATTGTCTTGGGGCTCTTTGGTCTGTGACGCTGCTGGTGGATGGAGCAAGGTGAGGAGAGGAGGGCAGCGTGCGGGCCAGAGGAGGAAAGGGTTTCATAGAAAATCAATAGTGTTCTTTTACAGACACAAGGCCAGGAATTGTATGTTCTTGGACATATCGATAATCTGCGGCATCAATCTTTGCTTTTGACTTAGCTTTGTTAAATGGATAGATTTTCTGCAGACACAGGTCTATTACACAGGTGAAATAACAGGCGCATGATGCCAAGGATCATCAATACATAAAAACTAACCATTTTCCTAAATATAATTTCAGAAAATGTGGTCTTAGACTGTCCACTGGGCTGTCAGAGGCATAAACAAAACATAAAGGAACAGTGTTAAATCTTGCATTACATATTTCTTATATTTGGCCTTTTCCAATCAAAGTTTGAATGTGGGTCTATTCTTAAAAGATGTGATATTATTATTAAAAACAAGCATCCAAACAAGTGTCCAACCCCAAAGCAGAATGATTCTCTAGTAGTACACTGATCTTAAATGGTGCACGAGTTTAGTTTAATTATAGGGTCATTAATGAGTCAGTGAGAGTGCATTCTATGTACTGTTCCTTTAAGGAGTCACACATTAAAATGCCTTTTTTGCACTAATCGTGTCAGTGCAGTCAAGATTCAACATAATCTCTGAAATCCATGCTATGTTGTGTCATAAATGCCTCATTATTTATGATCCCTTCGGTCTCATTAATTCACACTGCAAAATATTATAGATTAGAAGAAAGAACAGACCGGATTTTCCTGAGGTTCTAAGTCATTCCTGCAATCATAATTCTGTTAACGAGTACATTTACATCCTTCTCTTAAAAACAGAATAATCGTTACACGTTGTTTAAAATGGTGCCATTATAGAGACACATTTTTATCCGATAGCTTTTCGAAATACATTGTTGCAATTTTACAAGTAATTAAGCATAGTCAGCAGAGCGGGTGCAGCTAGATTTGCATTTTACTTCTAAGCCATGTGTCCACCTTTCACCTATATAATTGTGATGGACCAGTATGCCTCGCTCATTCTTTTCTCTTATCTACTCTGTTTATAGAAAATAATTAGCCGCCTGCTGCACTAGCGGGGCAGCAACGCTTGTAATGTAAAAATAAGTACAAAGATAATGAGCACTTCTTTTCTCTCTTCTGACACACACAAGTGGAAGGCGTGTGTGCAAAATGGCTTATTTAAGAGTGTTGGACCATCAAATAGGTTTTCATGGATGGACTTAAAACAAAAGGCAAGTTCCGTCTGTCGCACAGGCGCTTGGCTTACTTTAATGAGAATCTTGCCGAGAAGACTTTGAGGACTGGGTAAGGTTCTGACGTCTCCTGCCAATGCATTTCCAATATCTAATTTTTCTCCAAAGACTTCTCGCAAGTACTGAGAGATTTTCTTCTGTTGCTGGATATTACAGTGGTTCTCTATGGACAGGATTACTGGAAACCTGCAAATAGAGACAAAAACATAGAACAGTCAAATCAATTGTGAAAAAAATACAAAAATTTCAGACCATAGATGCAAAAATGACAGCTTTTTTGTTGTCTGTTGTGTTATATGGACTCCTTATGTGTATTAAATATTAAATAAATAATATTTCTTAATGTGTTGAACTGTTTGTCCCAAAAGAGGACAAATCCGACCACACCATGCTGTTTTTAACTGATTAGAAAACATTTTATCTTTTACATAGTGAGTGGACCACTCTCTGAGTGAGGGTGGTCCTCTCTTTTTTAATGAAAGAGCGGATCTAAAGAAGTGAGAATGAACAAGTTGCATGGATGTAATTAAGTGTATGGAGTGAATGAATAATGACACGTGAAGCATATTTGAGTGTCCAAAAACGCGCTATATAAAACCGATGCATTTATTTACTTTTTTGTGGTTTGAAAGGTAAGAATTCCAGCATTGAACAGTGTTGAGGGATAAGACTACACAGTTGCCAGATCTGTTCCTTTAGATGTCATCATCATTTCTCAGATAGAGTGATAAAACCCAAGTGTTCCTTATAAACGAGGCCCAGCAGACAAAACACAAAAGGCTTTGAGAGACTAAGCGTCACGATTAACTTTCGCATTAAGTAGAGCAAGGTAAATGATCACACACGTGTTTGTACTGTATGTGTTTAGGTGTCCTGTGTGAGTCTGCGCTTGTATCCAGAAACAGAGAAATGACTCGTGGCAAGTGAAACGCAGCTCAAATGTCAGGTTGGTCAGACTGACAGCTCGGCCTCAGGGGACGCAGCCTCTGATACGCACACACAAAAACTCTCAAGTGGAAAGTCTTTTTGCTCTTGCCACGTCCAAAATCAGAGCAAGAGACCACCGTGATTCCTGTGAGCTGAGAAGGACTATTCCAAACTATCCTCAGGCTATATTCATCACATTAACAGGTGCTGCGACTGATAAAATATGAAGCAGCAGGGGTGCTGTTTTTCCAGAATCACTACTGATTTGTCAAATACACACACACACACAAACACTGTACATGTATACTTATATATATACTGTACAGTATATAACTGCACTACTACATATATATATTTTCACTGGTATTGAAGCATTTTCAGCATCTACAGCAAGTTATGTTAGTTAAGAAACATAGCTACTACTTATTTGTATATATTGTGTGTGATCCCTGTGTGCTCTTACTACTGTCCTATATGTGCGATGCAACATCGACATTTCCCCACTGTGGGACGAATAAAGGAATTCTTATCTTATATGTGTATATACTGTATATACCCAGATAGCTCGAGGGTTCAATAGATTGGAATCTCATTAATCTGTCGAAAATATGATCAAAAGTATGATCGTTGTTCACCAAAGCCACAAGAAGAGGGCTCCTCTGGGACAAAGGCTACACAATTTCCCACCCAATAAAGGACAAAACATTTAAGAATAAAAGACAACCAATGTGGTAGAGCGTTTATGTAGCTCGAGGAACTCTATTGTCGGAGTTTAGCAGTTTGCCTGAGGATGGGACAAATGACAGCTTCAGTCTGTTGTTTCTGCACTATAGGCACATAAAGGCACATTTTAGATATTGTTGGACAACAATTTACTTTTTTTTAAGCACAAACCTAAACTTGGAAACAGGAACACATCACATGAACAGCAGTTTTTGGCCTGATCCAGTTACCTGGCCGTCATAATCTCTCAAGTCCATACAATTATATAACGAAAAAATACAAAATAACCTCTACCCCACGGCTGAGCAGTAAGCACTCAAGCTTTCCTGCAATAACATTGCGTTTTTTGATGGATGGGCCTGACCAGATCTTTTGTGAAGAGTTCACTTGTGCTTGTGTTGCTAGGTAAATAAAAGACACTCACTGGTTGTTCACGAAGGCGTGCTTATTAATAGTTTCAATAACAGACTTGAAGGGGATCTTTGAAGTGAGTGTGTAGCCATGCTGGACCATCGGTTCTCCTTCAGGACCATCCCAACAATCCACTGTACGAAATATAAATCATATAAATAAACATTTCCTCCAACACACATACACATTACACGTCCTCATTATAGTGTACAAGTGTGTACCTTCTATACAGCGACAGCCAGACTGTAGGACCCAGGCATACATGTCTGTCTTTGAATGAGACAGGAGCTGGTCCCCGGTCAGGTAAGTGTTGTGGGAGGAGGCGATAAAATAGTTACAAAGAGGCTGCTCCATGTCCTGGTTTACTTCATGATGTAAAGGATTGAATATATCACATGTTGGGCTGCGCATGAAACTGGTGAATCCTGAAAAATACAACAAAGATATTGAGCAACATGCAGTATTCATATTGACTGCAGCAGGCAGTGTTTTGAAGCCGCTGCACAGTGGAAAAAAAATGGCTTTTGTGGTTGAACAGCTTGAGCCAGAGGTTGAGGGGAAGGAACTCTTTGTTGACTGAACGAGTGCATAATATGGAAAATCTAGACTCATTCTACTTTCATTGGACATGAGGGTGGGTGAAGACCTAAGATGTTGTGATATCCTTTTGTGTGTGGTTGTCAGATCACAGCCTATGGGGGCTGCGTGTTGGTCTGACACAAGCAAAGAGAACCCCTTCATCTCAGCTCCACGTCTCCAGCTTCCTTGTCAACTGTGCTGCTACACTTTCGAGAATGAAGCTGAGCAGTTTTTCTCATGACATTTTTAAGAGATTTATGTGTTATGAAAAGGATGTGTGCTAAACAGATTTAATTTATTTGATTGTGTAGGCATGTCTGTGTTTGTTTTGCTATTTTGATTCCACACATTACCTTCAATCCCCAAGATTCCTCTTTGTTTGTTCTCAGCCGACTCCTCAAACTTGTCAATGATTTCTGTTACATTCTCAGGTGTCACATTTGACATCTGCAAAAACAGATCAAATTTAAATTTATTGACTATGACCACCAGGTTTTAATACTATTTAAATGATCTAAAAATAACTGGTTTGAAGGCAAAAACAACATGCAATATCTTTAGAGGATATCTTTAGAGAGCTTGAAAGATTATCAAAAGGAACAGGCTGATGAGTTGGTGAAACAAGTGACTAATACGCTGCGTATTTCCGAATGGCACTCATGAGTAGTGTGCCATGGTTGCCTACACCCTGTCAAACTAAAATATTTCAGCACTTTCTCGTCTAGCCTGACCTTCTGCTCGTTACGGAGGAAGGTGGCCAGCTCGTCTGTATTGAGGTGGTCCTTTCTCTCGCTGTAGGCCATCATAAGCAGGAACAGGTCTCGCCTCATTGACATCATTTTGTAGAAGACCGAGAACTCCTCATACGTCAATGTGCCCTGCTGGTCATCGGTGTCTGCTTCCTGTGACAAAGAAAACAGTCACACTGCAACATTATCAGTGATGGATGGGTGCAAACAACAACAGCTCAGTGTTGTAACATTGGTGGTGCTGTTTTCATAACAGGATTTGTGTTAATATGGCATGAATGATGCAAAAGGTTTCCAAGTAATTTTACCAACAGGATGTAAGCACTTATGGCAAGATTTTTAAACACAACTTAATTTTTATAATGAGCAACATGAGCCGCACAGTGATTATTCATTCATAGATTTGTTGCTACCAACTATAATATCATTGATGCCAGAGAGAGGCAGAGCAATACCATTTGAATTGCTCATACAACACCACACAAAACACACACACATACACATGCACTTAGGCCCAAACACTCTCTGATCCTACACCTCTCTAGCCTGACTCTCGCCAGACCCTTGTAGTTCCGCCATGCTCCACCATAGGTGTTTGGCTGAACCACATGGGTCTGGTATCGTATGGAGCTATTACTGTTTCAATAATATTTGTGTGTGCGTAAAAAGATTTGTGCGTGCGTAACCAGATTTGTGCGTGCGTAACCAGATTTGTGTGTGCGTGAGCAGATTTGTGCGTGCGTAAAAGAAATATTTGTGCGTGTGTAAATAGATTTGTATGTACGTATCAAGATTTGTGTGTGCGTAAAAAGATTTGCGTGTGCGTAGAAAGATTTGTGTGTGTAAAGAAAAAAAAAGTACGTTTTACACTCAAGTTTTTTTTTTTACACACAAATCTTTTGACGCAGTCCTGCCTTCGCAGATTCGCAAGTGTAACTTGGACTGTGTGCGTGCGTAAACAGATTTGTGTGTGTGTAATTTGACATTTGTATCTGTAGCAGAACAATCTCTGTGTAAATAACCCCGTTGTACAAAGAGAGGAACGAAAAAAGCCTACACAGGCTCTGTTTTACACACGAATCTCTTTTTGACACACCTCTGCCGCCAAGCGTGTGTCAAAAAGATTCGTAAGTGTAATGTGGTTGTTCTAGCAGTACACCAGCAGATGGTGCTGTTGTAGCTGGTTATTACCTACACGCAAGCAAACCAAAACCTACTGCCTTGACAAGACACACTACCGCAGCTGTTTATGATATTTTTTTCCTATTTTCAAAATCTTGTCATTCACACCACTGTATTATACATGGATCTATTATAATAACTGGATAGGGTGTTACTAGCTTGGAGCTGAAGGATTCTCGTACTGCAGACTAAATTCACGTGGGCTACACAGACATTTTCCCCATAGAACTCAAAGTAAACTAAAACAGCTGACAGATAACCTACAGCTTTCATAAAGGTCGGATTTTGTGGGAATTTTAGTGTTCCTTGTCATCCTGAACTTTTCTTCTTCTTAAATCCTTCGGTTTTCTCTATCTACACTATAGTGCTACTAACTCTGCTGGTTTGCTTGCGTGTAGGTAATAACCAGCTACAACAGCACCATCTGCTGGTGTACTGCGAGAACAACCACATTACACTTACGAATCTTTTTGACACACGCTTGGCGGCAGAGGTGTGTCAAAAAGAGATTCGTGTGTAAAACAGAGCCTGTGCGTAGCACTTAGGCTTTTTTCCGTTCTTCTCTTTGTACAACGCGGTTATTTACACACAGATTGTTCTGCTACAGATACAAATGTCAAATTACACACACACAAATCTGTTTACGCACGCACACAGTCCAAGTTACACTTGCGAATCTGCGAAGGCAGGACTTTGTCAAAAGATTTGTGTGTAAAAAAAAACTTGAGTGTAAAACGTACTTTTTTTTTTCTTTACACACACACAAATCTTTTTACGCACACACAAATATTATTGAAACAATAATAGCTCCATAGTATCGAGCGCATACCAAACTCCTTCAGCAGATCAGAAAATGATCGACCAATCAGGATCGCCGGTGTTACGTTGGGTTTGCACCGCCTTCTCAAGCGTGTCTCACGCACCAGCGAAAGCAATCCAAGATGGCGGACATGAAGTCTGTGTAATTTTTTTAAAGTTTAAATACAAACAAATTAAGACTGAATGTCACTCTTTTTTTTTTTTTTTTTTTTTTTTTTTTAATTTATTTAGGCATACAGGAAAATACATAGTTACAGTACAATAAACAACAAAGGTACTAGTGGGGTTAGGGTAGGGTAAGTATGTGTGTGTGTGTGTGTGTGTGTGTGTGCGTACATGTGTAAGTGTTTGAGCTTGTGGGAGATATAAAGCTGAGAAATATATACAAACATGTACACCTACATATACTCTTTCACATATATAGACCAGGATGCAATAACTATGACAATCAAACGGCAACTAACAATAAAGAAACAACGTACAAAAAGAATAAATAAGTAGATATTTGAAAACAATGACAATAACAATACTTATGTTGTGTTTTCCCCTGTGCTAGTGTTGCGTTAAAAAAAAGTGTGGGGCCTAACAACTCCAGGTTGTTCACCCTCATTGAAAGGCCCCTCTCCACTTGCCCTGTGCTATTTGTGTTCGCTATTATTATTACCCTTACTATTATTATTATTATCATTATCATTATCATTATCCTTCGTATTGTTATTATTATTATTCTAATTATTCCATATCAATATTAATATTGTTATCATCATCGTTTATTGCCCAACTCACTATTGCCAATATTAGTGCCATTGCCATTGTCATCATTACCGTCACATTTCATACATTTTTCTATTGTAGTATTTTGTTGTCGCAGTTGTAGTAGGATATTTAACCATGATATTGGGTTATAGTGTGTGATTGTTGAGTCCAGTTGCTATGATTGGAGGAAGGAGAGGAATGGACAGGTAGATGTGTGTGTAGAGAGTTGTGAGTAGTTTTCAGTTGATAAATGATCTAACAGGAGGTGTTTCCAAGTGGTAAGTAAGTAAGTAAGTAAGTAAGTAAGTAAGTAAGTAAGTTTTTATTTATATACCGCCTTTTCACTGCAGATCTGAGTCTCAAAGCGGTTTACAATTGTTAATTTTGGGCATTTGTCTCTCACTCCACACAGAGATGGGAGCGGGGCCAGTACAGGAGGCATATGCCAGAACTATTGGACATATTTTTAGTGGTAGGGGAAACCGGAGTACCCGGAGGAAACCTACGCAGACACGGGGAGAACATGCAAACTCCACTCAGAAAGGCCCTGGTCCGACCGGGATTCGAACCCAGGACCTTCTTGCTGAGAGGCGAGAGTGCTATCCACTCAGCCACCGTGCCGCCCATAGGAAGGAGGTGAAGGTGGTGAAGGTGGTGATGTGTATGTTTTTTTTTTATTTTATTTCCAGTTGATTAGAATTACTTTCTTGGCGATTGTTAGCAACACCAATAGTTGTTTTTTAAGGTATTGATTGAGGTCTAGTGTGGAAGTGTCTCCGAGTAAACAGAGGGAGGGGGACATTGGGATGTGGCAGCCGAGTATGGAGGAGAGTGACTCAGTGACTAGTTGCCAGAAAGTGTTGACCAGTGTGCAATGAGAGCGTGGAGGTAGTCGTCTTTGTGATTTGGAGTGCAATGTGAGCATATTTCTGTGCTGAAACCCATTTTGGCAAGTTTGTGGTCTGTGTAGTGGTATCTATGTAGAACTTTGAACTGTATGAGTTGTAGGTTTGAGGGATTGGTCATGAAGTAAATGTTGTTACAGGTTTGGGTCCAGAAATTGGCATCGGGAGCAAATGCTAAGTCTTGTTGCCATTGTGAGATTGGAAGCGAGTGGGTATTGTCGATTCTTGTAAGTAATTTGTATATTTTGGAGTTTAGGTTTTTGGGTGCAAGCTCCAGAAGATCTGTGATGAATGGGCTTGGGTCCAGGTCTATTGTATGAATATTGATTTTATTTAGGATTATTGATCGTAATTGTGAGTATTCTAGGAAGCATTTGCTCCCGATGCCATATTCCTGAGACAGTTGTGTGAGTGATGACAGTGTGTTGTTAGTGACAATGTGACCTAAGTGCGTTATACCTTTGCTTGCCCAGGATTGGAATATTAATGGTTTATTGTTGCTTGTGAATTCCGGGTTGTGCCAGAGTGGTGTATATTTGGATGGTGTGAGAGGGGTACCTGTTATGTGATGGAGGTTCCACCAGGCTGTCAGAGCTGTAGCTATTGTGGGTGTTTTGAATAGTGGAAGTTTTTTTGTTGATTTATTTAGAAAAGGTAGGTCTGAGATTTTGATATTGTTACATAAAGATTGTTCAATGTCGATCCAAATTAGGTCGGCTGGGTCTGGGTGGGTCCATTTATGGATGAATTGTAGGTGGCTGGCTAGGGAGTAATGATAGAAGTTTGGTGCATTGAGGCCTCCTTGAGATTTTGGTTTCTGGAGAGTGGAGAGTTTTATACGTGGGGTTTTATTTTGCCAGTAGAATTTGATGAGTATTGAGTTGAGTGATTTGAACCAGGATGAGGTGGGTTGAACTGAAGTCATTGAAAGGTGGTAAACAATTTTGGGAAGAATTGACATTTTTACAAGGGATATTCTGCCTGTGATGGAGATGGGTAGGTTTTTCCAGCGTTCTAGGTCGTTTTCTATTTGTTTTAGAAGGGGGGAGAAGTTGAGGGCGAACAGCTCTGACAGCCTGGGGGAAACTTTAATTCCAAGGTAAGTGATGTGATTGGAGCAGAGTGGGACTGGGGGGTGGGGTGCTGCCACATCCCAACTATCATGCTGTAATGGAAGTATTGATGATTTGCTCCAGTTGATGGAATATTGGGATAGTATGGAGAATGACTGTATTTGGTTTGTTGCATGGTGGAGTGATGATGTTGGATTCTGTAAGAAGAGAAGGATATCATCTGCATATAGACTGATTTTATGTTCATGGTTTTGTGTTTGAATTCCTTTTATTTTGTTGTCTTGACGGATGGATGCTGCAAGCGGTTCTATAAAGATTAGAAATAATAGAGGAGAGAGTGGGCATCCCTGGCGAGTGCCGCGGTGCAGTGTGAAGTGCTGTGATGTTAGACCATTAGTGATAACAGTAGAGGTGGGTG